CTGCGTCTCAGGCGGCTGTTCGCGACGGCGAGCTGGTAGAGCTCCTCCTCGCGGTTCGTGGCCTGGGCGAGGGCGGGGGTGGGCGCGAAGATCGCGCGGGGGCGGGGCGCGCGCGTCCGCGGACCTGGGGGTGCTCGGAGAACCTGCGGCGAAAAGGCGCGGGCGTCGCGGCGGCCCGGCGCGCGCGGCGCGCGCGGCCCCCGGCGCCGCGCGTCCGCGTGCGCGCCGCCCGCGCGCAGCCGGTGGCGCGCCGCGCGCGAGCGGGCCCGGAGGCGGCCCGCGCGCGTCCGCCGGCCGGCCCGCGGGCCCCGGCGGCGGCGCCCGGGCGCGCGGCGCGGCCCGCCGCGCGCGCGGCGCGCCCCGGCGGCGCCGCGCGCGGCCGGATCCCGCCCCGGGGTGCCCGGGGCGGGCCGGGCGAGCCGGGCCCCGCGCCTCGGGCGACAACTCTGGAGGGGTGGAAATCGGGTCGGGCGCCGGCGCTCGCTTGTCGGGCCTGCGGGGTGGAAATCGGGTCGGACGCCAGCATCGGTTCCTCCATGGGGTCCGGGCGGGCCCGGCGACAGGGAGCGGGGCATGGGATCATTTTCGCTGCGGACGCGGCGGCCGACCTCGTCCGGCGTCGTTTGGATTCGGGCAGCGAGGCCATGGCGCACACCGCTGCGGGCGTCCGAGTCGCGGCTTGCGGGGTCGCGGGGTCGCGTCTATTCGACCCGTGGAGGTCCGGGCAGGCGATTTGAGCCGCTTGGGGGCGCGCCGACCGACCGCGGTTGGGTGCACGCGTCGGCGTTCGTCGCACCGAGGGCTGGGGGTCGACTCGCAGGTTCACGCTCGCGAGCTCCGTGCAGCCCGCGGCCAAGGTTTCGTTGAAGCGCGCGGGCCGGGGGGCTGGGCCCACGATTCACAGTTTTCAGCAACCCGTCGCTGCGCTGCCAACCGAGCGTCGGCCGACGCGCGCTCGAAGCGCGACCGTGCCTCGTCGACGGACGCCGTCGCACCGCCGCGGCGCACTTTGTCAAATGCGCCCCATGTGGGATTTCGGTGTGATTCGGGTCGCCCGTCGAGTCGTGGATCCATCGCGAATTCGGGCGCGCCGCTGCTCGACGAACGGAATACAGAGCGTCCCGCGCCGCCCCGCGCCGACGCTGGGGACGTCGTCGAAAAATTCCGGCGCGCGGACCCGGCCACGGGGAAAACGCGTTTTCCCCGATCTCGACCCGGCGGCGGCCGCGCGCGGGGGAAGTCGGTCGGATGTTACTGATCGCGCGAGCCAAAACATCGCATCACGAACTGGGGAGCACGCGGGAACGCGTTCGCGCGGAGATTCCCGCCGCGCGGCGCGCCCGGGCGTCCTGGCGGGCGAAGGACGTCCGCCCGAGGCTCCGGGAGGACGACGTCCCATCGATGTCGGGGAACAACGACCCTCGACCCCGCCACCGCGCGCGTCCGCACCCGGCCCGACCGGGCCACACACACAACCGCGCGCCTAGAGCTAGCCAAACGTTTACTGGTCCAGGTCGTCGTCGATGACGCGGGCGTGCTGGAGGATCCGCTTGAAGACGACGGGGAGGTCGTCGGCGTCGAAGCAGATGTGGCCGTGGCCCCGGGGCAGCGCGCCGGCGATGGCGGCCGCCTCGTCGCCGATGGAGCCGACCATGACCGCGTGCATGGCGACGCGGTCCTCGTCGTCCGTGAGCGCGTCGGCCCACCAGAGGGGGTCCATGCCGTAGCGCCGGAAGTTGGCGTCGGAGAGCGCGACGACGAGGTGCTTGCCGCGCTTCCGCGCCCAGTCCGCGTCGTCGTCGTCGTCCGCGGCGCCGTCCTCGTCGTCCGCGCGAGCCTTGACGTCCGCGCACGCGCGCCGCGTCGCCTCGACGGTCATGTCGCCGCTGTCGCAGAACTGGGCGTGGGCGACCATGCGCTGGAGCACCTTGAGGCGGCTCCCGCGGTCCGGCGGCGGGTCGCTCCACTCGACGAAGGACACGGCGTTCGCCTCGCCGCTGTGGCCGCGGATCGCGTACTCGTACTTGTCGTCGAGGCCCGCGAGCGCCTCCATGAGCAGCATGGCCGCCTCGAGCATGCGCGACAGGCGGCCGTCCATCATCTGGAACCGGTACATGGACCCCGACACGTCCATCAAAAAGAGGAGGCGCCGCTTCCGCCGCGCGCCGTCCTCGCGGGGCCGGTCGTCGCCGCCGTCGCCGTCCGGCGGCCCCCGCTTCTTGAAGACGAGGCGGTCGCCCGCGACGCCGTCGACGAGGCGGTCGTCGTCGAGCTCGCCGTCGGACCGCCGCTTGAGCCACGTCCGCTCGCGCTCGCGGTCCTTGGCGCTGTCGAGCGCGCGCTGGAGCGCGTCGACGTGGGGCGCGATGCGGTCGAGCATGTCCTTGTAGAGGTCCCAGTCGCGCTCCGACATGTGCTCGATCTCCTCGAGCCGCTCCAGGTGGGCCTTGCGCGCGATCTTCTTCGCCGCGGCGCGCGCCTCGTCGCTCACCTCGGCCTTGGCCTCCTCGGAGACCTGGTGCACGGCGTTGCCGTCCCAGAGCCGGAAGGGCCCGCCGCGGCCGCCGAGCCCCGCCGTGTCCGAGCCGCCGGACCCGCCCGCCCACGTGTTGCCGCCGACGTGCGGCGCGCCCGTCTCGTCGACCTTGCCGACCTTGGGCGCCTTGAGGCCCGTCCGCGGCGTCGACGCGCCGCCGGCCTCGCCCGACTTCCGGAGATATTCGACGTCGATCTTCTCGAGCAGCCGCCCGCCGACGTCGCCGACGCCCGCGTCCCCGAAGAGCTGGGCGATGGCCGCCTTGGCGCCCTCGAAGCCGTGGGCCTCGAAGACCTCGGCGACGGCGTCGCGCTGCGGCGCGAAGGCGTCGTGGGCCAGCACGTTCGCGAGCGCCGCCGGGAACGCGTCCGGGTCGTCGCCGCCGAAGGTCTCCAGGTGGCGCGCGACGGACGCGCACTCGCGCATGCTGAACGGGTACGCGAGCGCGCCGAGCTCGTGGCGCGCGCGCAGCTCCGCGAAGGCCGCCGCGAGCCGCCGCCGCTCCTCCGCGGGCCGCGACGGCGCGAGGGCCGCGAGCAGCTCCTCCTCGCTCGCGATGTCCGGGTTCTCGACGACCACCGGCGCGAAGGCGTCGCCGCATTCCCGGAAGAGCGCGTTGCCGTGGAACGGGTAGCCCGGCCGGTTCGCCAAAACGACCAGTCGAAAGTCGTCGTGCACCGCCACGAAGTCGCGGCCGTCGGCGGCGTCGTCGAAGGGCCGCGTCGTCAGCACGCGCCCGTCGGGCAGCGCGAGCTCGCCGTCGGCGACGAGCGCCTTGAGCAGCACCGTCACCTCCGTCGGCGCCTTGTCCGCCTCGTCCAATACGCACGCGCGGCCCTCGACGGCCGCGCGGACGAGGGGCGCGTCGACGTAGCGCAGCGCGCCGCCCTCGAGCACGGGCGTCGCCGTCAGCGACGCGACGGTGGAGTCGCGGTGGAGCTGCGCGTACTCGCGCTCGACGTTCGCGAGCTCGAGGTAGCGGTCCACGGCGACGTTCTTGCCCACGCCCTGGTTGCCGATGCATAAAATCGCCCGCTCGCCGACGGCCTCCAAGCGGAGGAACGTGGCGACGGCCCGCTCCGCCGCGGCCGTCGCGACGTAGCCCCGCACGGCCGGCACGAGCTCGGGCGCGGACCGCGGACCGCGCGCGGCGACGGCCGCGACCTCTTCGCCGTCGACGGACGCCGCCACGCGGTCGTCGTCCGCGACGACGGACCAGCGGCGCGCGTCGTCGTGTTCGCCCTCGCCGGCGTCGCCGAGCCAGCCGTCGACGGCCTCGCCGAGCCGCCGCGGCAGGAACCGCGCCATCAAGCCGTCGCGCACGGCGGTCGCCAAATCCGCGCCGCCGCCGACCTGCTTCGCGACCCGCAGCAGCGTCCGCGTCGTCAGCCGCGTCGCCTCCTCGCCCTCGCGCGACGCATCATAAACCGCCGCGAGGCCGCCGTGCGAACTTCCCAGGAGCGCCGCCGCGGCCTCCGACGCCTCGGCGCCGGACCACTCGGGCAGCGCGAAGGTGGAGAACGCGGCCGCGACCTCCGCGTCGAGCCACCGGCCCGGCTCCGCGACGGCGACGACGGCGAAGCCCGGCGCGGCCCGGAGTCGCGTGCCGTCCGGCAGGTCGACGACGCCCTCGTGGAGCGCGCGGCCCAAAGCTGCTGGGAGAGCACCTTTCGGCAGGCGGTGCGCGCCGTCGAGCACGCAGACGCCCCCTGACCGCATCGCGGCGGCGAGCGGCGAGTCGCGCCAGACGCTCCGCCCCGTGGCGCCGTCCGTGTCGCGCTTCTGCAGCAGGTCGCGCGCGCCGAGGTCCCGGTGGCAGCCCACGGTCCACGCGCGCGGCCGCCCCTCCAGCAGCTTCCGCGCGAGGGCCGTCTTGCCGCCGCCGCGCGGCCCCACGAGCAGCACGCGCTCGCCGGCGTCGAGGGCGCGGCGTGCCGCGCCCAGCGCGGCTTTCTGGGTCGGCGAGAGCCAGAGGGCCCCGTCGAGGCCGCCGACCTCGCCGGCCGGCGGCGACGGCCCGCACGCGTCGCGCGCGGCGTCCGCGATGGCGTCCCGCGCGGGCGCGGACGCCCCGAGCAGGTCCGCGCCGGCGAGGGGCGGGTAGCACGCTCGTAACGTCCCCAGGGCGTCGCCGGGCGCCGCCGCGCCGCGCGCGAGGACGCGGTTCAGAGCCGTTCCCGAGAACCCGAAGAACGACCGCTTCTCGCCCGCGCGCGCCTGAGTGGAAATCTATCTTCAACCCGACTTCAATGTGCGATTATGCGACAGTTTCGATGCAAGCGCTTCCGCTGTGCTTCGAGAACTCAACGAGAGCGATCGATCCGTCCAAAAATCAGCCGAATCGACTTCGATTTGATCGAGATAGAGAGGTTTGAAGTTTTTGCTGGACAGGGCGTTCCACTGGTTGATTTCCACACAGGCGCGCGCCGCGGCCTGCTTCTCGAGCTCCAGCACCGCCGCGACGGCCGTCGTGAGCGTCCTGTCCGTCGACGCGAGCTCCGCGATATCGAAGCCCGGCACGAGCCCGGCCTGGAGCCGCGACCGGAGCGGCGGGTCGAGCGGTCTCCCGTCGAACGGCGGGCTCGGCGCCGCGAGCGCGACGACGCGGAAGTTCGGGTGCACGGCCTCGAGCTTCGAGCTCGTCGCGCCGAGCATGCCGCGGAAGGCGTCGAAGCGCGCCGCGGGCACGAGGAAGCGGCCGTCGTCGAGCGCCATCTCGCGGTTTTCCAGTAAATTGTTCAGCGTCGGCAGCACGTTGCGCTCCGCCCGCTCCAGGCCGTCCAGAATGAGGACGCCGCCGCGGAGCGCCGCCCGCACGGGCGCGCCGTCGCTCCAGGTCGCCGACCCGCCGCCCACGAGCTCGCGCCGCTGCCGAAGGTCCGCCTCGGTCGTGTCGGCGGACACGCCGACGTAAAAGGCCTCGGCGCGGATCAGCTCCGCGTAGGCGAAGGCCGCGTGGCGCGCGCGCGCGCGCTCCGCCGGCGCGCACACGAGCAGCGCGTCCTGGGCCAGCGCGTCCTTCATGGCGAGGAACTCGAGGGTCGGGAGCAGGCGCGCCGGCAGGGACTCGACGTAGCCTTCCGGCACGAAGGACCCGCCGGGCCGCAGCGGCACCGTCGCCCGGCCCACGCGCACGCTGTCGACGACGTCCGCCTCGCTCGACATGGCGCGCCGGCGCACGGCGCTTGCGGCGAGGCGACGCATCGGTGAGGGCGAGGAAGGCTGTATTTCTGCTTCATCAACTTGAGGCAAAGGTGAACGCCGTATGCGTCCCCGGGTCTGCCGCGGTCTTACCGCCCGGCGCGGTCCGCGCCGGCCGGCGGGCACGTCCTAGGCCTCGGTCCCCGCGGGCACCTGCGCGGCGGACATCTCGAGGTCCGTGAGCACGGAGCCGCCGTGTTTCGAGTCGTCCATGCCCATGGCCTCCTCCTCCGGGCTGCAGCGGATGCCGATGGTCAGGTGCATGGCCGTGAAGAGGAGCGTCATGGTGCCGCCGACCCAGGCGATGATGAAGAGGACGAAGAGGCACGCGCTCCCGAGCGCGCCGCCGTCGCCGCCGTAGAAGACGCCCGCGCACTCCGACGCGCGGTCGTCGTCGCTGTAGTAGGCGATCTTGTAGTAGTACTCCGTGGCGAAGAGGGACGCCGCGATGACGCCCCACATGCCGCAGGCGCCGTGAACCGGAAAAGCGTCGACGACGTCGTCGATGCCGAGGAAGACGAGCGACTTGGACGCGCCGAGGTACACGGGCGCCTGGGCAGCAAAAGGGTGATTCAACGTCGCTTCAACGTGAGTGTTCCGCGCGCGCGCGTTCCCGAAAAAAACATCCACGCTTCGAGACCGTTCCGAGAGATGATCGCTCGTCCAAAAATCAGCCGAAACGAGTGGAAAACGGCCTTGATATGAGCCTTTGAAGTTGGGAATTTCGCTCTCTTTTGCTGCCCTGACAGGCGCGGCGATGAGCCCGATGACGAACGCGCCCCACAGGTTCACCACGGGGCAGGGCGCCGTGATGGACACGAGGCCCGCGAGGATGCCGTTGTTCGCGTAGGCCGTGTCGATGACGTGGTCGACGAGGTAGCCTAAAAACGTCGTCGCGAGGCAGCCCGTCGCCGCGGAGATCGTCGTCGTCATCATGACGTGCGCGGCGAGCCCGCCGTAGCCCGTGATCGCCAGCGTCGAGACGCCGTTGAAGCCGTACCAGCCGACCCAGAGCATGAGCACGCCCAGGGTCTGGTAGACGACGGACTGCTGGGGCAGCCCGCGCTTCCAGTCCGTCCGCGGGCCGACCATCTTCGCCGCGACGAGCGCGGCGACGCCGCCGGTCATGTGGACGACGCCGGACCCGGCGAAGTCGATGACGCCGCAGCCCCCCACGAGCTTGGACGACCGCCAGGGGCTCAGCTTCCCGGACCCGTCCCAGCCCATGTGCACGCAGACCGGATATATAAAACCCGTGATCACGCACGAGTAGCAGACGTAGGCGCCGAACTTGCAGCGCTCCGCGACGGCCCCGGACACGATCGTCGCCGCCGCGCCCGCGAAGGCCCACTGGAAGAGCCAGAAGGCCTTGGCGTACGTCTTGCCGTCCGCGGACATCGTCAGCGGGCTGCCGCTGTTGCCCTCGTAGAAGTAGCCGCTCTTGCCCAGGAAGCCGTTGTTGCCCGTCTTCGGGAAGTTGTCGTCGCCGAAGGCGATGCCGTAGCCGAAGAACCACCAGAAGATGGCCGCGATGGACGCGTCGAAGACGTTCTTGATCAAAATGTTCTTCGTGTTCTTGAGCTGCACGGACCCGACCTCGAGCATGGCGAAGCCCGCCTACGAAAAAACGCCTCCGCACCGGCGCGCGACACATCGACGCGGCGCAACCGCGCCTGCATGAAGAAGACGAGCACCATGCCGAAGAGCAGCCAGAAGGCGTTGGCGTCGGCAGCCGACAGGTAGACGGGCGCGTCGTCGTCGACGCCGTGGTTGCCCTCGAGCGCGGCGATGCGGGCCGTCAGCGCGAGGATCGTGTCGTCGTCGGCGGACACCCCCATGGTCGGCGCCGCGGAACTGTGCCTGTGGTGGGAAAGCGCGCCAGCCCCGCTCGGCACGATCACGTTTTTTCGGCCGCAGATCGTCCGGCCGACGGTGCCGAGATACGGATGGACGTGCACTTAAGCTTCCGAGTCGCGGCGCCGCGTCGCGACGCGCAAACGGAGCCTAATAAAGTGTTACGAGAGGGACGAGAAGCCGCAGGTGGCCGGGTCCAGTTCGAGGTCCTCCGGGGCGCGGTAGTTGCCGAAGCCGTCGTCGCGGCAGAAGTCCCAGTCGCACATGGTCGGCATGCCGTAGGCCGCGATGGCCTCCTGGGTGCTCTTCTCGTTGCGGATCTGGAGCGAGTACTGCGAGTAGGGCAAGGACGCGAAGGCGCTGAACTTCTCGAGGCGATCGTCTTCGAAGCTGCCCGGGTCGTTCGTGACGACCTCGCGGCGCGTGAGCAGCGGCACGCGGTCGTCGTCGTGCATGGCCACGAGGGTCGTCCAGGGCGTGCCCCGCGCCGAGAGGGGCCAGAGGGGCTCGTCGACGGTGACGCCGACGTGCTCGTCGAGGAACGCGTCGTAGACGTCGTCGTCCAGGCCGGTCCGGAGCGCTCGTTGGAACGCCGCGAAGTCCGCGAGGTCCAACGTTCCCTGGCCCCGCGGGAGGTCCAGGGGCGGCGCGCCCGCCGGCGGCGCCGCGAGGTGCACGTAGTACGCCGTCGCGTTGACGGCCGCGCCGTCGAGCTCCTTCGAGTGGAACTTGAGCCAGACGTCGTCTCCCGGACCGCCGGCCGATTCGACGGCCGCGGAGACGTCCGCGTGGACGAAGTAGCGCGCGAGCCAGGCCGCGTCGCCGCGCGGGTCCGGCGACGCGACGTGCGAGTACGCGGCCCGCGAGATGGGCCAGCGGCCGTAGCCCTCGTCGCCGAAGGCGTAGGCGTCGCCGTCGCCGTGCCGCGCCGATTCGCAGACGACGTAGGGCGCGTCCTGCAGGCAGTTCGTGCCGCTCTGGTACCAGCCCGGCAGGTCCGCGGGGTAGACCAGGGCCTCGTCGTAGGCGCCGTCGGCGTCGAACGCGGCCTTGGACGCGGCCGACGCGGAGACGGCCGCGGTCTCGAAGATCCGGCCGTCCGCGTTGCGGCTCCGCACGACGTAGAGCGGCACGCTGCCGCCCTCGGGCCCGCCGGGCGCGTCGAGCACGGCCCGGCCCACGCGGAGCGCGTAGGGCCAGCCGAAGCGCGCGCGGTTGTCGCGCGCGCCCTCGAGCGCGACCTCGATCCCCGCGCCGTCGAAGAAGCCGTAGCGGTTCCCCGAGAACTGGTTCGCGTCGCCCTCGAGGCCCGTCGCGTCGTGGAGCGCCGCGAGCGCGGCGCCGAACTCCTCCATGCTCAACCCGACGGACCGGCCGGCGACCTCGGCCTCCTGGACGACGGCGTTGTCCGCGGACCACACGAAGTGGATCTCGTCGTCGCTGGGCTTCGCCCGCGCGGACAGCCAGCGCCGGCTCACGGTCGAGCAGCCCGTCGGGCCCAGGTAGTCGTAGCCGCCGCCGCCGGTCACCGCGGCCCGGTCGAAGCGCTCGCCGAGCGTCCAATTTCGCCTCACCCTCTCGATCATGTTGTAGCCGAACCAGGCGGCGTCGGCGTTCTGCGCCAGCGTCGCGCGGCTGCCGCAGGGGATCGTCCACTTCCCGAAGTGCTGCAGCACCATGCGCGGCGGCGCGTCCGCGTCGGCGTCGGCGCGCCCGTCGCCGCCCCGCCGCCAGTCCAGCGACGGGGCGGACCGCGCACCGCGCCGCGCCCGAACCGCCGGCGGCCCGGTCGCGGGAGGAGCCCGCTGCGCTCCGTGGCGTCCATCGTTGCTGACTTCCTCCGAAAAAGCAGCTTCGATGGCGTTGAACTCAAGTTGGCCTCGGCCGGGGGTACGGCCTGGGCACTGTGCTGGGGTTGAGGGGGGGAATTGGCCAAATTGGGCGGATTGGCCGGATCGGACGTACGCCGTCGGACGGCAGCCAACCGCGGTCGGACGATCGGACGAAGAGCCAACCGCGATCGGACAGGGACGAGGCCATTGGACGAACCTAGCGGCCATTGGACATGACCCCCGGCCATTGGACGTAAAAGTCATCCATTGGCTACGATCTCGCGACGTTGGGCAGAGTCTGGGCAGCCCGCTCGCGAGCGGCGACGGCCCGGAGCGCGTGGATTCCATGGGAGCGGCCAACGCCGCCCTCCCGCCCGCCCAAGACCTCGGCGCCGATGAACCAGAACTTCCGATTCGCGGACTGCCGCCGTTCTGCAGACATCGATCACTGCGAATGCGGCGCGCGTCCCCCGATTTTTGCAGCTCCGGGTTTATACGCCGTGACAGGAAGGACATGGGGCAACATATCACTTCTGTGCGGTCGCCCTACGGCTGACTCGGGTTCGAATCACCCCCACGCGCGTGACGACGACGACGACGGCGGCGGCGGCGGCGGCGGCGGCGGCGGCGGCGACGACGACGACGACGACGACCGACCGACCGACCGACCGACCGACCCCCCAAAGTAGGCTACAGGGCTTCGCCGGGGGCCCGAAGGGACTCGCCCGGCACCTCCCCGAAACCCCAATATATTTTTTAAAAATTTTACCCCCCGCACCCGGCGCTCGAGGTGGCCTCTCTGCTGGCAGTCCTCGCATTACACCGTGACTGGCGCAGAGCTCGCGACTCATGTCGGCCAGCGATCGGACGATCGGACGATCGGCCAGATCGGACGATTGGACGAAGCCCATCGGACGCACGGCCAATCGCGGTTGGACGTGGCCAATGGGATTCAGCCAACGCGCAACGCGGCCAATCCGGCCAATTTGGCCAATTCCCACCCTCAAGCCTGGGGTACGGGGCGCGGCGCCGTCGTGCAATAGGCGTCGTTTAGGTCGGCGGCGGTCGGCGGGCGCCGCCGCCGGCGCCCGGCGGTCTCGCCGCGCGCGCGGTTCGATGGATAGTGTGTGTGCGAGCGATGGATGGTGTGTGGGGGGGGGGGTTGCGGCGACGGGGCCGCGCGGGCGCGGGGGCGCGGGAGGCGAAGGCGCGGCGGTCCGGCTCGGCCCCGGGTAGGCGACCCGCCCGGGGCGCCGGACCGCGGCGGGCCCGGAACGCGCGTGAGTTCCGGGCCGTCGCCGCCGACCCGCGCCTCCGGCTCCGAGGTCCCCTAGCCGTTTTCGAAGGCCCAGTTCGTGATGAGCGAGATGCGCTTCGTGCTGAACTGGGGGCGCTTCGTCTCCGCGATGTCGAGGTGGCTCTGGGCCATGGCGCGCGTGGCGATGGACCGCTTCTCGAACAACGTCTGGCGGGAGCCGCCGTGCGTGTCCGGGTAGAAGTTCGTCGGCGGCGGCGCCTGGGGAACGAGGGCGATTCGACGACGCTTCAACGCGCGCGTTCCAGGGAAAACGCTTCGAGACCGTTCCGAGAGCTGATCGCTCGTCCAAACATCAGCCGAAACGAGTGGAACGCGGCCGAGCCTTTGAAGTCGGGAACGTCGCGCGCGTTTCCCGCGCCGGGCGGCGCCTCGGGCACGGCGTCGGACATGCACACGGTCATGTCGTAGGAGCCGTGGTTGATGAGGCGCTTCTCCTTCATGTTGAGCTTGCACAACGAATAGTTGAAGCTCGGGTTCGTCGCGAGGCGCTCCGCGTTCTCCTCCGCCGCGGCGGAGCCCGGCCGCGCCGTCCACTGCGACCCGTACAAATGCGCGTCGCGCTGGTGGTTCCGGAAGAACTGGGACGCGAGGGTCTTGCGCCCCCGCGTGCGCTGCACGGGGCTCAGCTGGCCCGTGCCCAGCGCGTCGAGCGCCTTGCTAATTTTGTAGTCGTCGTGGCTCACCTCGCCGTCGCCGTCCAAATCGTAGGACCAGTGGGGCACGTTGACGCCCCTCAGCTTCTTCTTGAACTCGGACCGCGTGCGGCTCCGAGGCATGTTGTTCGACTCGGGGTCGAGCAGCAGCGTGCGCAGCGGCAGCTTCTTGCTCATGACGGGCCGGCTGAACGCCGTCGTGCCGAAGGACGGCTCCGACGCGGACCGGCCGAGCGGCCGGCCACCGAGGCTGCCCGTGCTCGGCCGCGGGGGCGTCACGAGCGCGGCGACGGCCTTGGTCACGGCCGCGACCCGCCCGGGCGTGCACCCGGCGCTCTCGCGGAGCCGCGAGCTACTCAGCACCATGCTCGCCGTCGACGGGCGGATGCCCTCGCCGGACGACGACACGCGGTTCGTCCGCCCCGTCGACACCCGCGACGACGGCATGGCCACGCCCACCGGGCACGACGGACGCACCTACCACGCCCGCCGGCCTACCGCATGGGCGACCGACGCCACAAGCTATCAACGCGAGGGCTGCTCTCCGACGCGACAACGATGCGTGGATATCGAGGTGTTTTATGTAAATGTCGACCATGGTCGGCTCGCTTGCAGTTCAAGGCGAAGATATCGAAGAAGGTGAAGAAGGCGATGGCGTCCTAACATCGATGGGTAAGGGCCGCGCGAAAGCCAAGAAGCACCAGCCGACGCGCCGGCCGGCCGCGGCGCAGCGCGTCGCCGCCGCCGGCAGCGTCGCCGTCGCCGCCGCGGCGCAGCGGTCGCGCGAGCAGGCCGCGAAGCGCGCGGCGGCGGAGCGGGAGACGGGCGTGCCCGGTGGGCTGGCGCTCCTCGAGCGCGCCTACGCGTCGCTGCTCGCGGAGCCCGCCGTCGTCGTCGTCGCGCACTGCGGCGACGCCGCCGCCGCGAAGCTCTTGCGCGACGGCGCCAAGGCGCTGCGAGCGCCGGCCGTCGCGTTGCACGCGGCCGCGTCGCGCGCCGCCGTCGCCGAGGCCGCCCGCGTCGCCGGCGGCGGCCTGCTCGCCGTCGCCGACGACTTCCTCCAGCGCCTGCCCGCGGCCCTGGCCCGGGCCGGGGTACGAGCGTGCCGCGTCGCGGGCGACGACGCGAGAGCGGAGCTCGAAAAGCGGCGCGCCGCGGCCGTCGCCGGCGCGCGCGCGCTGCCCTGGCGCGCGGCCCTCTTCGCGCCGCTGGCCACCATCAGGGCCCGCTGCCGGGCCGCGCGCGGCGCCGCGGCCGCGCCGGGCGACGAGCGGGCCCGGACGGCCGCGGTCGTCGCGCTGCACGCCGACGGCGCCTCCGCGTCCACGAGGCGCAAGATGGCGGCGCTGGGCATGCTCGGCGGCGCGACGACGCGCATCGCCAACGACCGCGGCGAGCGCCGCGAGCTCGCGCGGACGCGGTTCCTCGACGGCTCGGTCGTCGCCGGCGCGCCGTGGCGGGGCGCGGAGCGCGACGGCGCGGCCGCCGACGCCGTGTCGCTTCGCGTCCGCGACGCGCTCGCGGAGGACTGGGAGACGTTAGCGCCGGGCTGGCGGCCGAACCCGAAACCCGGCGACGGCTGGGGCGGCGCATTCGGGAAATGCTGCGGCCACAACGAGGTCGTCATGCACGCGGTGCGGCCCTTCGCGCCCCTCGAGGTGCTCAACACGAAGTGCTGCTCGCGCGCGGACCCGGCGCCGGGCAACGCCGGCTTCGACGGCTGCCTCGAGTTCCTCGCCGCGCGCGCGCGCGCGAAGCGGCGGCCGGCGACGGTCTGGGACAGCGCCGCCTTCCACTGCGTCGGCGCCGACGGCGTCGACGACGTCCTGGAGAAGCGGGACTTGTTGGGTTGGCCCCTGGACCGCGTCGCCTTCGTCGTCCCGGCGCTGCGGCGGCTCACGGTCGCGACGGACGGCGCGGTGCCCGCGCGGGCCCTGCTCGCGCGCGTCGACGCGCTCCTCGCGCTCGGCGAGGACGCCTCGGCGACGCTCGCGTCGCCGGCGGTCGCGCTCCCGCGGCGCGCGACGGCGCTCGTCGTCGCGTTCGCGCTCGGCGGCGGCGCCCGGCCGCGCGCGGACGGGTCCGGGCGCGGCGTCTTCCCGCGGCGATCATCGCCCGCTTCCCGGACACACTAACATGCTAGCGCGCTAACTTGCCGAGGATCGCGACGGACCCGCCGCCGTGGAACTTAACGACGTTCGAGCCGCCGCCGAGGAACGCGCGGACGCCGTCGTGGAACCGCTGGCCCGTCTGCGGGAAGTGCGCGTTGCGCCTAGAGACGGAAGATCGATCACGCCGGAAAGAGGAGACGCCGCGCCGCACCCTTTGGAGAGTGAAAAACCGAAGGCCTTGCCCGTCGCGCCCGTGTTCGCGTCGTCGGTCGACAGCAGCTTCTTCAGGCCGCCGGGATGGCTGTCGACGAAGGCCGTCGCGTCGACGACGAAGCCGTCGACGACGGCCCAGAACGCGCGGCCGTCGCGGCCATCGTTGCGCTTTATTTCCGCCGGCGAAAACAAGCGCAGGCCGTCGGCGCCCACGTTTTCCACGCAGAGGTGCGCCTGGGCGTGGTCGTCCGAGACGACGGCCATATTGCTTTTGCCGAGTCGAGCGTCGCCGCGTTTACTTTTCTTCTTTGTCGAACGTCTGTCGCCGCGCTTGCTGGTCGTCGTTCGCGTGTCTCGCGCACGCTTGTACCTGCAGTCGCCTCGCGCGCCGCGTCCAAGCCGCGTCCAGATGCCGCAGCCTTTTTAAGCGACCTCGATTATTGATGCGTTCTTGAAGTTTCGCAATTAGCCGGCGAACGATGGTGCGGTTCTCGATGCTCGTCCTAGCCTAGCCTTGAAGTCGATAATTAACCGGCGAGCGATGATGGTGCGGTTCTCGATGCTCGTCGCATCGCTGGCAACGACGAGCGCGCGCGACCGTTGCGTCTTCAACGCGACCGACGCGCGCTGCGAGAGCGCGGCCTACCGCGGCCAATACCCCTTGTGCGCCCTGTTCCAATACGCGGACCGGAGCCCCATCCCTTGCCGCGGCCTCGTCGACGCCGACGCCTGCGACGCCGACAAATCCCCGACCCCCGAGGCCGCGTCGTGGCACGTGCACGTCTTCTTCCCGAACGTCGACTGCGGCAACTGCTCGGGCCATTTCACGCGGGAGGCGGCGAATTTCACGTTCGCGGGGGCCATGCGCCTCCGGCGCGACCTCGCGGCCTTCTTCAACGCGGACGCCGCCGACGCCCCCATCGACGAGGCGCGGGCCCTGCGGGACCCGGCCTACGACGAGTGCATCGACGGCTTCGGCCTCGTGGCCGGCGCGCCCGCGAAATACCACCCTTCCCCCTGCATCTACGAGGTCGACGCGGTCAAGGAGCTGGGCCCCTTCACGGACCCCGCCACGGGCCTCGGCTACCCGAACTGGTCCTTCTTGATCCCGTCGAACTTCTGGGCGCCGGGCCTGCGGGACCGGACCGTCGCGTGGTTCGAGCGGCGGCGCGAGCGCGGCGACGGCGGCGCCTACGACGTCCTGTTCCACCCGAACACGGGCTGCGAGGCGCGGGACCACGTCGACGCGTCGTCGCCGGACATCCGCTGGCTCGGCGAGCGGCGGCCGCTCGACGCGGCCATCTTCAGTTGCAACGCCCTCGGCTGCAACCAGGCGTGCCCCTCGGACCGGGGCCCGCCGGCGGACTGCGGTACTAGTTCCATCTAGGCCGCTTCGAGGGGCCCGCACGTTGTGGTTGGCGCGGGTGGCAGAAGGCGCCCGTTGCACTTTGTGTTTTAACGTCAACTACGCATCCGGCGCCGACGGGCGGTCCCTCACCCGCCTCCAGCAGGCCCCGCCGCGCCTCCGTTCGCAGCGCGCGGCCGTCGCGGCCGGCGGCGGCGCCTCGCACGTCGCGGCCGCGGCGCCGCAGGGCGGCCAGAGGGCGAGCGCGTCGACCTGCTTGCGCGTGGCGCGCCAGGGGAAGGCGTCGCGGAAGTAGGGGACGAGGTCGACGACGGTGGCGTCGACCGCGGACGCCGAGGCGACGCGCGGGTCCTCGGCCGCGTAGTTGACGCGGACGTAGGCCTCGAGGCCGGAGTTGAACATGAGCAGCGCCGGCGCGAAGGTGCCTGGGCCGAAATCAAATCTTCAACCCGACTTCAATGTGAGCGTATGCGACCGTTTCGACGCAAGGCTTTCTGCTCTGCTTCGAGAACTCGACGAGAGCGATCGATTCGTCCAAAAGTCAGCCGAATCGACTTCGATTTGACCGAGCTAGAGAGGTTTGAAGTTTGGCTGGAATAACCCAACCAGTGGTCGATTTCGGCACAGGAACGTGCCGACGCCGTAGACCACGCGCCGCGCGTTGACGAGCTGGGCGACGTCGTCGGCGAGCGCCGACGGGGCCCAGTCGGCCGCCGGGTAGCGGCGGAGGAGCTCGTCGACGACGGGGTTCCGGTCCTCGGAGACGAGGCGGATTCTGCCGAAGCCGCCGCCGTCGAGCGCGTCGGCGTAGTAGGACACGGGCGGCGGCGCGTAGTGGGTCTGGTCGTGCACGCCGAAGACGTCGCCGCCGCGCACGTGGACGTGGACGTCGTAGCCCCGCGCGGTCGCCGCGGTCGGGCCCGCGTACGCGCGTCGGAGGACCGCGAGGACCGCGTCGCGCGTCGGCGACGCGCGCGCGTCCATGGACGGCGTCGCCAGGTTCCAGAAGCTGTCCCGGAAGGGGCGGCGGCGGCGCCGGCGGGCGTCGCCGCGCGGCCGCACCGGCGCGGCGCGGAGCCGCCCCCCGGTCCGCGACGCGTTGAGGAACTTGGCTTCGAGGTCCCCGGGCGCGGCGCAGGCGCAGCCGTGCTCGACGGCGAAGCTCAGGCAGTTGGCCACCTGGAGGAGCGCGTTGCCGAGGCGGCCCGTCCAGCGGCCGATCTCCAGGTCGCGGCCCGCGGCGCACGCGCGCGTCGCGTTCGCGCGCCGCGCCGCCGGGTCCCCCCGCTCGCCGTCGCCCTCGCCGTCGGGCAGGCCCAGCGCACCGCGGAGCGCCGCCTGCGCGGCCGTGGACCGCTTGGCCTTCTTGCAGCGGGCGATGCAGCGCGGGCCCGTCCGGAGGGCGCGGCACGTGTCGGAGCAGCTCGAGGCCATGGCCGACCGGACGCGCTCGTCCGCCGCCAGCGCCGCGCTCGTCGGCGCGGCGGCGGGAGCGGCGCGGTAGGCCGCGAACGACGCGAAAGCGCCGGCGGCGACGGCGAGCGCGCGCCGCCAATGGCGCATCACGAGGGCTCCATCGTCTCGGAGGGCGGCAAGGTCGGAGGTGAACTTCATGAAAATCAGCTCTGCGCAAAATCGTCGAGCGAGCATCTCCTGCGCCGACGCCGCCGCGCCCGGGCCTCTCCCTGCGCGCCGCCGTCCCGCCCCGGGGGTTTCGCTCACCGATGGCGAACTTCGAGAGCGACGGCATCCAGAACCTCGCGGGCTTCGACGCGTTCAAGGACGCCGACGAGGAGGCCGGCGACCAGTCCAAGGTCCACATCCGCGTGCAGCAGCGCAACGGCCGCAAGTGCATCACGACGGTCCAGGGCCTCGCCGACGACCTCGACATCAAGCGCATCTGCAAGGCGTTCAAGAAGAACTTCCAGTGCAACGGCGCCGTGACCAAGGACAGCGAGCTCGGCGAGATCGTCCAGCTGTCCGGCGACCAGCGAACGAACGTGTCGTCCTTCCTCACGGAGCAGGAGATCTGCAAGAAGGCCCAGGTCGTCATCCACGGCTTCTAGGGCGCGTCGGCCCCGCGTCCGTCGCTCCGCCTTCCGTCCGCGCGCCGCACCGCTCCCCACTGCCACGGATCGCACCCGCTTGTCAATCGGGCGCGACGCCGCCACGGGGCTTAAAACGCGGAGAGAAACCGTCGCGCCGCCGGCGCCACGACGCGAGGGACACCGTCCAAAACGGACGCCGCGCCTCGCGCCACGGGCCGGCGACGCGCGCACTCCCCGACGCAGGCGCGGCCGCGGCTCCGGCGCTCCCCCGTAATGATGTTCCCCTTCGTTTCGTGCGAGCTCGGGCTTGGGGGCCGCCCGTTCGCCGAGGCTCGCTCGTTCGCGTTACGCGCGCTTCTTGACGAACATGGCCCCGTTTGGGACGATGGTGCGGAGCTCGGCCTCCCCGCGGAACTCGTCCCAGAAGAAGTCGTAGGCCGGCGTCGGCGTGTCGAGGACCGTCGCGTTGGGGTCCTTGGGCGCCCAGCCGTAGTCGTCGAACATCGCGGCGCCGCCCGGGCGGAGGAGCCGCCAGCCGAGGAGTACGTCCGCGAGCGCGGGCATGAGCGCGTGGGAGCCGTCGACGTAGACGAGGTCGTAGCGCGCCCCGGAGTCGAGGAGCTCGCCGAGCACGCGCGCGGACCGGCCCTTGGTCTTCGAGAGCCGCCGGCCCGCGTCGTCGACGAGCGCCGCGGTCTGCGCGTCGAAGAGCGCCTCGACGCCGGGCATGCCCGCGTAGGCCTCGCCGTCGAGGGACGCCTCCCAGGCGTCGACCTGGGCAGGACAAGAGAGATTCAACGTCGCTTCAACGTGAGTGTTCCGCGCGCGCGCGTTCCGGGAAAAGCATCCACGCTTCGAAACCGTTCCGAGAGATGATCGCTCGTCCAAAAATCAGCCGAAACGAGTGGAAAACGGCCGAGATATGAGCCTTTGAAGTTGGGAATTTCGCTCTCTTGTGCTGCCCCGGCGTCGACGCAGTGGATCGTCGCGCCGGGGAACAGCGCCGCGAGCACGATCGCGTTCGCGCCCGCGAACGAGCCGACCTCGAGGATGCTCTTCGGCGGCGACTCCGCGAGCCGGAGGACGTCGAAGGCCTCGAGGTACTTGGCCGCGAAGTGGCTGTTGAGGCCGGGCACGGCCCACATGTACATGCCCGCGTAGTCGATGGCCTCGCGGACCTCGGCGAAGCGGTCGGGCCAGCCCCGCCGCGCGGCCTCGCGCCGGAACTCGAGCTCGCGACCGCCCGCGGCGTCGACCTCGGACGCCGCGGACTCGAGGCAGGTCCCCGGCGGGGCGCCGACGTCGTCGCCGAGGCCGCGGCACGTCGCGAGGCCGGCCTCCGCGAGCGTGGCGCCCTCGCCCGCGCCGGGGCCGTCGAGCAGCCCGCGCCAGCCGCAGCGCACCACCGCGTCCCACCGCACCATGCGGCTCTCCCGCTCTCCGGTCTCGAGGTCGAACATGAAGACCCAGGTCCAGAGCACGAGGCGGCCGCCGCACGGCACCATGTCTTGCGATCTTCGGCGAGCGGTGCGCGGCGCGTCTCGTGCGGTGGTTGCAGCCTCTTATGAGCGCACCACCGATCGTGCGCGGGGCAGCGCGTCGGGCAGCCTCTCAGCGCACCATAATCGCTTCCCGTTGGGTGCAAGTTCTAAAACGATGTCTTTTTTAATGGAAGCCAAATATCCCAGTCTGCGATGGCATGGCGGCCGTGGGCTGCGTTCTGGGCGCTCGTGGCGTCGTGCGTCGCGGCCTCGGAGCCGTCGGCGCAGCACGGTGCGCCGCTCCGGAAGAGCGTGCTCGCCGCGGAGCGCGAGCGCGTGGGGCCGGCGCTGCGCGCGCGCATGCTCCGGCCCGGCGGCGGCGAGGTGCCCGCGCGGACCGTCGAGTACCTCCAGCTGCGGCCGGAGCGGCGGCGCGAGCTCGAGGATGGCACGGCGGCGCCGAGCGCGCTGCCGACGCCGGCGCCGAGCGCCCTGCCCAGCGCGTCGTCGGAGCCGTCGCCGCGGCCGAGCACGGCGGCCCCGACGCGCGTGACGCTCGCGCCGTCGCCGCGGGACTGCACGCTCGGCTTCTGCCCGCAGCCGACGGCGGCGCCGTCGGGCGCGCCGACGCTCGGCGGCGCGCCGACGCTGAGCTGCGGGGAGCGCCGTCCCCGTTAGCTTCCGGGCGTGTTCCGGACACCGCGCGCGCCCCGCAGGTGAGGACGGCGACGCGAACAACGAGACCGACAGCCGGCTCGTCGGCTGCGCGGGCTACACGGACGCGACGGCCTGCGGCCTCTTCGACACGGACGCCTTCCGCGCCGACGAGCTCTGCTGCGTCTGCGCCGCGGCGGCCGCGGCGCGCGTCTGCGAGGACTGCGACGCGTACGAGGCCTGGGACGGCGAGGGCTGCCCCGTGCGCGACGACGGCACGGCCTTCCTGCCCCTCTTCGACTTCGCGGCGTCCGACTCCGTCGAGGAGCGGCGGGGCTACGACCCCGTGGGCCTCGTCGACGGCTGCGCGGTCGCGATGACCATCGAGCCGGGCGCGTCCGCGTACTTCAAGCTCTCGGGCTTTTCGAACGCGACGGCGTCGGGCGCGCTGCCGACCTTCTTCCTCGAGTGGGACATGTCGAACAACGAGCAGTCCCTGCCCATGTTCTTCTCGCGCCGCGCGGCGTCCCGCGGCGGAGACGACTCGGGGAGATGTTGACGCGCCGCAGGTTCCGCGACATCCCGCGCTACTACGAGGGCGCCATGTCCCTCTTCTTCGACTGGTACAACTGGCCCGCGGTGCGTCGTCGCGGGCGGGACGCGCGGAGACGTCGAATTTCGGTAGGTGACGGCCGACGCCTACAACTACGCCGAGTCCGACGAGGGCTTCGACCTCTACCACTGCCACTCGTGCGGCTACCTCGTGTCGTCCTGCGCCTACTGCTGGGACGAGGACCTGCGGAGCGACGGCTGCGCCCACACGCCCCGCTGCGAGGCCTCCGGCGACGACCTCTATATGACTGTCTACGGCATGAACTCGCACGTGTCGACGGCCATGGTCAAGCTGTCGCGCGTCGTCATGTACGACTACATCCGCGAGTCCGAGCTCGAGGCCATCAAGAACCTCTGGCTGGCGACCTGCGAGCCCGTCCTCGCGCCCCCCGCCGCGCGGAACGTCGGGAGCGTGTTTCGGCCGGGGTTCGGACCGCGAGGATTCGCGGACGCCGCTCGATCGATCCCGCCGCTCCCGCCGCGAAGCGACGCGCCCTCGCCGCGCCGCGGACGGCGACGCCCCCCCCGCGCAGGCCCGCGAACTGGTCCTGGGTCGAGTACGCGGTCACGGATCTTCCCGAGGTCCAGGGCGAGGCGGACGTCCGGTCCAAGCCCTACTGCGACTGGTGGACGGACATGACGCGAGAGGGCCTCGACGGCGTGACGACGGGCGACTGCCTCGCGATCCCGGGCGTCGTCTGCGACGTCGACGGCTACGTGACGGATACGTGACGGACATGATCCTGTCGGACTACGGCCTCCGCGGCGAGCTGCCGCCCGTGCTCGGGCTCGCGCGCGCGCGCGTGATCCAGATGGAGAACAACCGGCTCAACGGGTCCCTGCCGAGCGACCTCTTCGCGTCGCCGTACCTCGAGGAGCTCGAGTTCTACGGCAACGAGCTCAGCGGGGACCTCGCCTGCCCGGAGACCGAGGAGCTCCTCCTCGAGGTGCTGGACCTCGAGAAGAACAAGTTCACGGGCCCCGTGCCCGCGTGCTACTTCTCGGACCTGCCGAAGCTCCGCGTGCTCCTGCTGGGCTACAACGACCTCGACGGCGCGCGCGCCGCGTCCGAAGCCCGAACGCCGGCCCCGCGCGAGGCGCGCCGTCCCCCGCGCAGGCGTGCTGCCCGAGTCCATGGGCGACGCGGAGCAGCTCGTCTACTTCTCCGCGGAGCGCGCGGGCCTCACGGGCGAGCTGCCGGCGAGCCTCACGGGCTGCCGGTCCCTCGCCTTCTTCCTCGTGTCCCACAACTTCCTCTCCGGCGAGATCACGTCCGACTTCGTCAACGGGTTCCCGGAGATGTACCACATCGACCTCGACTACAACGCCTTCTCCGGCGAGCTGCCCTACCTGAGCTGCTGCCTCAAGAACCTCCACAAGGTGTCCTTCGAGCACAACGCGTTCACGGGCTCCGTCACGGACGACCACTTCATCGAGCGCGCCGCGGCGCCCCGGCGCGGGCGCCGGGGCCTCTACGCGGGGTTCCCGACGAGCCTCTGGAGCCTCCGCGCCTGCGCGCCGCCCCCGCCCCCGCCCCGCCGCGAGCCCCCCCCGCGCGCGCAGGTTCGCCATGGGCCAGAAGCCGTCGGTCGAGTCCGCGCTGAGCCTCGTCGGCAATCGGCTCTCGGGCCCGCTGCCGTCCATCTTCTACTCCTTCTACTACGACGCGGCGACGACGCTGACCTACTTCTCCGCCAAGGACAACCACTTCCGCTGCAGCGCGCGGCCCGCGCCCGCCGTCCCGGGGAGCGTCGCGCGACGCCGCCGCGCGCAGGCCCGGACCACGAGAACGAGTACTTCGAGGACTGGGCCCACAACCTCGCGGAGGACGTCGGCATGTGCGAGCCCGTCGCGACGCCCGGGGCCGTGAGCGCGCCGGACGCGGCGCGCGCCTGTGTGGAAATCAACCAAACTGCAAAATTCTCCAGCTCGGTCAAATCGAAGTCGATTCGGCTGATCTTTGGACGGATCGATTGCTCTCATCGAGTTCTCGAAGCACGGCCGAAGAGCCTGTGTCGAAAAAATCGAATACGTGCACATTCGATTTGCACACAGGCGCGCGCGGGCGACGAGATCACCGTCGCCGGCGAGGCCTTCGCGGCGACGACGGAGAGCACGTGCAAGTTCACCTACGACGCCGGCGGCTCCGACGTCGTCCCGGCCTTCTTCTACTCGGCGGCCGAGGTCCGCTGTCCGTCGCGCGGCGTCTTTTTGCTTTTCGAGGCGGTTTTTCGGCCGGCGCGAGTCCGGGCGGCCTCCCGCTCGCGAGCTCCCGGCGGGCCGCCCGGACGAGCCTCTGCGATACGGCGCGGACGCCGTTCGATCGAGACCCCGGACCCCGTCGCGCCGTTCCGCAGGCACGCTGCCCGAGGACGCGCCGACGGGCGACTGCGTCGTCGCCGTGGCAAACTACGGCGACGACTACAGCGACGCGACGACGCTCGGCGACTACGCCGCCGTGACCTTCGAGATCTACCCGCCCGAGAGCTCGAAGAAGAAGAGCGACGACACGACGGCGATCCTCGCGCGGGCGCGGCGTCGCGAATCTTCGCCGTTCGAGCGGCCCGCTCGCCGCGGCGCTTCACCGCCGCGTCGCGCCGCCGCGGCAGTTCCGATCTACGCGCGCTCCTCCCTCGCCACCGCGCCGCGCCGCCGCAGGTCGCGGTCATCATCGCCGCGCTCCTCTTCGCCGCGCTCGTGACAGGCTCCTGCATGTACCTCGTCGCGCGCGAGAAGGCCGGCAAGCCCCTCTTCATGCCCCTGAGCCAGTCGCCCCTCCACCCCGCGGAGACCGAGCTCGCCCCCCCGGCGTCCGCGTCCGAGGTCGCCCTCAAGGACGACGTCGACGGCGGCCGCATGTCCACGATCCCGCTGTGAGACCGCGGCGAGTCGAGTCGAGAACACGACTCGCCCCTGTAGTGGCGCCTCCCCCCTGCCTTGATGCCTCCTCCGTTGCCCCCTCTGTCGTGTTCGTTGGCTAAATGCTCTGGACTTCATGGCGGGGAAGGTGGAAATTACACTTGAAGTTACACTAGCAAACTTGAAGTAAAAGCAAACTTGAAAAAAAATTTAGTTGCTCTCGCAACTTCATTTCCTTCTGGCGCAGCAATTTTCGAGTTAGCCTCAATTGGGTCTCGAACCGAGTCTGAGAATCGTGTTCGAGGTCGTGGGTTCGGAAGGGCTTGTGGTCTAGTGGTAGGATTCCTGTTTTGGGTACAGGAGATCTCGGGTTCGAACCCCGACTGGCCCCTTTTTTTTTTATTTTACAGACGGGGTAATACAATAGAACGACAGACAATAGAACGACAGAGGCGACGCAGGCGACGACTCCATTGTCTTTTGACGACGCGGGTGGCGAAATGAATGGATTCAGAGATGTGAGGCAATTATGGTCCTCATCGCATGAATGTGCGCCGTCGTCGTCCAAACGCTGCTCTAGCAGCGAACTGCGCTGTTCTATCGTCGCGTCGGTGGCCCGCAACGTCGTCTGAACGCTGCTTGACGCAGTGCGACGCGCCATGCCGACGCCCATCGAGCTGAAGCTCTCCGAAACATGCGCGATCACCGTCTTCACGGAGTCCGGCGCCGAGACCGGCGCCGACGACCCGACGTCGCGCGAGGTCTGGCCGGCGGGGTACGCCGCCGCAATGGAGCTCCTCGCGATCGCGGACGAGCGAGGCGGCTCGCTCGAAGGGCTCGCCGTAACGGAGCTCGGGTGCGGGAGCGGCGTCGCGTCGCTGGCGGCATCCCGCCTCGGCGCGGCGGTCCACGCCGCGGACGTCGAGGCGACGGCGCTCCAATTGCTCGAGCTCGGCGCGGAAGCGTCGGGCAGCCGCGTACGCGCGCACGTACTCGACGCCACGGACGGCGACGCCCTGGACGCGTTCTTCGCGCGGACGGCGCCGGACCTCGTCGTCGTCGCGGACCTGCTCTACGACCAGACGATCGCCGCGAAGCTCGGCGAAGCGCTCGCGAGGCACTGCCCGCCGCTGCCGCTCCTGTTGGTCGACCCGGGCCGCACGCACGGGCGGCGCCGCTTCCTGGAGACCTTCTCGCCCGACGACTTCTTCGCCTACGTCTTCGAGCCCGTGCCGGCGGCGCGGCAGTCGCCGACGTTCCGCGGCGAGCCCGCGCCGCCCTCCGCCTCGCTCGGTCGCCTCGGCGTGAATCTCGACGGGCTGCGACATAAGGACCCCGGGAGAAGTCCCGGGAGCTAAAGGCACGTTGGGCTCGCCGCGGCATAGACCGGACCCGCGCCGAGGAGGCGGAGCAGCCAGCGCCGCCCACAGAGCGATCGTCCCGAGGGCGCCGAAACGGCCGAGGGCGCCACTTACCTTACACTTACCCGGTCCCCCCTCCAGTCATGATCACGGCGCGGCTTCAACGTTGAACCGAGCAATTTGTGTGAACCCCTGTCAACCGGCAATGGGCAGCATCCCATGAAGCTCGCCCTCCTCATCATCGCCCTCACAACAGCGAAACCACAACAACGAAAGAAAAAGCCGCCGCGCAGCACGACACCGCAACCGTGCCCGCGAAGAACGCACCACGCGACGAACACGACCTACGTGCCCTACCGCCCCATACAACGAGGCGCCTGCACCTACGATCCGCACGCCTGCGCCGCGCTCGATGGCGTCGCGACGCCGCAGCCCATCGCGGCGACGCGCCAGGACGCGCTGCCGGCGGAGTTCCCCGCCGTCGACGCGGCCGAGGTCGGCGCGAACCGCGCGTACGACTGGGCGTCGCGGGCGCAGCTCCGGCGCGGCTGCGTCGGCGACGGCGGCAACGCGACGCGCTGGGCGGCCATCGTGGCGCGCGCCGCCGCGAACAAGCGCGCGCTCGCGCGCGGCGCCAGAGACGTGGCGCCCGTGCGCGTGCTCGTCCTCGGCGGGTCCGTGACTCTCGGCACGCATTGCGACTTCGACCCGGGCAGCCCGCCGCGCGCGGCCTGCGCGTTCCCGCAGCGGCTCGCGACGCATCTCGACGCGGCCTACGGACCGGGCGCCGTCGAGGTCGTGGTCCGGGCCATGTCGGGCACGGGGAGCGGGCCGGCGTCGAAGACCCGGCGGATCATCGACGCGGCCGCGACGACGGACCTGCTGATCCTCGACTACGCGATCAACGACGCCGTCGTGGCCACGGCCAAGACCTACGACGTCGACGACGTCGCGGGCCTGCCGGAGGCCAAGGCCGTGCGCCAGTCGACGGAGGTGCTGCTCCGCGTCTTCACCGAGGCCGGCGCGCACGTCGCCGTGTTGTGCACCTTCTACGTGCCCCTGTCGCCCGCGTCCTGGACCCACTGGCTCAAGCCCGACGCGCGGGGCCACGCGGCGAGCGACGGGTCGCCGACGTTCACCTTCGTGGCCTGCGCGACGGAGGACGAGCTGCGCCGCGCGAACCGGCTCCACTACGCGTACCAGGACATCGTCGCGCCCGTCGCGCGGCGCTACGGCGCGTCGCTCGTGAGCTACCGCGACGCCTTCTGGCCGGACGTCGCGGCGCCGCCGCACGTCGCCTACTGGTACAACACGCGCGCGGAGCACGAGACGTGCGGCCGCTACGGCGGGCCCTTCCGCCAGGACCCGCACCCGACCTACGAGGACCACCAGCTCATCGCGGACGTGCTCTGGTACCACTGGCTCCAGCACGCGGCGGCGGCCCACTGCGCGCGCGACGACGACGGCGCCGACGGGCCCGGCGAGCCCGAGCCGGAGCCGGAGTTGTCGCCGGAGGAGGCGGCGCCGGCCGACCCGTGCGGCGCGGTCCTCGCGTCCTTCGTCGCGGAGGGGAGCGACGCCGAGTTCCCCGCGGCGCGCCGGGGCCGCGACTGGCGCTACTACGAGGACCGGCCGGCGAAGCCCGGCTGGATCGGCCAGGCCCGGGAGCGGTCCCAGCGGCGCGAGCTCGGGCCGGTCTCGGCGTCCCGCGGCGGCGACGAGTTTCGAGAGCGTTCGACCGGGAACACGACGAAACGATTTTCGAGAGCCTTCGGCCGGGAAAACGATGAAACACTCCCTAGGTTGGTCTTCCGCCTGCCCTGCGGCGACGGCCCGATCCGGCTGACGATCCTCCGGTCCTACGCGTCCGTGGGCAGCGCGCAGGTCCGCGTCTCGCCGCCGCGCGCGCCGGGCGCCGCACCGGCCGTCGACGTCGACGACGGCGCCGTGACCCTCGTCGACGCGAAATGGGACCGCGGCGAGTCGACCTACGAGACCATCGACGTCCCCGCGCCGGCGGCGCGCTGCGGCGCGGGCGCCGCGCGCGACGTCGAGCTCCGCGTGCTGCCCCGCGACGCATCGCGCAAGCTCAAGTTCAAGCTCGTCGGCCTCGAGGCCTGCGCCGGGCTCGTAAACGCGACGACCTGAGCAAAAGCGCATCGGAGGGGGGGGGGGGCGCCTCCGAGGCTGGCGTGTCGGCAGAAGTATGGTAGAGTTTTTTATTGCCTTTTTAATTGAAGAAGGCTTGCAGTGCCGAAACTCGGGCTGCCAATCTGGGCTGCCGCAATCTGCTGCCACACGATGAGCGCTCGCTACTATCCTCGAGATCGAAGCCCGCCGCGCCGCGACCGGAGCCCGCCGCGGCGCTTCGGCCGGAGCCGGAGCCGCGAGCGCCGCCGGAGCCCGGAGCGGGGCGGCCCCGCCGGCCCGCGCTACTACCCGCGGCCGCGGCGGTCGCCGTCGCCGCGGCGCGCGCGCCGCGTCCCGCCGGGCCCGCGGCCCCCGCCGTCGCCCCGCGGCCCGAGCCGGCCGGAGAGCAGCACGGAGCGCGCCATCCGCTGGAACAAGGCCCTCTCGTCGCCGCGCGCGACGTCGGAGTCGATCCTGGACCTCGCGGACTTCGCGGGCGCGCGGCTCAACGCGGTCAACGTCGCGACGGCGATTCACCGCCTCGGCCGCCTCGGCAAGCGCGAGACCGACGCACGCCTGCGGCGCCTGCTCGCGCTCGCGCGCGAGCGCATCGGCGCGGAGACGTGGGCGCCCCGGCACCTGTCGAACGTGTGCTGGGGCCTCGCGAAGATGGGCGTCGACGACGCGCCGCTCTTCGGCGCCGTCGCGGCGGCCGCGCTGGCGGTCCTCGACGACTTCAACGACCAGGCGGCGAGCAACACGGTCTGGAGCTTCGCGACGGCGGGCGAGAAGGCGCCCGCGCTCTTCGACGCCGTCGCGCGCTGGGCCGCGCCGCGCGTCGCGACGATCCGGGAGCAGGCCCTGACGAACATGCTCTGGGCCTTCGCGCACGCCGGCGCCGCGGCGAGCGCGCCGCTCTTCGCGGCCGTCGCGGACGACGGCCGCGCGCTCGCGTTCTCGGTCCGCGGCCGCGCGATCGTCTGCTGGGCCTTCGCGACCGTCGGCGCGCCGGCGAAGCGCATGCTCGAGCGCATCGCCGACGAGTACCTCTTCGGCGCCTATTAAGCGTTACGTTCCCCGCCCGATCCCCACCGTCAATCGTCACGCTTATTTTGCACCGAACAGGTACCCCGTGGACGAGGCCGCGGCGAGAGACCTATCCGACGTGGCCTGGGCGCTCGCCGTCGGCGGCGTGGCCGCGCCGAAGTTCTTCGAGCGCGCCGAGGCCGTCGTCGAGACGCGCGTCGCCGCGCGCGTCCGCCGGCGTCCGGGAAACCGGGCGGCCCGAGAAACCTCCGTTTCGTAGGTTCTCGCAGCACCAGCTCGCGCAGCTCCACGTCGTGCGGCTCGCCGTCGCCGGCGCGGGCGGGACGTTCGCGGAGGCGCTCGCGCCGCGGCTCGCGCGCGCGTACGCCGCGTACCGGGCCGTCGCCGTGGAGCGCGCGGGCGCGGCGGCGCTCGCCGCGTCCGAGGCGCTCGAGGGCCTGGGCTGGGCCCACGACCGGGGCCTCGAGGCCGGCGACTCGGGCGTCGTCGTCGACTACGTGCGCCGCGACCGGAGCCGCGGCGCCGCGCCCCACGACCCGGCGCTCGAGGGCAGCGTGGGCTTCCTCCTCGCGCCGCGCCGCGGCGGCGAGGCGCGCTTCCTCGAGGCCCTCCTCGCGGCCCGGGGCTGGTCCATCGCGACGCTCGCGACGGACGAGTGGCCCGCGGACGCCGCGGACCGGACCGCGTACCTCAAGCGGCGCCTCGCGGAGTTCGACGAGCGGTGGCTGCTCTAGCTCGAACTCTTAGTCTTCGTCGAAGCACACGTCGTCGTCGTCGTCCTCCTCGAAGCCCTCGTCGCCGTAGTCGTCGCCGTCGTCGTCGGCCTTGTCGAGCGCCGCGTCGACGACGGCCTCGACGGCCGCGTCGTCGGGCTCCGGCGGCGGCGACGGCACGGCGGCGGCGGGCTCCGGCGGCGCGAGCGCGGGCGCGGGCTCGGGCTCGGGCGGCGCGACGACCGGCTCGGGCTCGGGCGGCGCGACGACCGGCTCGGGCTCGGGCGGCGCGACGACCGGCTCGGGCTCGGGCTCGGGCTCGGGCGCCGCGACGACCGGCTCGTCACCGCCCTCCTCCTCGAACTCCTCGACGGCCTCCTCGTACTCGGGCTCGTCCTCGACGGGCTCCTCGGCGATCGGCGGCTCCGCGGGCTCCACGGCCGCGGGTTCCTTGCGGAACGACTCGTCGGCTTCGAAGTCGTCGAAGGAGTCCTCGTAGTCGCCCTCGCCGTAGTCGTCCTCGACGGGCTCCGGCTCGGGCTCGGGCTCGGGCTCCGGCTCGGGTTCCGGCGCGGCGACGACGGGCGCCGGCTCCGGCGCGACGACGGGCTCCGGCGCGACGGCGGGCTCCGGCGCGACGACGGGTTCCGGCGCGACGACGGGCTCCGGCGCGACGACGGGCTCCGGCGCGACGGCGGGCTTTTCGACGACCTCCTCGACGACGAGCTTGATGTACATGGCCTTGACGGCGGTCTCCTGGTCGCCGTCGTCGTAGTCGATGTCGTAGAGGCCCCCGACGTCGGACGTGATGACGCCGCGGTACCACTCGGCGCCGCCCTCGAAGCGCGCCTCGACGCGCGCGCCGACCGCGAAGACCGCCTCGGGCGCCTCGGGCGCCGCCGGCTCGGGCTCCGGCTCCGGCGGCGCGACCGCGGGCGCGACCGCCGCCGCCGCCGGCGTGTCCGCGGCGGCGCGCTTCCGGAGCGCGTCGAGGCCCCGGTCCAGGGCGTCGTCGTCGTCCCTGAGCGGCGACGGGTGCTCCTCGGTCTGGTCGTCGTCGCCGACGACGAGCGGCGGCACCGCCGGTGCGGCGCCGCCGCCCATGAGGTTCGCGAAGCGGTCCTCGAGCCAGGACTCGTCGTAGCCCCCGGCGCCGGCCCGGCGCGGCTTCTTGCCCAGCGCCGCGAAGGACGGCGCGCGGTGCTTGCGCTGCGCGCGGTCCGGACTCTTGGCCCTCGCGGGGCTCTTGACCTGGCCGTCCTCGTCGAAGGGCGGCAGGAGCGCCGTCGTGTAGCTGTCGAGGAGCTTCTCGTGGCCCCGCAGCGCGCCGCTGTGGTCGTCGGACGGCCGGGGCAGCTTGCCGAGGTCGCGGTGCGCGCGCGCGGCCTGCTGCTTGAGGAATTTGTCCGTCCGCGCCTTCTTCCTCCGCTGGCGCGCGCGCTGCGCGCTCAGCGCCTTGGGGCCCGGCGGCGACGCGTTCTTCGGCGGCGAGTGCTTCGGGGACGCGGGCTCGAGCGTCGACTTGGCCACGTAGTGCTCCGTGGGGAAGTAGACCTTCTCGAAGGTCTCGCCCTCGCGGCCCTCGACGTCCTCGTCGAGGATCGCGTCCCAGTCGTCGGCCTCGGCGCGCGCGCCGGCCGCGGGCGACGGCGGCGCCGCGGGGGCTTTGTCCGGCGCCTTGGCGGCGCCCGTGTCCAGGGGCGCGAGCTTGTCGCGGACGCGGCGGGGCTCGCCGCCGCGCGCGTCCGCGCGCGCCTTGCGCTCCGCGCGCCGCTCCGCGAGCTCGGCCTCGTAGGCCGCGACGGCGTCGTCGGCGGCCTTGGCGGCGGCGGCCTCGGCGTAGGCGCGGTGCCGGTACTCGATGGCGAGCCGCTCGTCCTTCTCGCTCCAGGGCAGCTCGTCGCGCTTCGTCGCGAACGACTTCACCTGCCGCGAGTCCTTGACCTCCTCGCCGCGGAGCATGGCCGTCCAGTGCTTCGCCAGCACCGTGGGCCGCAGGGGGCCGTTGTCCACGCGGAAGTCGTCGGCGGGCTGCGCCGGGACCTCGGCGCCGCCGGGCCAGTCGCGCTCGAGGAGCTGCCGCGGCGGCGGCCGCCGCTTCCGCCGCCGCGGCGGCGCGCGGTACTGGATGAGCGGCAGGATGTTCTTCTTCTTCGGCGGCGCGCCCCGGGCCGGCGCCTTGGGCCCGAGGCTCGCGTGGCTGAGGCTCGCGAGCTGCTTCTGGCCCAGGCCGCTCCCGGCGGCGGACGTCGACGGCGCCGACGCGCTCTGGGACAGGTAGGGCGCGTGCTGGGCGCCGCCGCCGCCGAAGATGCTCGACCGCCCGCCGCCGCCGCCGACGAGGACGACGACGCCCGCCGTCATGGCGGTGTCGTCCCGGCGCGGTCCGGGCTGCCTCCAACAACAGCGCCCCCCTCGGCGGCTAAAAAGCAGTGAACAATTGTTCACAATCGGGTGCAACGTCAAGAATCTGATTTACGTGAAAGCGCGTTGAGACGAGGCCCCCAGGGTGGGACGCTGCCCGCCGGGCTCGTGGGCCGCCATGGGCCGCGGCGGTGGCGGGCCGGACCGGACGACGAAGTCGGCGCTCCACGCCATCGCGCGCGCCGAGTCGCTGAGCGTGCACGAGATCCCCTTCGATGACGTGCCGCCGGAGCTGCTCTGCAGCGGCAAGCTCGACTTCCGGGTCTGGAGCATGATCGTCAGCGACAAGACGGCGCAGCGCATCGGCGCCGAGGCCAAGGCGCGGGAGCAGCGCTTCGTGGAGAAGGCCATGGCCGACATGCCCGTGCCGCCGGCCATGCCCGCGGACGACATCCGGCCCGCGGACGCGTCGGCGTCGGCGGCCGCGTTGAGCGACGCGCGGCGCCGCGCGCGCCAGGAGGCCTACGAGGCCCAGCAGCGCAAGGCCGAGGCCGACGCGCGCAAGGCGGCCCTCGAGCGCGCCCACGTCGAGACGGGGCTCAAGGACTGCCTGTTGGGCGGCGCGACGAAGCTCACGGACGCGGGCGTCGCCGCCGTCGCCGTCGCGGCGCCCGCGCTCGTGAGCCTGGACCTCTCGGGCGCGCTGCGGGTCACGGACGTGTCGCTACGCGTCGTCGCCGCCAACTGCCTCGAGCTGCGGAAGCTCGACGCGGGCGGCTGCGCGGGTCTGGCCGGCGCGGGTCTGGCGGCCGTCGGCGCGCAGTGCCGGAAGCTCGAGCACGTGCGCCTCGCGGGCTGCGGCCGCGCCGCGACGGGCTGGGCGCTGGCGGCGCTCGTCACGGGCTGCGGCGCGTCGCTGACGCACCTCGACGTGTCCCACTGCGCGCTGCTCACGGACGCGGACTGCGGCGCGGTCGCGAAGCACTGCCCGAATTTGATTCGCCTCGACCTGTCCCACTGCCGCCAGACGGGGGACCAGGCGGCGGTGAACATCGCCGAGAAGTGCCACCGCCTCGAGTACATCAACATGGCGCGGAGCGAGCTCCTCCACAAGACGTCGGACGTCGCGCTGCTGTCGATCGCGGAGGGCTGCGGGAAGACCTTGGTCGAGCTCGACCTGAACGGCTGCGAGATGGTCACGGACGTGGGCGTCAGTTGGGTCGCCCACCAGGCCGGCGCGACGCTCGAGGTCTTCAACCTGCGGGGCTGCAACCGGCTGACGAACGCGGGGTGCCGCGCGATCGCGGACCACTGCCACGTGATCCGCGTCGTGGACCTCCGCGGCGCGCGGCGCGTGACGGACGTGGGCGTGCGCGTGCTGGGTGCCGCCTTGGGCGACACGTTGGAGACCTTGGACATCTCGAGCATGCATCTGGTCACGGACGGCGTCGACCGGGGCTTCGGCTTCGAGGGGTTGTTGGCGCTCGCGCAGGACGTGACGCGGCTCAAGTGTTTGCACCTCGACGGCTGCTTCCAGGTGTCGAACCGGGCGCTCAACGCTTTGGCGAAAGGGTGCTCGACGCTCGTCGAGCTGGGCCTCGCGGGCTGCCCGCGGCTGACGGCGAACGGCGTGGGGGCGCTGTGCCACGCGTCGCGCGAGACGTTGGAAAAGGTGAACCTGGGCTGCTGCGGCGACTGCGTCGACGACGACCTCGTCAGTGCCCTCGCGCGCGGGTCGCCGAACCTGAAGCAGCTCTTCCTGCGGGACTGCGAGCGCTGGGGGCAGGTCGGCGCGCGCGCGATCGCGCGCCACTGCAAGCGGCTCCACCGCTTGGACTGCACGGGCTGCTCCTCACTCGACGACGAGGGCGTCGCGGCCTTCGCCGAGTGCTACTGGAAGTTCCCGGGTTTGAGGCATCTGCTCCTGGCGCACTGCCCGAAGTTCGGCGACATCGGTCTGGCGTGGCTCGTCGAGGGCCCGGGGTCGAAATCGCTCGTGACGCTGTCCATGTACCGCTGTTCCTGCACGTCGGCGGCGTTGAAGTCGTCGCGGGACCACTTCCCCCACAGCGAGATGAAGCGCGACAACGGTTTCTTCGGTTTCTGGCCGAAGCCGCGCTGGGAGCACCGCATCCAGATCCACGAGTTCGCGAAGCACCGGCGGGGCGTCGTCAAGTTGCAGTCCGCGTACCGCGCTTTACTCGGGCGCCGCGCGGCGCAGCACCTGCGGAATCTACGAGCGCTGGCGCGGGCCGTGCTCGTGCTCCAGAAGCACCGGCGCGGCTACCTCGGGCGGCGGCGCTTCGCGCGGCTGAAAGCGGAGTTCGTCCGCCGGTGGAACGCGTCGACGACGATCGAGGCCTTCGGTCGGGGCTGCGCGGGCCGCGCGCGCGTGAAGCGCATCCGCACCCTCATCGCCTTCCGCCTGGCGACGGCGGCGGCGACGCGCATCCAGGCCGCGTACCGGGCCGTCGTCGCGCGGCGCTACGTCCGCATCCTCCAGCACCACGCGCTCCTCCGGAAGGAGCGGCGGCTCAAGGGCTGCGGCACGATCCAGCGCATCTACCGCGGCTTCCTGGGCCGCAAGCGCTTCCAGCACTTCGTGGACCTGGACAACGCGATGATCGCGCTGCGGAACCGGTCCGCGGCGACGATCCAAAGAGCGTCGCGCTCAGGGCAGGAAAAGGGTGATTCAACGTCGCTTCAACGTGAGTGTTCCGCCCGCGCGCGTTTCGCAAACAGCACCCACGCTTCGAGAGCGCTCCGAGAGATGATCGCTCGTCCAAAAATCAGCCAAAACGAGCGGAAAACGACCGAGATAGGAGCCTTTGAAGTTGGGAATTTCGCACCCTTTTCCTGCCCAGGTCGCGCTGCGAGCGCGCGAAGAAGGAGGTCGCGGCGGTGCGGGCGGCGCTCAAGCTGCGGAAGCAGCGCGAGCACGCCATGGCCGTCATGCTCCAGGCGCGCGTGCGCATCATCCACACGAAGAATCTGGTGCGGAAGCGGAAGCGCGCGCGCGACGCGAAGAAGAAGGTCGCGCTCTGCCTGCAGGCGTGCTACCGCGCGAAGCGCGACTCCATCATCGTCTACATCGCCGCCGCCGAGCGGCAGAACAAGATCGAGCAGGCCGCCGCCGCCGTCATCCAGCGCGCGCACCGCTCCAAGGTCGCGGCGCGCGAGATGCGGCGGCGGAAGGCGCTGAAGCGGGCCAAGGAGAAGCGCGAGTGGGACGCGTCCATCGTCATCCAGAGCGGCGGGAGGGGCTACGCCTGCCGCGTGCGCGTCGCGGAGTTGAGGCGGCAGCAGGAGGAGTTCGACCGGAAGATGGCGGAGATGGAGGTCTGGGCCGCGACGCTCGTCGAGGCGGGCGTGCGGGGGCGCGGCGGCCGGAAAAGGGCCGTCGCGGTCCGCGACGCGAAGCGGTCGCGGTGGAAGGAGATGTTCGACGAGGATTCGCAGCGGCCCTTCTTCTACAACCAGATCACGGGCGAGATCCGCTGGCGGCGGCCCCAGGACCTCCTCGAGCTCATGAAGCGGCCGACGTGCGGCAACTGCGAGTACTTCGAGGCGGCCATCGAGTGCGGCACGTGCAAGGAGTTCTACTGCAACGACTGCTTCGGCCAGGTCCACTACGGCGGCAAGCGCGCGGGCCACCCCTTCCGCGCGCTCTACGACGCCTACGCGCGCCGCGTGGACTACGGCGACGGCGACTTCGAGCTCGAGTCCATGTGGCCCTCGGAGATCGTCCAGGACGACGTCGCGGGCATCCTGCTGCGCATCTCGCCCCACCGCGAGCCCGTGGAGACCGTGGGCACGTGGCAGCGCTACGCGGACCCGGACACGGGCACGTCCTACTACTACAACCCCGTCTCCGGCGAGGGCACGTACGAGGAGCCGCGCGCGGTCGCGGAGCACCTGTCCCTGACGAACTACCAGTACGCGAAGCAGATGTCGGACCAGTACGCGGTCCTCGGCGCCGCGCCGGACCCCTACGCGCAGTCGAACCCCTACGCGGACCCCTACTACGCGCAGACGAACCAGGCCATCGAGCCGCAGCAGGACACGAACTTGTACTCGCACCTCGAGTACGGGGCGACGTAAGCTTAGCCGAAGGAGTGGAAGCCGAGCTTGCCGTGGCGCTCGAGGCGGCCGCAGCCCGACAGGCAGGCCCCGTCGGGGAGATATACTCCCGCTTTCGCGTCGTCCGTCGCGGGGAGGGGGGGCCGCACGACGCGCGGTGGTCGCCCGCGTGCTTGACCACGCAGCGGAGGCTGTGCTGCAGCGCGTGGTGCTGCCAGAACCTACGAAGCATGACGGTGACGATTTCTCATTGTTTTCCCACCCGAAATCTGTCGAAAATCGTCACGGCCACAGGACGCTGGCCAGAACCCGCGGATGTTGTTGACGACGAGGCCGTCGCCGGCGATCCACCAGCTCGAGAGGCCGTCGAGGTCGAAGAACGGCGGCGCGGCGACCGGCGGCGGGCCGTCCGGGTTCCGGTCCGCGAGCATCAAAGCGTGGACGAGGCGCCCGACGTTCGACGAGAACGTGCCGACGACGTGGCCCGTCCGCGCCATCAACAAAATCTCCGCGGCGATGGCCGCGGCTTGCCGGTCGTCGCACGCGTCCTTTTTGGGGGGCTCGTAGGCGTAGGCGTCGGCGACGCGGACGGGCCGCCAGCCGCGCAAAGCCTGGGCGACGGCGCCGTGGGTCTCCTTCCGGTCCGAGCAGACGAGCACGTCCGCGAAGCCGCGCTCGTTCGATATCGCGATCGCGGCGTTCGCGTACTCCTTCCAATTGTGGAGTATCGCTTCTTTGTCCTTCTCGCCGATGCGCGCGTGGATCGACAGGACGGCGCGGAGGTCTTCGACGCCGGGGAAGAGCGCGGCGCGGAGGCCGGCGACGTGGCGCGCGAGGCACGCGCGCGGCCGCGTCGCGTACGCGGCGACGGCGGCGGCCCAGAAGTAGGGCGGCTGGTCCCGGAGGTCGCCGTCGCGCCGCGCCGCGGCGACGAAGGCGCTCGGGGTTTTCGTTTCGTTGAGCGCCTTCGGGCTGAGCTGGAAGCGGCTCGCGCTGGCTTTCGCTGTTTTGCCGTCGGCGGCGCAGGCCGTGAGCGGCAGGAAGAGCGAGGTTTCTTGGAACGCGCAGGCGACGTCGAAGTCGTGGCCGCGCCCGCGGCCGCAGGCCCTGGGCCGCTGCACCGCGAGCACGCGGCCGTTGAGCAGCGCCGACGACAGCGCCGCGAGCACGCTGTGGATGCCCGAGGCGAAGCCCGCGACGTGCGTGCGCGCGTGCAGCAGGTCGACGTCGGCGCCGCAGTTCGCCTGCGATTCCGCCACGAGCGCCACGGCGCGCTCGAAGGTCGTCGGCGCTGCGGAAGCGCGGGCGAGGCAGAAGAGAACGCAAAGGCCGAGCATCGCAGCCCACTTGTGCATCACAGCAGCCCGCTAGCTTATCACGACGCTTTTGATCACATCGTGTGCCTCAACTTGGAGTCAAGGAGAAAAGGTGAAGTTTCGCGCGGTCGATCGGTCGAGACGAGCTGTGTCAGCCGCTCAACCTCGCAACGAAACACCGCGTCTTGCAGCCGCTCTTGCAATGCCGACGCCGCTGCTCTGGCTCCTCGCGAGCGCCTCGGCGTTCGGCCCGCGCACGCAGCAGCGCGCGCCGCTGCCGCCGCCGCCCGCGGCGTCGCCGATGCCCGTGCGCGTCGCCACGGGCGCCACGGGCGCGGCCTGGGTCGCGCTGGGCGCCAGGACCTTCGACGTCGAGTCGTCGCGACAGCTCGTCGGCGCGCTCGGCGTCGCGACGGCGACGTTCGAGGACAACATCCGCGAGCCCGCGGCGGGCTTCCTCGAGCTCACGTCGCCCGTCTTCGTGCTCGAGGGCGCGCTGCTCGTCGCGCTCGCGGCGAACGTCTTCGAGGCGCGGCCCGCCGACGCCGCGCGCGTCGGCGCGTCGCTCGCGCTCGCGTCCGCCGCGACGCTCGCGGGCCTCGCCGTCGCGACGTCGAGCGGCGCCCCGGTGGTCGATCAGGGCGTCGTCGGGCCCGCCGTCGACCTCCTCTTCCTCACGGCGGCCGTGGCCGTCAAGGCCGTCGGCGCGTCCGGCGTCGACGACGTCGCCGCGCTCCTCAAGGGCGACGCCGTGGACCTCGCGACGGACCGCGGCGAGTCCGCCGGCGGCGGCTTTTACAGAACGCTCGCGACGTTCTACCGGGGCTCGACGCTCGTCGGGATCCTCGTCGGCGCGTCCTTCATCTTCAGCCCCGTGAACCCCATCGGCATCTTCGAGACGGAGTCCGCGGCGACGCACCTGTTCCGCGCGGTCTGCGGCATCTACATCGCGCTCGTGCTCTGCCCGGCGGAGAGCTTGTTGTGGCGCTGCACGAAGGCCGGCGAGCTCGACCGGGCCGCGGCGCGCGCGCTCAACGGCGCCGTGGGCCTCGCGTCCGGCCTCCTCGTCGTCGACGGGCGCGTCCAGGTCGAGACGGGGTCCAAGGCCTTCGCGGAGCTCGTCGCCGCGCAGCCCGACTCGCCCATCGTCCAAATGGTCAACGCGGGCGACGTCGGCCGCTCCGAGACGAACACGACCGCGGCCTTCACCGTCGGCCTCATCGTCGCGCTCTTCTACCTCGCCCAGGCCGCGGCGCCGCCCGCGGTCGACGACGCGCCGAGGTAACTCACATTAGTCGCCGACGTCGGCCCGCGCGGCGATGGCGTCCACCGTCGCCGCGAACTCGCTCGCGTCGAGCGCGCCGTCGCCGGAGTCGTCGCCGACGGAGATGAAGCGCCGGAGCGACGCGTCGCCGACGTCCGCGAAGCCGTCGAAGCGCCGAAGATCGTCGAAGCGCACGACGCCGCTTCGGGACATGCGCGCGAAGAGCTCGGCCGCGGGCCGCTGTTGCAGCGCCTCCAGCAGTTCCGGCGCCGCCGTCTCCGCGAAGAAGCCCCGGAGGTCGTCGCCGTCCAGCACGCCGCTCCCGTCGGCGTCGAGGCGGTCGAAGGTCTCGAGCACGCGGCGCACGTCCGCGGCGCGGACCTTGTCCTGGCGCACCAATAGAGCGAGCGCGAAGCTCGACCGGTCCACGGCGCCCGTACCGCCGCCCGTCAGCTCGTCGGCCCGGCCGGCGATGTAGACGAGCTCGTCGCGATCGAGCTCGTCGCCGAGCTGCGCGAGGACGAAGCGCTGCTGCGCGGCGCGGCGCGCCTCGAAGGGCAGCGCGGCGAGCGAGCCCAGCGCGCTCGCGACGAGCGACGACCCGAGCAGCAGGAGCGGGATCGCCAGCGCCTTGCCCGCGTCCGTGCGCGGGACGACGTCGCCGTAGCCGACCGTCGACACCGTCGCCACCGCGAAGTAGAACGCGTCGAGGGGGCGGAGCGCCTCCACCTTCGCGAAGGCCGCCGTCGCCGCGCCGACGAGCAGCACGACGGCGCCGAGGGACGTCGCCGTGCGCCTCTGGAGCGCCGAGACCGCGTCGTCCGCGTCGTCGGCCTCCGCCTACCAAGCATGACGGTGACGACTTTTCATCGTTTTCCCAGCCCAAATCTCTCGAAAACCGTCACGGCCGCAGGACGCTGGCCTCGGCCTCGAGCAGGGCGGACGCGACGATCTCGCCGAAGACGAGGCCGACGACGGCGACGCCCACGAGGCAGTAGAGCGCCGTGAACAGCTTCGCGGCGTCGGATTCGACCCGGAGGTCGCCGTAGCCCACCGTGCTCACCGTCGCGGCGACGAAGTAGCACGCGTCGAGGAGCGACCAGCCGGGCTCGACGACGACGTCGTAGGCCGCTGATCCCAGGACGACGAAGCCGACGGCGACGCCCACGGCGGCGGCCACCGGCGGCGCCGTGTCCACGACGGCCGGCCGGAAGCCCTCGCGGTCGTCGCTGCCGTCGCGCACCTCGCTCGGCGTCGCACGGCGGCGCGTGCGAGGCTCGAAGCGAGGCTCGATGCACACCGCGGCGCGCGACCGCGGCGCCGTGGGTATGCGCAGGGCCGACGCGGCGATTGCGAAGCCCAGGCAGCGCCAGCGTCGGGCCGCCATATCGGCAGCCCCGAAAATGGGTGAAGATTGGCTGCATCATGTTTCATTGATGCGATGCTGCTGCTTTTCGGGCAGCCCTCTCATTTGTCTGAGGCCGGGAACAGATGCAAGAGAAGGGAATTTTAAAAAGATTTAAAAAGAAAGGAAAGGGAAAGTAGGAGGCTTGCTTGATCCGAACTTGAGTGCACGATGCCGTCCCTGAGCGGTGTGCCACGACTGCAAGTGCCGGCGCGCGCGCAGCTGCGACGACGAGCTCCAATTTTTCTAGCGCGCTGCGCGCGGGGTCGGAGCTGGCCGCCACGCGGAGGCGCATGGACAGCTAACTACGCGATTACGACGAAGTTTCGAAGATGCTGCTCAAAATTTCTACCGCGCTTCGCGCGGGGAGGATTGCACCGAGGCCGCGCGGACGAGGCTGTAGCCTCTTGGACACGCGCGGCGTCTTGTTCTGCGTGCGGAATAGATTTCGAAGCGCACATAGTCGTGGATCTTCGGCCGACACATGGGCGCGCGCGCGCGTGCCGTGCGCGCGCCGCCGCGCGCGGCAACGATGTCTCGCCGCGCGCCACGGACGTGGACCACGTCATCGGCGGCCCGGAGGACGCCTTCGACGACATGGGCGCGCCGATGCGGATCAATTCCTCGCCGCTCGTCTGCGAGGGCTTGTGCTCGGGGCCGCGGGGTTGCGGCGCGCGCGGCGACGACGTCACGAGACGCGCCGCGGATCATCGGCGACCTGGAGGCTGGCCTCGGCGACGTCCCGAGCCGCATCAACGGCGGCGGCGACAGGCACACGACGAATTCGTCGCTGTCGTCGGCCGCGGCGTCCATGTCGGCGCGAGGCAGCCCACAACGACGACAGGAACACGCCGCCGTCGCGCACGGCAAGGCCGCGGGGCAGCCCCGGGAGTTGCCGTGGGGCGCGGAAGGTATGCGACGGCATTTCGACGCGCTGGAAGCCCTGGAAAGGCGCCAGCAGGGCAGCCGATCCCGACACGGAAGCGCTGCGCATAGGCGTGAGCGGCGCGTTCACCGTGTGTAGAGGCATGAGTGGCGGAGATCGCGTGTGAACAAGCGGCACTAAAGACTTCACCTTGTGAACGAAATGAGTGGTTCACACAACTTCTCTTGCTATTCATTTGGGTCTGTCTGTGACGCGCGCTCGAGGCGCGCGCGCCGTCGTTCCTTCGCGGCGCCATGGACCGGTCGACGTTCGACGGTTGGCTCCTGACCATCGTGACGCTGCTGCTCTGGGGGTCCATCGGCACGCTCGCGAAGGCGTCGAAGGTGAAGTGGGCCACGTTCTATTCCTACTACGCCTGCGGCATCGTCGTCGCCGCGTCGCTCCTGGGCGCCTCCCTGGACTTCGCGACGGTCTTCGCGGAGGCGCGGCGCGCGTCGGGCGGCGCGCTGTTCTACGCGTCGCTCGCGGGCGTCTGCGGCTGCGTCGGCAGCATGCTCTTCCTCTCGAGCATCGAGCTCATCGGCGTCACGTTGTCGTACCCCGTCGTCACGGGCCTCGAGATGACCCTGGGCACGGTGCTGCTCTACCTGGCGGACCCGCAGGACCTGAGCGCGGGCTACCTCGCCGCGGCGCTCGTCGCCGTCCTCGCGGCCGTCGCGCTCGACGCGTTGGCGCAGCTCCAGCTCACGCTCGACGAGGAGGCGGCCGCGCGCGCGGGCGCCGTCGTCGCGGAGCCGGCGCCGGCCAAGGGCGAGGGCGACGCGCTCATCAAGGGCCTCGTGCCGCCGCCGCCGCTGTCCTTCCGCCACCGGTCGACGTCGCTCGGCAAGCTCGACTTCGTCGTCGAGGACGCGGAGGAGACGGACGTGCCCTTCGACAGCGGCGACGACGACTCCGACGCCGAGGCCGGCGACTTCGTGACCATGCCCCTGTCGCCCCACCTCGCGCGCGCGCACTCCGTCGACGTGTTGGCGTCGAACCGGCTCCTCGAGACGCCCGCGAGCCCGCGGTCGCCGAGGGTCGACAAGTCGGCGAAGAAGGTCGTCCGGCGGGGCCTGCGGCGCGCGGCCGCGGCGGGCCTGCTGATGAGCCTCTGGCCCGTGCTCGAGGCGCTCGCGCTCGAGGAGGACGACGGGCTCTCGGTGTTCACGTTCATGGTCCTCTTCGGCTTGAGCCACTCCGTGGCCGTGGTCGTCGCCGTGCCCGTCCGGAGCCTGTACCTGAAGCGCCCCTCCTCGAAGAGCTCGCCCGCGGAGCCCATGGCCGGCGTCTGCGGCCGGGCCTGCGCGTGCGGCCTCGCCGCGGGCGCGTTCTGGTACAGCGGCGCGGTCTTCGTCTTCGTCGCCGGCACGAAGATCGGCGTCACCGTCGCCGTGTCCGTGGGCCGCTGCTCGCCCGTCGTCGCGGCGCTCTGGGGCATCCTGGTCTGGCGCGAGGCGCAGCACGCGAAGCACCGCGCGTCCCTCTACATCGCCGCCATGTTCGCGTGCTACGTCGTCGGCATCGTCCTCATCGCCTGCTCCGCGCGATAAAGCGTCTTAGGGCGCGGAGAGGCGGACCTCGCCCTCGCGGAGCGCGTTGCGGTCCTTGGCCCACGTGTTGTGCATGAAGTCCGGCGCGACGGGGATGGCGACGAAGGCCGCGGGCGGCGGCGGCTCGACGTGGACGTGGCGCGGCTGCGTGAGCACGTGGACGACCTCGGCGACGACGAGGGCGTCGTTGGCCTCCCTGTCGTCGCGGTCGTCGTCGTCGTAGTCGTGGCGGTTCCGCTCGCGATGCCGCCGGCTACCGTCGACGGCGAGCTCGTACTCCTCGAGGACCTCGTCCTGGGACTTGGACGGGTCCAGCGTCCGCAACAAGCGGTGGAAGGTCTCGAGGTTCAGCAGCCCGTCGCGGTTGATGTCGCACTTGCGGAACTCGCGCTCGACCCTGGCGCGCTCGAACGCCGCGGCCTTGGCCTTGACGGTCTCCGCGTGGCGCGCGCGCGCCGCGCCGCCGCGCGCGCGCTTCTGGATGAGGCGGCTCGCGTAGCGCCGCGTCTCGCGCGCCGCGTGGTCCGTCGCCGCGGGCCAGTGGGCCACCAGCGCCTCGAGCGCGTCCGCCAGCTTGACGCGCAGCTTCAGCGAGATCGGGTCCGGCTCGACGAGCGCCGCTCGGGCGTCCAGACTCCTCACCAAATCGGCGTAGAACGGCAGGTCCGTCGTCAACGCGTTCTCCCGCCAGGGGTAGAGCTTGTGCGCGTCGAAGACGTGGATCTGGAACAAATTCGGCGCGAGCGCGGCGACCTGCCCCAAATCCAACACCTGCTCCTCCTTGGCGCCGAGCTTCTCGATGATCTTGTCCCGCGGCACGAGCGTCGACAGCGCGACCACAAAAAAGTCGAGCGCGCGCGGCGACGCGAGCGGGTCGTGCGCCGCGGACGCCTCGAGCGCCGCGAAGACCGCGGGCACGGCGAAGGAGTTGCGCTTCTGCTTGAGGCCCCGGGGCACGCCCGCGACGCGCGCGAAGAGGCGCGCCAGGGCGTAGTCGCGCGCGAGCTGGTCCACGCCGAGCGCGAGCTCGCCGAGCGCGTCGTCGGCCGCGTGGCGGAAGATGAGGCGCCGCGTCAGGAACTTGCGCGCGATCTTCGCCATCGAGTGGCCCCGGAGCGTCGCCTCGGAGCCGACGTGCGCCGCGTAGATGGACGCGATCTGCTCGAAGATCTTGTCCGGCCGCGGGACGGACAGGGCGCTCAGATCGACGTCCCGGAGCAACGCCGCTACGGTCGCGACGGCCGACACCCTGCGCCGCGACGCCTCGCGCTGGAGCAGCTGCTTCGCGTCCGGCTCGTCGAGCACGTGGAGCGCCGACGGGCACGCGCCGAGCAGCGCGCCGCCGAGGACGGCGACGCCCTGGAGCCGCGCGGCGAAGGGCTCGCCCTCCGGGGGCCGCGACGCGAACATCGCGCACTGCGGATGTACCGCGCCGAGCACGGCCGCCGCCCGTTCGACTCCCACGAGCGTGTCGTCGTTCGCGGCGGCGTCGAGCGCCGCGTCGACGCGCGCGAGCTGCGCGCCCTTGAAGAAGTGGCGGTCGCGGAGCGCGGCGACGACCGCGACGGGCGCGTCGCCGGACGCGAATCGGTCGTCGTCCGCGAGGTCCTCGATGGGCTTCCCCCCCAGGCAGCCCGAGATGCCCCCGTTGACCCACTGGAGCACGATGGCCTCGAGGGGCTGCGTCGCGCGCATGAACTCGTGGGCCGCGAGCACCGTCGCCGCGGCCGCGACGTCGCGCGCGGCGTCGCCGTCGCGGTCGTCGTCGTCGTCGGGCGCCGCGGCCTCGGCGAGCTCGAGCTTCTCCGGCGGGACGGGCGCCGCCAAAGGCTCCTCGGCGACCCAGATGCGCTTGCCCGAGGCCAGGTACAGCGCCTTCATGCGCCGGCCGTCGTCGAGCTCGAAGTACTCCGTCGACGACACCGCGGACGCGTCGTCCTCGGCGAGCGCCGCGGCGCCGGGCGCGGGCGCGGGCGCGCCCGCGTCCGCGGGCGCCGGCGCCTCGGCGAGGTCGCACGCGGAGTCCGCGCGCGACGCCGCGTCCCGTTCGTCGCCGACGTCGACGAGGCGCCGGAGTTTGGCGAGCGCGGGCCCGACGTTCGGATCCGCGAAATAAGCCTCGAGGCGCGCGGGGTCCGGCGCCGCGTCGTTGAGCATGTAGGTCAGCGCGTCGAGCACCTCCGGCGCGACGGGGCCGAGCGCCTCCTTCGCCTCCCGCGCCGCCGCGTCCTCCTGCAACGCGCGATTCCGCGCGTCGAGCTTCTCGACGCGGTCCGCCATGTCGTCGAAGTAGACCTTGCGCACGGCGTCCATCTTCCGCCGCGACGCGACCTCGACGCGGACCTGCTCGAGGCGCGCGACCGTCGCCTCGAGCTCCGCCTCGACGCCGAGCTTCGCGCGGCGGTCCTCGATGGAGCAGTCGTGGGCCTTCCGGAGGAGCGCCAGGGACTCGTCGCGCTCTCTGGAGAGCTGCTCGACGTGCTCCTCGAGCCGCCGGACGCAGCGGCCGTGGAACTTCTGGGCGTCGGCGCTGGCCCAGGACGGGCCGTCGCCCTGGACGGCGGCGAGGCCGCCGAGCGCGGCCTCGGCGGCCCGCCGCGGGTCGCCCGACGCCGCGGCCTCGCGGGGGCCCCGGCCGTGGAGGCCGGACAGCACCGCGTGGCGCGTGACCTCGTTGCGGAGGCGGCGCACCTCGTCGAGCAGCTCCTCCTCGCGGCTCAGCGCCCGCCGCACGGCGCCGCGGAGCCCCGCGGCCTTGGACCGGGACTGTTCTAGAAGCTTGCCGAGCACGCCGTCGATGGCCTGGTCGCCCACGGGCAGCGTCACGGTAAAACAGGCGCCGTGGCCGCCCTCGCTCGTGTCCCGCACGAGGGGCTTGAGCACGTTCTTGTGCTTCGCCGGGCTCGCGGCCTTTTTCGCGAGGAGGCCGTCGACGGTCCGAGTCGCGACGCCGCCGCCGATCCAGCCCGCGGCCGCGCGCTCCGCGACGGCGCCGGGGCTCCGGCCCTGGCGCAGCCGCGCGTCGAAGAGCGTGTCGTCGAGCTCCCGGTTGAGCAGCGTCGCCTCGAGGCGCGCCTTCGGGATGCGCTCGGGGTAGCTCAGCGTCGTCGCCGCCCGCGGCGCCTCGCCCACGCTCGTCGCCGGCGTCGCGTCGAGGGGCGCCGACGCGCTCCGCCCCAGCGTCGAGGACGACGTCGCCGATGACTTCTTCATGGCTTTCTGGGCCTGCATGGCGTCGCCTGAGAGGGTGGCGCTCTTAGGCGTCCATAACGCGCTCTCACAAAGCGCCGGGGCAGCGTTGGCTTGGTAGCGTCAAATTCGACTTTTGCCGGTAGCATATGCGTCGGTAGACGCTGCCCCCGCAACGTCCGCCTCATCCCCCCCTTCGCACGCGCGCCGCCGCCGCCCGCCGCGACGCTCGACGCCGCCGCCGCCCGCCGCGGCACGATCGCCGCTGCAACGGTCCGCCATGGACGCCGCGACGACTGCAAGCGCCTTCGACGCCGCCGCGCCGCGGGACCAGATGGCGCCGCCGGCGCTCGAGGACCTCGTCGCCCTCGTCGAGTTCGGCGGCAGGATACGGAGGCGGCTCGCCGACATCCAGGACGACGAGAACCTGCCCGGCATCATTCTGGTCATCTTCTTCGTGCCGGGGCTCTTCGGCATCATGTGGTACATGCTCGGCTGCAAGATGACGCAGGTCGTGCCGGCGTGACGGCGCGGGCGCGCGGGCCCGTCGCGTAAGGCGCTCGGCTTGCGTACGTCGGCGCGGGTTCGGCGGGGGGCGCGCCGGGGGGGGGGCGCGCCGCGCGGCCGCGGATCCCGCGGCGCGCGTGTTCTGCGAACGCCCGCGGAGCGGCGCGCGGCATGTGTCCTTTGGTTTTTGGGGCCGCGACGTGCGACGCCATCGTCGCGTGCCGGGCCGCTGGCCGGTGGCGACAGCCATCAACCGAGGGGTGCCCCAGGTTCAACAACGAGTTCAACCTGAGAGCGCTAAATCTAAACTTGAAACCCACCAGGAAAGTCTGGACAGAGCGTCTCGGGCAGTCCGTCGAGCCATGGGGGTGGCGGCGTCGATGAAGGAGGTGGCGGCGTACTGCGAGGGCGGCGCCGTGGGCGACCGCGACGCCTTCCTCGCCAAGTACGACTTCGACGGGACCAGCCTCATCGCCGAGGGCAACTGCGGCAAGGTCTACGCCTGCGCCAACAAGGAGACGTCGGAGGCCTGCGCCGTCAAGTGTATTAGTATGGCGGGCATGGACACCTTCGCCCACGAGGAGCTCAGGAACGAGGTGCACCTCCTCAAGTGCGCGGCGCATCCGGGTATTGTGAAGCTCCACGACTACTACGAGGACGCGGCCGCGGCCGAGGCCTACGTCGTCACGGAGCTCCTCGAGGGCGGCGAGGTCTTCGACCAGCTCATCGACATGGAGTGCTACGCGGAGAAGGACGCGCGGGCCGTCGTCGCGGCCGTCGTCGACGTCCTCGTGGCGCTCCACGGCGCGGGCCGGGGCGGGACAAGCGCGCGACATTCCCCGCTTCAAAGGCTCCGATCTCGACCGTCGTCCACTCGTTTCGGCTGATGTTTGGACGAGCGATCATCTCTCGGAGCGCTCTCGAAGCGTGGACGCTCTTCCTGGAACGCGCGCGCGTCGAAGCGACGTCGAATCGCCCTTTTCCTTGCCCAGGCGCGGGCGTCGCGCACCGCGACGTCGAGCTGTCGAACTTCGTGCTGAAGACGCCGAAGGACCAGACGTCCCTCAAGCTCTGCGACTTCGGCTTCGCCGTCCACGAGTCCAACGAGGCGCTGCTCAAGTACGCCTGCGGGTCGCCGCTCTATTTAGCGCCGGAGATCGTCCACCGCGCGCCGCCGTACGGCACGCCCGTCGACGTCTGGGCCGTCGGCGTCGCGGCCTACATCCTCCTCAGCGGCGAGCCGCCCTTCGGCGCCGACGCCGACTACGAGGACGAGGTGCTGGAGAGCATCAAGGCGGGCACCAGGGCAGCACAAGAGAGCGAAATTCCCAACTTCAAAGGCTCCGATCTCGGCCATTTTCCACTCGTTTCGGCTGATTTTTGGACGAGCGATCATCTCTCGGAACGGTCTCGAAGCGCGGATGCGTTTTCCGTAACGCGCGCGCGCGGAACACTCACGTTGAAGCTACGTTGAATCACTCTTGTGCTGCCCAGGCGGGCGCCGTCGACCTCGAGCCGCTCGCGCACGCGTCGGCGGACGCGCGGGACTTCGTCGCCAAGTGCCTCGTGTCGGACCCGGCGGGGCGCCTCACGGCGAAGCAGGCGCTGCTCCACCCCTGGTTCCTGCAGGCCCACACGGAGGTCGCGACGGCGCACCTCGAGAAAACCGTCGCGTCGTTCCGGAAGAACAAGGACAGCTTCCGCGGCAAGAAGCGCCTCAAGGCCTCCGCGACGAAGCTCCGGAACACGCTCCGCGCGTCGCGGCCGTCCTTCGCGAAGCTCGACGCCGCCGCCGCGGCGATCCCCGCCATCGAGGCCCTCTAGCGGCCGCGTCGACGCGCGCGCAGACGAGCGCCGCGCCGCCGCCGAGCGTCGCCGACGAGCGCCGCGCCGCCGCCGAGTTTCGCACCAATTCGCTCCCCAAATTCGACGCCACCACCAAATTCACCGACGACCCAAATTGGAACACACCCCGCGCGCCGGGCGACGCTCGCGTCCCGCGCGCCGCGACCCCCGTGTCTCACGCGCGCCGCGTTAGAGCCCGTTGTCGCTCGAGCGGTCCTGGGGGAGGAGGTCCCCCTCGCCCTCGTCGCCGAAGGCGACCTTGGTGTCGGCCTTCTCCGCCTCCGCGGCGAGGACCTTGGCCTTGGCGTCGTCGTAGAACTCCTGGGGCACGTAGGGGAACGACGTCCGCGGCATGGTCTCGCGCGTGTCCGGCTCGATCTCGGGAGAGCACCCGTAGGGCCACTGCTGCCCCCGCGCCGTCGCCTGCTCGCTCCAGCGCCGCATGGCGACGTAGGCCGACGGCGTCATGCGCTTCTGGGCGGCGAGGTCGAGGTAGTGCTCGGCCATGTCGTTGTCGGGCTCGACCTGTTCCTCCCGTCGCCGCCGCTGGAGCGCGAGGCAGTAGGCCGCGTTCGCGTCGCCCGTCTTGTTCCACATGTCGTTCATGTAGGCGTCGAGCACCTCGGCGGCGTCCGCGGGCATGGCCTTCAGCTCCTCCTTGGCCTTCTCCTCCGCCGCCTCGAGCTCCTTCTTCTCGCGCAGGCGCTTCTCCTCGATGGCGCTCCGCATCATGGTCCGCTGCTGCGGCACGTCCGTGGGGTCCACGATGGCGAGGTGCGCCATGGTCGGCCGGTCGAGATGCTGCGTCGAAGGGCTGCCCAGCGCGCGCGTTTTTTTTTTAGAGTTCAATATGGGGTCAATCAGGCTTCCTTGAAGAGTGGGTTTTGAAGGCCTGGCGCCGCCGGTGACGATGTGCCCATCATTGCTGGCGCCAATGCGCATCGCGCTCTTCCTCCTCGTGCACCTCGCCGCCGCGCGCGTCGGGCCGCTGAGCGGCAAGACGGCCGGCGTCACCGGCGGCAGCAAGGGCCTGGGCCGCGCCATCGTCGAGGAGCTCGTGGCGCAGGGGTGCACCGTCGTCACCTGCGCGCGCGACGCCGCGCCGCTCCGAGACGTCGACTGCATCGCCCTCGAGCTCGACGTGTCGACGCCCGCCGGCCGCGCGAAGTTCGCCGGCGCGTGCGCGGCCACGGGCGGGCTCGACATTCTGGTGAACAACGTCGGGACGAACATTCGGAGCAAGACCGAGGCGCTCGACGAGGACGACTACGCGTTCCTCATGCGCGCGCGCGGCGTCCGGTAATAACGGCTTCCACGCGCGCAACACTCCGCCGCAGGCGCACGAACCTCGAGAGCGCCGTCTTCCTCTGCCGCGACTGCTTCCCCGACCTCCGGCGGCGCCGCGGCTGCGTCGTCAACGTGGGCTCCATCTCCGGCGTCACGTCGGACGGCACGGGCGTGGCCTACGCGATCTCCAAGGCCGCGCTCGACCACCTGACGCGCTACCTCGCCGCCGAGTGGGGGCCGCACGGCGTCCGCGTCAATTCCGTCGACCCGTGGTTCATCCGCACGGAACTGACGGCGCCGCTCCTCGCGGACGCGGACTTCAAGGCCCACGTCGACGCCCGCACGCCCCTGCGGCGCGTCGGCGAGCCGCGCGAGGTCGCCGAGGTCGTCGCGTTCCTCTGCTCGGCCGGCGCGGGCTACGTGACGGGCCAGGTCCTCGTCGTCGACGGCGGGCTCACCGTGAACGGCTTCGACTACGCGCCGCCGCCGGCGCCCGCGGCGGCGCCGCCGGCGGAGCCGCTCTATCGGAAGCTGCCGCCGCGGCGGCCACCGCGGGGCTGGCCTACCGACAAGTATACGTAAGAGGAGGCCTAAGAGGTGCTGCGGCCTTCAATGTCGACTCCGACGACGAGGCCGGCGCCCGCCCGTCGTCGTCGACTCCGACTATGTCGCATGCAACATCGCTTCTTCCGCGGGGCAATATGAGACGCAGCTTGCGCCGATTCGGCCTCCGTGCGCAGCGGCGCCCGCTGTGCCGCGCGTTCTCGCAAGACAGCGATGGCGGCGGCGGCGCGTCGCTCAACTTCCCGCCGCCCCAGGACCGCGACACGCTGGTGAGCGCCTGGGGCTTCCTGCAGCGCGCGAACCCCTTCGTCGTCTGGGGCGAGAGCGTGGGCCGCGAGCCGAGCGACGGGCTGCCGGACCTCTTCGAGCTCGTCGCGACGGTGTTGGGCGTCTCCGGTAAGAGCGCGGGCGAGGTCAGCGACTACGCGCGCGACGCGCATTCCGCGTTCGAGCGCTACGTCGACGACCTGGGCTTCGAGCGGCGGAGCGTCATGGAGATCGTCGCCAAGGACGAGGCCCAGTCCCTCGAGGACTTCACGGAGGGCGCCCTGGGCGCGCGCGAGGCCGTCCGGGGTCGGCTGGCGCGGCCCGGGGACTTCGACGACCTGCCGCTACTTTTCGGCGACGCGCTCGCGGCCGCCGCGCGGAACGGGGCCTTCGCGCCCCCGGGCGACGACGGCGCGACGCCCCCGGGCGACGGCGCCGCGGCGCCCCCGGGCGACGACGACGCGACGCCCCCGGGCGACGGCGCCGCCCCGGGCGGCGACGCCGCGGCGGGCGAGGGCGGCGACGCCGACGACGCGGGCCCGCGCGCGCTCGTGGCGCGCGTCGCCTTCGCCGTGCGCGGCACGGGCCTGCGGGTCGCGGACCTCGCGCCGCGGTCCGGCGGGCTCATGGCGCGCTTCGAGCGGGCCGTCCAGCGGTGGCACTACGAGCCCTGCGCGCCGCCGGACGGCGACGGCGACGGCGTGCTCCTCCGCGAGTCGAGCGGCCTCTTCGTGGGCGCGTTCCACTTCGCGCCGGACGTGCTCGAGGCGCTCGACGGCGGGCCGCCCGCGGCGGCCATCGGCGACTACCTCGCGGCGCGCGACCTGACGTGGCCCGTGCCCAACGACGCGCAGCAGCGCCTCGCCGACGACGCCGAGGCGGCGGCCCGGTCCATGCGCGGCTGGATCTTCGTCGACGTCGTCTTCCCGGACGCGACGATGACCTTCGCGCGCGAGGTCGACCGCCGCGCGGACGCGCGCTGGGACGCCGACTGGCTCGTCGTCGACGTCGACGGCGCCGTCGCCGGGCACGACCACGGCAAGCTCCTGGCCACCTTCGAGTAACCTTCGACGCGAGACTCCGGGGCCGTCGGACGCGCGCGTTACGGCCGCCGCCGCTTAAGCCGCCGCTTGTGAAAGTGCTTGTGAACTTCAACATCGGAATTGCAGTTTTTCGTATCCACTGCGGGGCTGCCCGCCGAGTTGCTTCGAGTGGTGATCTCCGGCCGTCGCCGCCACTTGTCGGAAGCGGCGGGGCGGCAGCCCCCTCCGCCTCCCCGGCGGGCCGGCATGGACGCCTTCTGCCGCCTCTTCGGCTGCCGGAAGCCGCGGGACGACGACGGCGGCGAGTACGCCGTCGACAACGGGCGGCCCTGCGTCGAGCTCCTGCGCGACGACGAGGTCGCCTCGTCGACGCCCACGCGCTTCTCCGGCGCGGCGAGCCCGCCCTCGGGCAGCGCGTCGCCCGCGTCCTCTTGTGCGCCGTCGCCGGCGCGCGGGGGCGCGCTCGCGCCGCGGCGATCGCGCGCGCGGCCGCCGCGCGCGCCCTACGACTCCGCGCGCCGCAGGCACGTCGTCGACGGCGTCGATCCGGCGCGACGAGGACGACAACGGGCGGCCCCGGCCGTCGCCCGGGACGTCCAAGACCCTCTTCGATAAAAAACCGACGGCGAAGAAGCAGAAGGTCGACGAGGGCCGGAGCCCCGCGCTGCCCGCCGCGTGGCAACTGGTCGCGCAGCTCAAGGACGAGGACGGCGCGCTGACCAAGGACGTCGACCTGGAGATCCTGGGCGGCGGCGACGACGGCGACGACGACGACGAGCTCTTCGAGGACGGCGGCGCGATCACGTTTAGTGAGGCGTGGCGGTCCTTCAAGTCGCAGGAGGAGACGGGCTTCGGCAAGCTGCGCGAGTACGTGGCGAAGAACTACGCGGCCCTGCTCCGCAAGATGCTGAGCCCGCGGCGCGAGCCCTTCGACGGCGCCGCGCTCGGGCCCTCGGGCTTCGAGTTCCGCGGCCGCCGCGTGCGCCGCGACGACTTCGCCGTGCAGAACGACCGGGGCCTCGAGCTCGCCTGCTCGCTCTGGCGCGACGAGGGCCACGGCGCCCCGGGCGCGCCGCCGAGCCCCGGCGGCTTCCGGCCCCTGAGCCGCTTCCGGAGCGCGAAGAAGGACCGGAGGTTTTGCGTCTTGTACGTGCACGACGTCGGCGGGAGCCGCCTCGGCGCGCTGAGCTGCCTCGGCGTCGCTCTCGACGCGGGCGCCGCGGGCTACTGCGCCTTCGACACGACGGCCTGCGGGCGGAGCGGCGGCGCCCACGTGTCCTTCGGCCACTTCGAGCGGTGGGACGTCGGCGCCGTGGCGCAGGAGCTCGTGAAGCGGCGCGGCTTCACGGACGTCGTGCTCTGGGGCCGCGGCGCCGGCGCCGTCGCCGCGTTGCTCTACGCGCGCTTCGCCCAGGCGCCGCCGGCGAAGCGGCGGTCGTCGAAGGAGTCGTGGGAGTGGTCCGACTACTACGGCGGCGGCGGCGGCCCCGCGGGCGCGGGGCCCGGCGCGTGCGAGTGCGACGAGCACGGCTACCCGAAGCGGCGGCCCCGGGCCGTCGACGTCTTCAGCCAGGGCTCGACGACGCGCGGCGGCATCTCGACCTGCCCCGACTACGAGGGCGACGAGGCCGCGCGCGCCAAGGCCGCGCGGAGCTTCCTCCGGGGTTTGGAGGTGTCGACGATGACGGTCATGTGGGTCGTGTCCAAGCCGCCCCTCTACGTCTCCGCCGTCGCCAAGGGCTCGGCGGCCGCGGACTGCGGGTTAGAGGTCGGCGACGTCATCGCCAGGGCAGGAAAAGGGTGCGAAATTCCCAACTTCAAAGGCTCATATCTCGGTCGTTTCCCACTCGTTTTGGCTGATTTTTGGACGAGTGATCATCTCTCGGAACGGCCTCGAACGTGAACGTCTTTCTTTGGAACGCGCGCGCGCGGAATACCCACGTTGAAGCGACGTTGAATCACCCTTTTCCTGCCCAGGTGATCGCGGGGATCGGGAGTTCGATGCGGCTGCCGCACACCGCGGACGAGTTCGCGGAGATCCTGCTCAAGCTCGCCGAGCGGCCGCGGCCGGATCTGGTGGTCCACGTCTACCGCGACGCGACGGCGGGCGAGCTCGCCGCGCCGCCCTGCCCCTACCCGCAGGTCGTGCCCAGGGCAGGAAAAGAGAGCGAAATTCCCAACTTCAAAGGCTCCTCTCTCGGCCGGTTTCCACTCGTTTCGGCTGATTTTTGGACGAGCGATCATCTCTGGGAACGGTCTCGAAGCGTGGATGCTTTTTCCGGAACGCGCGCGCGGAAAACTCTTGTGAAGCGACGTTGAATCTCTCTTTTCCTGCCCAGGTCGTGCCCGCGGGGCTCGTCCTCGACTGCGCCGTCGACTCGCCGTCCGCGGTCGTCGACGCGCTCAAGGCCCACGCCCTCGAGCGCGAGCCCGTGCTGGTGACGCTCCTCGAGCCCGTGCTGAGCTCGGCGCTGGACATTTTGTACCACAGCATCCAGAAGCGCGCGAACTTCGACCCGACGGCGATCAAGGGCACGGACGTCGCGGCGGCCGTGCGCAACGTGCCCGCGCTCTTCGCCGTCAACGACTTCTCCGACCTCGACCGGGGCATCCCGAAGCTCGCCGCGCTGACGTCCACGGTCTACGACGCCTACAAGGGCGGCGCGAAGAGCCTCGTCCGCTACAACAGCCCGCTCCGGCTCGCGCTCCGCGGCACGCGCGTCGCGCCGGGTCCCCGTCCTTCTTTTCCGTCTCCCACGCCCGTTTCTTCCCGTAGGCTCGACGCCATGTCGTCCAAGTTCCTCAACAAGGCCTTCGTCTTCCTCCAGGGCCTCGACGGCTTCGAGCCCGTGCCGACGACGGCCGCGGGCGCCGGCGGCGCGGCCATGCCCCGCTGGGTCGTCACGACGCGGCCCTGGGCCCAGACCGAGGCGGAGCAGACCATCGACGACTACGAGAGCGCCCAGATCGTCTTCGACCAGGGCGGCCAGGGCTCCTGAGCGGACCCCGCCGCGCGGCCGTGGAGGACGCGCGAGGGGGGCGCGGGCGTCTACGCATTATTATTTCGCAATTCATCTCAAAGTAAAGCTGGACCGGCAGGCGTCACGAACATGTACATGCCCAGCACTGGCGCGTCGAGCACGTCGTCGTCCGAATCGGAGAGTTCCTCGAGCTGGGGCACGTCGTCGTCGACGTCGGAATCACGATCGATGTCGAGCCAGTGACCAATCCCCGCGCCATTGTGTTCTCCTGGGTCGGGGTCGCGGAGCGTCCGCCAGAAGGAAAGGATCAGCCAGAAAACCTCCTTGGGCAGGTCGATTTTCGCCGTGCGCGCGCGAAGCGAAGTCCGCGGATCCTCCCCGACGGGCGGACGATACGGAAAGAGGCGCGCGAGAATCGGTAGCGGCGCGGGCAAGATCGTTCGAGCCCAAAACCGAGCATCAAAGAGGCTATCCGCGGCGCAAATTCGATCCATAGCTGGAAGCATGTTCTCCAGGATCGCAGACACGTCAGGCGGCTTCGCTCGCCCGTGTTCGCAGAGCACGCGGAGCGCGAGGAGGCTGCGGCGCGGGTACGTGCTGTAGGCCTCCCAGGAGCCCGCCGCACGGACTCCGGCGATGATACACATCGCCTCATGCTTCTTCTCACAACGACGCCCCTCATTCAACAGGGTAGTTTGGGGAGCGGGCATCCGCGCGTGATCATCGACAGTAAGACCACCGTGATCGCGAAGATCCATGTCCGCTCCACGACTGAGCAGGAGGTGCAGCGTGCTGACGTGCCCACAACAAGCGGCGGCCATGAGCGGCGTCCGGCCAAATTCGTCTCGGGAATTGACATCTGAGCCGGCGTCGATGAGCATGGCAATTATCTCGGAGTCAGTGGTCTGGAATATAAGGTAGCCGGTCCAAAGTAAAGAATAGACCGGGCATCTGGCATCGGCGCCACGCGCCAAAAGCAAGCGGACCATGTCGCGGAAGTGGAAACTGAGAGTTACGGCGTAGGCCAGAGGAGTGAGACCTGCGGCTCGCCCGCCGGGTGCTCCCTCGCCACTGTCAAAGGTTCTATTTACATCTTCCGCCGGGATCGCAGCTATAAATCGTTTTACGATTCTGCTTTGGCCCCGCTCACCTGCTTCACATAGCCACTTGGGAAAGCGCATCGAGAATCAAAATGCGGCGGCGCCGCCGAGCCGCGCGCGACCGCGCGCGACCGACGCGGTGAACGCTGCGGTGCTTCTCGAGCGCGCGCGGCCGCTGCGGAGCGGCGCGGTTGGCGGCTGTGCGCGCGTCGGGGCGGCGGAGTGCGTGCCGCAGCCGAGCCTCGAGCTCTCGACCCAGATTTGCCTCAGCGGCGATCGCAATGTCCGAGCCAATGATCGACCGGAGAGGGCAGCCGCACGATGGAGCCCGCCCGAGCGGGCTGAAATGCCGAAACGCGCGCCAAACCACCCATGCGGCCGCTCTGGCTCCTCGGCGCCTACCACAAGACGGGCTGCATCCTCGCCATCAAGCTGCTCAACCTGCTCTCCGGCGGCTACGTGCGCGTCCAGGGGCCGCTGCCCGCGCCGCTCCCGTCGCTCGACGCGCGGCCGTTCAGACATTATTGGTTCTCGCCCAACGCGAGCTCCCTGGCGACTTTACCGGATGACGTCGATTATCGTTTTGTCCACTTCGCGCGGGACCCGGCGGAGCTGGCCGTGTCCGCGTACCGCTACCACGGCGCGGCCGCCGCGGGCGAGCGGTGGCTCGACGTTCGCGCGGACGCGCGGCGCGCGCCGCCCCGCGACGCCTTCGAGCTCGCCCACGTGCGAGACGTGCCCGGGCGCCTCGCGGCCGCGGGGGAGCACCGGCTCGCGGCGGCCGTCGCGTCCGAGCTCCGGGCCGGCGCGACGTGGCGGCGGGTGCTCGCGGCGCGCGACCCGGCGGCCGGCGCGACCCTCGAGGCCTTCCGTGCCGCGGGCGAGATCGACAAGATGGTCGTCAACGCGGGGTTGCTGGCCGCGGACCCGCGCGCGCTCACGGTCCGCATGTCCGGCTTCCACCGAAACTTCGCGGCCGCGGCGGCCTGCGTCGTCGCCTTCCTCGCGCCCGTGCGCCCGGGCTTCGACGCCGAAGCCCACGCGAAACGCGCCGCACACCTCGACCCGACCGCGCCGACGCTGTCGAAGCGCGACGCGGCCCACGTCACGCGGGGCCGCCACAACGACACGGCGCTCGTCGCGGCGCTCCGGAGGCTCCCCCACATCGCGCGGGCCACGGCGGCCCTCGACGCCGCCACGGCCGCGGCGACCGCGCGGTGCCCGCTCGCCTCCTAGGTCGCCCGTTTACTCGTCCGCCTTCGCCGCGAGGAGCGCCGTGAGCGCGGCGTCGACGTCGTTGTTCGCCGCCGCGAGCGCGGCCTCCGCCGCCGCGGCGTCGAAGCCCATCTCGCGGAACTGGGCGAGGCGGCTGTCGACGAGCACGGACGGCGGGCTGCGCGGGCGTCGCGGCGTCGCGGGATCCGCCGCTCTCGCTTCGGGACGAGCGACGCCTCTCGCGGCGCCTCTCGCGGCGCCGGTGACATAGCACGTTGGTTCCGCGCCGGCGCGCGCGCGCCCGGCGAGACGCCCTCGCGAAAATTCGACTTGTGCTTCGAGGGCGACGCGGGCGCGAAGCGCTCGTTCCTCCGCGCTTTGCGTTCGGCCCCGTAGGGGTCCCGCGCCGTCGCGAGCATGTCGAAGGGGTCGTCGCTCTCCGTCGTCGGCACCTGCGCACGCGCGCAGTCGATGCTTCGCGCGCGCGACGGAGGCGTCGACGTCGGAGGCGCGGAGGCGTCGAGGCGTTCTTCCCGAAAAGCGCTCGATTTTTCGTCGGGCGCCGGCGGCGTCACGTAGGCCTTGGCGTCGGACTCCTTCCTGGCCTTCGACGAGGAAGATCCCATCTCCCGTGACACGCGACGTCGGCCAGGGCCCGCGCAAACGCGTCGTGATCCGCCCGGAGTCACACAGTCGTTTTGCCTCAAATCCGGGCCGTGGGCCGCTCGCGACGCCGTCCGGACGCCTGGCACGGCTCAACCCGCAACGATCCGCAACGACCGAGAGAAACGAAAGGATAATTAAGGTTAAATTGAGGAATTTCAGGCGCCGGCGGTGGGTCCGCGGCTCAGCGCGGTGCGTCGATCGGACCGACTGTTTCGGACGCAGCGCGGGCGCGGAGACAGGGGACAGACAGGGGGACGATGTTGGGGCGAGATCCGCAGCGAGAAGTTCGAGAGAAAACCCGCGGGAGGGGACGGCGGCCGGCGGGCGGTCGGGGGCTGCTGCGAGCCCGCGCCGGCCGGTGGCCCCCCGCCGCGGGGCGGGGCGGGTTCGAGCCGGAGCGCGTCAGTACGGGCTCAGGTCGCAGTCGTAGAGCTTCGTGTCGCCGACCTCGAGGAGGCCGCGGCAGGACGCGCAGTGCTGCCAGACGAGCACCTTGTAGCGCGGCGACTTGCAGACGAAGCCGAGCCCCGCGGAGCAGCCCACGATGACGAGCTTCCACGCGTCCATGAGCGACGCGGCGTCCGGCGCCCACGCGGTGGACACGACGGCGTCGACGAGGCACCAGAGCCCGGCGACGCTCAGGTAGTCGCCCACGGGCCGCCAGAGCGCGTCGGCGGCGGCGCGCGAGCTCCGGTTCGCGTCCGCGGCCGTCCGCTTGCTCCAGCACCGGGCGCCGCTCGACGCGCAGAGCGCGCTGTGGACGACCCAGTAGGCGACGTTGAACTCGCAGTTGCCCCGGAACTCGTCGCAGGTGCCGTCGCGCAGGCGCGCGTAGCGGTCGAGCACGAGCTTCCACGTGAAGAAGGAGATCGTCGCGAGCGCGAGCGACACCGTCGGGAGGATCGTCCGCCGGATCTCCGCGGGCGCCGTCGGCATGGCCGCGGGCAGCAGCGAGAAGATGCCCATGATGATGCAGACGAAGCCGAGGTCTGCGAGGGGGGGGCGGGGTCGCGGGGCGGCCCCGCGGCGCGGCCCCGCGCGGGGGGCGGGCCCGGACCGCGCGGCGCGCGCGGCGCGCGCGCGCGGGCCCGGGGACGCCGGCGCCGCGCAGTAGGCGTGCGTGCCGTGGGGCATGGTCAGGCTCAGCCAGAGGCCCGCCGTCGTGACACCGCAACCCAGGCTGTAGAGCAGCGACACGCGCTTGTGGCGCTCCGTCTTGAGCGTGTGCCACTTATAGGCGTTCTGCTCCGGGGCATCCTTCGTGCACCGGATGCGGAGCTTGCCGCTCGACAGCGTGCGCGCCCGCATGGCCGTGGTCAGCGGCCGCCCATGCGCTGCCCGCAGGCAGATGCGGGTGCTGTTCGGGATAACACGCTCGTGGCCACAACACCCGGCAGATCCTGGCCACCCAGCCCTTTTGGATCGGCCAAACATGCTGAAGCGCACGTGAAGTATTTGTATTTCTACACCAAACTACCGGATATATAGGTGGCCGAGATTTACGGACCTCTCATTTCAATAGTCCGTTCCAGAAGGGTACACGTGCAAAATGAGCGTTGCGTAATATTACTTGCACCCTCAATTGCAGCTTGGGGCAATTGCAGCTTGGGGCAACCGCAGCTTGGGGCAAGCAGCCTCACGCGTGAGATCCGCGCGGGGAATCGCAGGCCCGGCCGCGCCGCGCTGGCCCAGCTTCCGGCACGCGGCCGCGGCGCACGCCGTCGACCACGAGGATGTTTCAAGTTGCGCCGGCGCTAGGGACGGGTGATGCTCAGGTGTGATGCCCAGGTGTGTTGGTGTGATGCCCAGTGTGACCCTCGGTCCGCGTGTTTTCGGGTGTGATGCTCGGTGTCACAACGGTTTTGGCCTGGGCCGAGCGGCGAAGATTAAAGTGCAACCCGGAGTCAAACAAACGTGCAGGCTTGTTTCTGGCCACCCGATCGGACGTTGCTATTACTGCACCGATTTCCGATGCTATGGCCCGGCCCAGAGGCTGCGCCGGACGGCGTGCCGGCTTCCGGTCGCGCTCGTCGCGGCCCTGGCGTGGCGCCCGCGGCGTGCGGTGCGCGCTGGGCAGCCCTCGTCGGGCCGTGGGCGGCGGCGGCGGCGCGGGTCGGGCTGCCACGCGGTAGGCGTCTGGTCGAGGACTGGCGCCACTGCGGCGACGCGCGGTTGTTCCGACACGTTCTCCGGCGTCTATGCCGGCGGGGTTCTCGCGCGCGGGGGCGCGGGGCGGCCCAATGGCGATGACTTCTTTTTTTGAGAGTTTTAACGAATGCTCGCACCTGCTCATCGCGGTCGTCGCGCCGAGGTCCGATTTGAAGAACGATCGCCGCAGCTGCGACGCCTCGCGCGCCGCGTGCGGGGTGGCGTCCCCTGGCGGAAGGACTACCAGGTCGTCGCCACCGTCATCGTGACCGCCGCGCCGCGCGCCTCCCTGCCGCGGCAGTTGGAAATCCACTGGGACGTCGCCTACCGATGATGTAGTAGCCATCTAGTACAGACTACCTCGGGCGAGTGTGATGCCCACTTCTGGTGTGATGCCCAGGTGTGAGTGTGATGCTCGGTGGTGTGATGCTCAGTGTGGTGATGCCCACGCTTCACTCACTTACCAATCGTTGGCCGGAACGCAACATTAACTTATTGAACCTAGTAGTTTACTTTCGAAAAGTGGTTGGACGTCGTCGATGATGGCACGATCTCTGATGCTGGGTTTGGCATGTTCCAGGCCAGGGGGAGAGAAACTGAGCACACTTCGCAATGGCAATTCGGGGTCGAGCATCCCAAATCTTCAGCCCGCTCGTCTCGGGAACACGCAGAAGCCGAGATCATTTTCCCCTCTCTCTCCGCGCGCGCGAGGCGGTCCCCGCGGCGAGGTTCTGGGTGCTCGAAGGTACTATGCCAAGCGAACCCCTCTCTCGTCGCCCCGATTCCGGCCGGCAGCCGCGCGGGCATAGTACCTTCGGGCGCCCCAGACCCCAGACGCAGCCCCGCTCCGCCGACCAACCACATCGTCTCGAGCAAAAGACGACGTTTCAGCCGAGCGATACATTTCACTGCAACTTGGTCCGTCGATTAGTAAGTGTCACTAGCCGGCGCTCGCCGCCGGCGATCATCCGCCACGCGCCGCGGCCGGCCGGGCGCCGCGCCCCGAGGCTCGCGGTGATCTGAAAGCTCTTAAGGGCGCCCCCGGATCTCAGGGGAGCCGAGAGCTCCCGCCGGGGGCGCGCCGCGGCGGGGCCTCACGCGCCGGGGTGGAGCGGGTGCGCGCCGCCCGGCCGGTCGTTCGCGCGCGACGTGGGCTCCTTGGACTGCTTGTTGAAGTCCGGGTCCGCGAGGGTGTAGGCCTGCTTGGCCCGGGGCCGCGAGCCCGCGGCGCGCGCGAGGAGGACGAGGCGGCCCGCGCCGCCGACCTGGCCCGGCGGCACGTCGTGCTCGGGACCCGGCTCGGGCCGCTTCCGGACCGCGGGGCCGTCGCAGTCGCTCATGGTCTCCGGGTCGCCGTACAGGGACCCGTCGCGGCGCCGCTTCCGCGCGCCCTTGCGGAACCCCCAGAGCCGGAGCTCCGCGGCGAACTTGCGCCGCGCGCGCGCGAGGTCGTCGTCGTCGGTCGCCGGGTTCCCCGCGGCGCGGTCGAGCGTCCGGAAGAGCTTCTTGAGGTGCTCGAGGCCGTCGTCGCCGTCCTCCTCCGTGTCGAAGGTGCGCGACCCCAGGTTGTACTCGTAGCGCCGGTCCGCGGCCGCCTTCTCGCGGACGTACCGCTCCTCGAGGTCGGGGAAGCCGTCCTCGAAGACCGCGTGGATGAGGTTCACGGAGCCCCACCTAGGCGAGGGGTCGGGGGTGAGGAGGGGGCGGGGGCGGGGCGGGGGGGGGCATGCGCGACGGGGGGATGGGCGGCGCGCGCGGCCGGCGACGTCCGCGGAAATCCGCGGACCGCGGCGCCCGCGTCGCTCGCGCGCGGGGTTTTGGGGGGGGGATGGGCGCGGGGGGACGCACCGCGCGCGCCGCGTCTTCGGGCCGCGCGTCCGGGGCCGGTGCAGGAAGTCCTCGGGCCGCTTCAGGGACGAGGCGTCGGCGGCCGAATCCACGCCGCTCCAGACGGGCGTGACCGTGTTCGTCGCCTCCGCCGCGAGGGGGGGCGTCGTCGTGCGCGACGACGCCTGGGCGTCCGACGAGTCGGCCAGGGGATCAAGCGGGCTCATCGCCTTCGCGTCGCGACGCGGGGGCCGTGATTCGGCACGACTTCAGGTTATCGCGAACGCGTCGCAGCCGTCGTCGCAAACGAGTGGTTGTGTGGAAGCTGGCACAATGTTGCACCTGTTGGTTGCAGCTGACGCCGAAGACGGAAACGCACGCGTCGACGGGCTTCCCGACCACATAGAACAGACCGCGTCGACTCGACGCCCACCACCGCGCCGCGCCGGCCGCGCGGAACGCGCGAAGACGCCAGGAAAACAACAAGACGCGGCGCTACTCCTTACTCGCGGCCTGGGCCTGCTGGTACCAGGCCGCCCGCCGGAGGATGCAGTAGTGGCGCTTCGCCTTGCCGAGGCGCTCCGAGAGGCGGAAGTCCGCGCCGCCGTAGCCGCGCGCGGCGGACAGCTCCGCGACGATGGGCCGGCCGCCGGCCTCGAGTATGCCGTTGTCCGTGAGGTTCAGCTCGCGGAGGGCCTCGTTGTGCGTCAGCGCCGGCCGGAAGGCGAGGAGCGCGAGGGACACGAACTTGCCCCGCTCGCCGACGACCCAGGGCGCCGTGACGCCGCAGAGCTGGTTCCGCTGGAGATCCAGGCGCTGGAGCGTCGCGTTGACGCGGAGCGCGTCGCCGAGCGCCAGCACGCCGTCGGCGCTGTGGCTGCCCCAGCCCTGGGGCGACACGTCGCAGACCTCGTTCCGCGCGAGCTTGAGCTCCGTGAGCGCCGCGTTGCGCCGGAGGCCCTCGGAGAGCGCGCGGAGGCCCTGGGCCTCGACGTGGGACTCGCTCAGGTTGATGGACGTCAGGCCCGTGTTCTTCTTCAGCGCCTCGCCCAACGCCGCGAGGCCCGCGTTCGGCGGGAGCCGCGCGGCGCCCGCGTCGTCGTCGCGGCTCTCCCGCTTCGCCGTCAGCATGCCGAAGCCCGCGCGGTACGCGTAGGCCTCGGCGGACAGCGCCCCGGCGGACGCGTCCCGCGCCAGGGCGTGGGGCGCGCTCGCCGCCAGCTCCCGCACGCCGTCGGCGAAGTTGTTGCCGGACAGGTCTAAAGCCGCGAGGTGCACGTTGTCCGGCAAGCAGACGGCGAGCCGCGCGAGCATCGCGCCGTCTAAACCGCAGGTCCGCAGGTCCATCTTCACGAGCGTCGGCGCGATGACGTCACCGGCCGCGAGGGCCGCCGTCGCCGGGTCGACGACCGCGGCGATTAACGAGATGTCGCGGACGTTGATGTTGACTCTTCTCAAACTGAGGTCCGCGGCCGCGTCGCCGGCCGCGAGGCGGAAGCGGCGGCACGCGCGCTGCACGCGGCCGGCGGGCGACGCTAACGCCGCGGCGCGCTCCGCCGACGTGACCATGTGGAGCACGACGTCGACCATGCCCAGCGGCGCGACGTAGGCCTCCTGGTGGACGTCGTCGAGCGACGGCCAGCCCGCGTAGTCGCCCGCCCTGATCTTCGCCGCGGACGCGCGCTGCGACGCGCTCGGGGCCGCCCCGGGCCGCGTCGCGCCCGGCGCCTCGAGGGCGACCCAGCGCCGCCGGCGCGCCTTGTCCGCGACGGGCTTGAGGGGCAGGAGCGCGACGCCGAGGCACGCGTCGCCGCGCTGTCCCGGCTTCTTCGGCGTGCCCGGCTTCTTCGGCGTGCCCGCTTCCTCCGCCGGGGGCGCCGCGTTCCAGCAGGCGACCTCTAGTTGGAGGTCGTCCGTGACCTCGTCGGCCTCGGGCAGCTCGACGAGGAACCTGGCAGGAAAAGAGAGCGAAATTCCCAACTTTGGAGACTGCTATCTCGGTCATTTTCCACTCGTTTCGGCTAATTTTTGGACGAGCGATCATCTCGGAGCGTTCTCGAAGCGTGGATGCTTTTTCCGAAACGGGCGCGCGCGGAACACTCACGTTGAAGCGAACTTGAATCACTCTTTTCCCGCCCTGACGAGGAACGTCTCCTGGAACTGGGGCCGCCGCGACGGCGGCGCGGTCCGCGTCCGCGCGCTGTGGACGAGCTGGCTCGGCCCGCCGACGGTCTTGATGGAGACCCAGACGTCGGGCACGGGCGACACTTCCGCGCTCGCCGCGGACGCGGTTTCGCCCCCGTTCGACGCGTCGTCCGCCGCGGGTCGCGCGAGGCCCGTCGGCGTGCCCGGTCTTTTCGAACCGGACGGCGTGCCCGCGCGCTGGCGGCTGCCCGGGCGCGCCGCGTTCTCCCGGTCCTCGAGCAGGTCCGGCCGCCGGCCGAGGTTCCGCGCGCGGACGATAGCGACGCGGATCTCGTTCGGGTCCGCCTCCGGAAACACGTCCTCGTCGAGGAAGTAGTCCGGCGCGAGGGCCGGGTCGTGCACGAGGACGCAGGCGACCTTGATCTGCGACGCCTTGTCGTCGCCGGCGACGCGGTTCGCCTCGGGCACGGCCAAAGTGACCCACGACCACGCCGGCGTCGGCACTCGTCGCGCGGCGTCCGCGAAGCCCTCGGCGTCGCGGTCGCCGCGGAAGGCGTCGCGCGCGTCGAGGACGGCTCTGAGCGGGATCTTCGCCGCGCCGAGCAGCGGCTGCGCGCCGTCGCCGCCGGCGACCTGGCGGTCGCGGACTTCTACGGTGACCTCCGGTTCCACCTCGCCTCTTTCAATGTCGTGCTCGTCGACGTCGAGGTCCAGGCGCTCGAACCAGGACGGGTAGAACGTGCCCTCCGTCGTCCGCGTCGCCTTCGCCACGAGCTCGCCGTCGCCGTAGGCTATTGAAGCCGTCGCGAAGACGCGCGCGCGCGCCTCGTCGTCGGACTTGGCCGCGGCCGGCGGCTTCGAGAACAGCGCCTGCTTCAGGGACGACGCGGCGGAGGCCGCCGGCGCCGCGCGCTTGATCTCCTCCGTCGACGCCTTGAGGTTGCGCGCGCGCCCCAGGAAGACGAGGAGCCGGTTCCCGCGCCGCGCGGGCCAGTCGACGGCGCCGTCGAGCAGGTCCGGCTCGAGGCCCGGGTTGTGGCGCCAGCGGAAGAGCAGCTCGACCTGGCCCTTGGGCGCGTGGGCCACGGGCGCGTTGTCGACGGCGCCGGGCTGCTTGAGCGGGTCGGGCCGCGCGTCCGCGTCCGCCTCGGCCTTGAGCGCGTACCACGATCGGAAGGGCCGCCGGTCCACGAGGCTCGACGCGAGGCGCTCGAGCTTGACGCCGCCCATGAAGTCGTTGGCGCTGCGGTCGTCGTGGTCGAAGACGCGGACCCAGAGCGCGTAGTCGTCGCCCGGTTCGACCTCGAACGCGAAGACGCCCTTCCACTTGGGCTCGAGCGTCTTGGGCCTCACGGCCGTCCGCGCCTCGCCCGGCCCGACGTTGACGACGGCGTAGGGGTCGCTGGAGCCGCCCTTGGAGAAGCGGCTCCGGTCCATGATCTCGAGGGACTTGCCGCGGTAGACGGCGACCTGGAGCTCGTTGGGCTGCTTCTCGGGCACGTCTGGGTCGCCCTCTTTAAAGGGGTCGAAGACGAGCGCCGGGTCGTGCCTCCAGCACAGGACCAGCTCGACGTCGCCGGAGCTCCCGCCGAGCTTGTACCATCTGCGCACGCGGTAGCCGTCGTGGACCTCGCGGAGGTCGACGTCGGCCGAGCCCATGAAGTCGTTGCCGCTGAGCTCGTCCCAGTCCTCGAGGACGACCGTGAGGACGCCCGGCGGCGCGTCGTCGTAGTCGAGCTCGTAGGGGCACTGGAACCGCGCGCGGAACAACGGGTTCACGGTCTTCCGGCGCACGTCGGTCTTGAACGAAAACTCGGGCGCGTTCGCGAGGGTCACGGTGGCGACGGGGTCGCTGCTGCCGCCCTTGGATAAGATATTCCTGTCCATGATCGGCAAATGCCGCGCGCGGACGACGGCGATGCACAGCTCGTTGCGGGGCTTGCCCGGGTGCGCGTCGGTGCCTTCCCACGGGTCGAACGCGAGCTCGGGGTTGTGGATCCACTTGAGCACGAGCTCGATGGACCCGGAGACGGCGTCCTTGGGCCGGTCCGGGTCCGTTTGTAGTTTGAACCACTTGCGGCCCCGGAAGTGGGTCACGTCCCGCAGGTCGACGTCGAAGACGCCCATGGAGTCGGGCGCGGACGCGTCGTCGTAGTCCTCGCACCGCGCCCGCAGCACGGGGTGCTCGACCTCCGTGGCCTCGATGGGGAGGCGGAACTCCTCGTGCCACTGGGGCGCGAGCGTGTTGTTCTTGTAGGTCGACGTCGCGGCCGCGTCCGTGCCCGGCACGGTGAAGACGACGCGCGGGTCCGACGTGCCGCCCTTCGAGAGCAGGTTCCGGTCCTTGGCGATCAAGCCCTTGCCGCGCACGAGGGCGACCAGAAGCTCGTTGCAGTCCTTGGAGACGCGGTCCTGGACGACGGAGCCCAGCACCTGTGTGCAAATCAACCCGTGAGCTGGGACGTCGGGGCCAAACTTCAGAATTCTCTAGCTCGGTCAAATCGAAGTCGATTCGGCTGATTTTTGGACGAATCGATTGCTCTCAGCGAGTTCTCGAAGCACGGCGGAAGTGATCGTGTCAAAACATTCGAATACGCGCACATTGAAGTCGGGTTGAAGATTTGATTTGCACACAGCCCAGCACGTTGAGCAGCCGCACGGACTGCGCGGCCTTCTTGAGCCGCTGGAGGCCCGTGGGCTTCGCGGGCGCCGCGGGCCCCGCGCTTCCGAAGGCGCTGAGCACGCGCGCGGACTGGGCCTGCTTCTTGAGCACGCCGAGCTTCGACGGCGGCGGCGCCGCGGCGGCCGCCTCGGGCGACGCCTCCGCCTCGCGCGCGGCCTCCGCCTCGCGCGCGGCCTCCGCCTCGCGCGCGGCCTCGACGGCGTCGGGGTCTTCGGTGAACTCGAAGGGCTCGTAGAAGTATTTCGGGTTGTGGCGCCATCTGAAGACGAGCTCGAGGGCGCCGGAGACCGTGTCCTTGGGCTTCTTCGGGTTCGGTTTCAGTTCGAACCAGCCCCGGTGGATCTGCCGATCGATGAATCGGGACACGTCGACGTCGACCTCGCCCATGTGGTCCGCGGCGCTCAGCAGGTCGTAGTCCTCGCATTTGGCGCGCAGCACGGGCGCCTCGTTGGGCGTGCAGAGCACGGCGAAGGTCTCGTTCCACACGGGGTTGAGCGTCTTCTTCTTCGTCGTCGTCGAGTTGAGCGTCTCCGCGTTGCCGACGATCTCGACCTTGACGCGCGGGTCGCTGGACCCGCCCTTGGAGAACATGTTCTTGTCGCGGATGGCGAGGTCGCGGCCCCGGGCGACGGCGACGAGGAGCTCGTTGGGCTCGCGCTCCGGGTCGTCCGCCGCGTCCAAAAAGGGCTCGAACGCGAGGTCCGCGTTGTGGCGCCAGAGCAGGACGAGCTCGAGCGCGCCGGACACCGCGTCCTTCGGGCGCTTCGGGTCCGCGCCCAGCGGGTACCAGCCGCGCGCGCGCCGGTGGCCCAGGCGGCTCAGCGGCACGTCGACGACGCCCATGGAGTCCGGCGAGCTCAGGTCGTCGTAGTCCTGGCAGAGGCACGCGAGCGTCGGCGCGGTGACCTCGCCGGGCGTGAGCGGGATCGCGAAGGTCTCGTTCCAGAGCGGCGCGAGCGTGTTGTTCTTGTAGGTCGACTTCCGGGTCGTGACCTTGGCGTCCGTGCCGGGGACGGCGAAGACGACCTGCGGGTCCGACGTGCCGCCCTTCGAGAACATGTTTTTGTCTTTGATGACGAGGTCGCGGCCGCGGATGAGAGCGACGAGCAGCTCGTTGGGCGCCTTGTCCAGCACGTCGGCCTCGTCGAGGAACCTGCGCGCGAAAGGCGGGGTGAGCATCGCTCGCCTCTCGTACTACGCTCGTCGGACGCCGGGTTCCACGGCTCGAAGGCCAGGGCCTCGTTGTGGACCCACCGGATCCAAAGCTCGATGGCGCCGGAGACCTTATCCTTGGGCCGCTTCGGGTCGACCTTCAAGTCGTGCCATTTGCGCTCCGTCTTCCGCGACGCGCCCAGCGCTTTGAGGTCGACCTCGAAGACGCCCATGGAGTCCGCGGCGCTCAGGTCGTCGTAGTCCTCGCAGAGGACCGCGAGCGTGGGCTGGTTGTTGACCTCGCCCGCCGTGAGCGGGAACACGAACTCCTCGTTCCAGCAGGGCGTGAGCGTCTTGCGCTTCACCGTGGACGTCGCTTTGGCGTCGCTCCCGGGGATCGTGAACTGGACGCGCGGGTCGCTCGAGCCGCCCTTGCTGAACGTGTTCTTATCCTTGATGACGAGGCCGCGGCCGCGGCCGAGCGCGACGTGGAGCTCGTTCGGCGCCTTCTGCTCCGCCGTGTGGCCCGGCAGCTCGAGGAACCTGCGCGCGAAAGACGGGTGAGTTGCGGATATCAAAACGTTTCGGACGCCGGGTTGAAGAACGGCTCGAAGGCGAGGGCCGGATTGTGGCGCCAGAAGATGACGAGCTCGATGGCGCCGGAGACCTTATCTTTCGATGACGGGTCCTCCTTGAGCGTGTACCTGCGCGTGAATCGGCCGGTGGGCCGGGACGTCGAGGCCGAACGTCGGAACTCTCCGGTTCGGTCCAACGTCGAGCGCGCGCGGCGCGGTCGCGCGGCGCGGCGGCGGCGCGCGCGTCGAAGTCGCGCCGAAGGTTCGAGTTCCGCCTGCGTACGTACCACTTCCGCTTCCGCTTGTTCTCCTTGCCCCGGAGCTTCACGTCGAAGATGCCCATGCTGTCCGGCGCGGAGCCGACGTCGTAGTCCTCGCAGCGCACGTGCAGCGTCGGCGCCTCGAGCTCGTCCGCGCCGAGCTCGAACGAGAACGTCTCGCCGTAGACGGGATTCAGGTTCTTCTTCTTCACCGTCGACTGGCACTTGAGGTCCGGCCGGTCCTTGATGGAGAAGACGCAGCGCGGGTCGCTGCTGCCGCCCTTCGTGAAGACCGACGTGTCCCGGATCGCCAGGTCGCGGCCGGCGCAGAGGCCGATGAGCAGCTCGTTCGGCGGCTTGTCCGGCGGGAAGACGTCGAGCCACGGCTCGAAGGGCTCGTCGCCGGCCGGCGGCGGCGGCGCGTCGGTCATCGGTGCTGCGCTTAGGGCTGCGTTCTATGCGCGCAGGCTGCTGCAACAAAATGCGCTGGGTAGCAGCCCATCGTGTTTCAAAGAGGCGCTGGGCAGCCTCCAAGATGAAGTTCACATGCAGTTCAACATGCGTAGGGGTACTCGCGACGATGTTACGCGCCCGAGCTACTGCGGTCCGACGGCGCGATCGACGACGGTCGACGCGAGGGCGTGGTGGCCCGGGCGCCCCGGGCGGTGCCGCGCGTCGCCGCCGCCGAGCGACGGGCCGAGCGCGGGCGTCCGGAGCTCGCGGTCGCGGGCGAACTCGTGGCCGAGCTCGTCGGCCTGGCGCTCGGACTCCGTCTTCTCGAGGTGCGTCTTGCCGTACTTGGCCTCGAATTCGCCGACCGCGCTCGCCTCGTCGACGGCGATCTCGAACTCGGCCATGCCCCGGAGGTAGTCGCCGTGGAACGTGAAGGTGTAGATGGCGTACATGTCCACGGACTTGACGCCCGCGTCGGGGCTGTGGAGGACGAGCTGGCGGGGCGCGAACTCGTCGACGCGCGTCTCGAGGCCCTTCAGCGGGATCGCCTCGAGACAGAGCGCGTCGCGCTTCGCGGTGCCGTCCTCGAGGGTCGGGAAGACGAAGCAGTAGGTGCCCTTGACGAGCACGACCTTCAGGCTCTGGATGTCGCGCGGCGCGAAGCAGCGGCAGCAGTCCTGGTCGCGCGAGACGTAGCACTTGCCCTCGAACGCGCCGCCCTTCGTGCCGCGGACGTGCTCGTAGGTGCCGAAGCGCGCGTTGTCGCGGAAGCTGCTGAAGAGGCTCCGCATGGACGCCCGGAGGGACCGCGACGACTTCCCCGAGATCTGGCGGCCCCGCACGGAATTCGTCGAGCTCTGCGGCGAAAGCGGCGCGGCGCCGTCGCCCGCGCGGGCCTCTTTTTCCGCGGGGTCGCTCGGCGGGTGGGCGCTCGGCGGCGGGTGCTCGTCCTCCTCGGCGATCTCGCTCGGCCGGCCCTCGTCGGACGAGCGGGTCCGCATCGTCGGCGTGAAGGCCTTGTTGAGGTTCTTGGACGAGTCTTCCGCCCGCTTCAGCGCCCTCGGCGACGACATCGGTGCTTTATCAACGACTCGGGCGGGCTCGACCCCTCGTCGGCGGCCGCGGGCGTCGGTGTCGGATGGATGGCGGCACAGGGCGGCTCTGTGGTCGCGACGCTTTGAGGCCTCGAGAGAAAGGCTAAAAATCTGCGAAACCTTGTTTCAGTGCCGTACGACGTCGTCGACGTCCTCGCCCTGCGTCGCCCCCCCCCCCTCGACGGACGTCATGCGCGTGCCCACCCATGCGCGCGCACGTACCCGTCCGCCCGGGAGTGGTGTAGAAGGGAGTCAGTTTAAAGGGAGTCCGGCCGCGGCGGCGCGCGCTCGCGGAGCGCGCGGTCCGCGCGTCGCCGCTGACGGCCGGGGGAGCTTGGTTCGAAGAGGGGGGCAGATGGAGGGCGGGGCGACGCGAGGGGGCGAGGTGCGGTAGACGGCGCCTAGGCGTCCTCCGCGTCGACGCCGTAGAGCCAGCGGCGCCCTCGTTGCGACGGGTGCTTGTTGCCCTTGGCCGGCTTCTTGCCCTTCTTCTCCGCGAGGTGGGACTGGCCCGTGTTCCCCGCCGTGCCGACGTAGTTGTCGAGGAGGTCGGCGAAGTTGTAGCCGTACCACTCGCAGTGCTTCCACGCGAAGTCCTGGTAGATGTAGGGCATGTCGGACGTCGACGGGTCCAGCAAATCGTAGACCTCCTCGTTCGTCAGCAGCGTCTCGTCGAAGGCGTTGCCCTTGTCGTCGCCGTTCTTCAGGGAGAACTTGAAGGGCACGGTGGACGTCTTCTGGTGGCCCGTGCAGTTCGTCACGGACGCGGCGCCGTGCTCGGGCCAGTCCTCGTCCTCGAAGGTATTCGAGATCTTCTTGAAGACGAAGATGCGCTCCATGGTCGGGTGGATGGACCAGAAGGACGGGTCCATGGGGCTCCCGGACTCGAGCTGGTCGCCGTCGGCGCCGATGCCGCCGTCGCACATCATGTCGACGACGCCCATCTTGAGCGTGTCCGTGAGCCAGTCGAAGTCGTCGACGTCCTCCCACCACGCGAACATGGTCTCCCAGTAGGTGTCGATGTCCGAGTAGGAGTCGCAGGTCGCGTGGCACTCGCTGAAGGGCGTGTCCACGGAGCAGTAGTCGGGCAGGCTGAGCTGGCCCGCGCGGTACATGTCCTTGAGCGTCACGAACGCGTTCGACCGGAGGAAGGCCATGAAGGTCTCGACCTCCTCGTCGCACTGGGACTGGGGGTAGTTGCACTGGATGTTGTTGTGGATGTAGGTCTCGATGTCGTGCGTCGTCTCGTTGCAGTGGAACGTGCCGCCGATGACCTCGTGCACCGTGCCGTGCGGGTCGTAGGGCATGATCCACGCGAAGTCGTACCACGTGTCCGACGTGAGCAAAAAGTAGTGCTCGACGCAGGACGGGATCGTCGTGCCCGTGTAGCCGCACATGTCCGGCACGCGCGTGAGGTGCGGCTGCGGGTTGTTGTTCCAGGGCGCGCGCATGTAGCCGTACGAGTTGTGCGTGCCGCTCCACTGGTTGTCGGCGATCTTGATGCCCTTCCAGCGGCCCTCCTGGATGGTAAGCGTGTCCCGGTTGACGTTGCCGAGCACGTCGGCCCGGAAGATGGGCGACTGCCAGAGCGACGTCAGGTTGCCCGTGTCGAGGTGCCACCGGTCGATCGTGAAGTCCCAGTAGGGCAGCGACACGCGGGGGTCCACGGCCTGCATGGCCTGCTCGAACATGAGGGTTAAACCGAGATGCTGGGTCATGAACCCTAAACCGTCGTGCATGTGGTCGCACGTCATGTCCGACGACAGCGCCACGTGGTACGTCGTCAGGTCCGTGATGTCCATGTAGGACGGCCCGTAGAGCTCGACGCCCTCGGCCGTCTTCACGTCCCAGAGCGTCTTCATCGTGTTGAGCCACAGGTTGCGGTCGCCGGACGTGAGCTGGCGGATCTCGCGCCGGATGTAGCGCGCGAGGATCCGCCCGTTGTACGTGCCGACCTCGTGGCCCGACATGTAGGCCGTGAGCGACACGGGGTACTCGCGCAATATCGTAAACTTGCGCCGGATGGACTCGCCGTGGACGACGTCGCCGTTGTCGAAGGCCCACTTGTAGGTGTAGTTCGCCCAGCCCGCCGTCGCGTTCGTGTCGTTCGTGCAAATCGAGCACTCCGCCACCAAATTCGTCCACCGGTGGGGCTCGGCGATGGCGTCGTAGTCGTTGATCCAGGAGTAGAGCGCCCCGGGCTTGCCGTAGGTGTCGACGTAGTCGTCGCGCAGCTTCATGGTCAGCGGCGACTCGTCGGGCGCGCCGGACGTCGCCTTCGACGCCTTGGTCTTCTCCTCGACGAGCGCGTCGGACGCGCCCCTGCCGCCGCTGCTCAGGCTCGCGAAGGCGACGAGGGCGACGACGGCGCCCGTGCCCAGGGCGACCTTCAGCGGGTTCCGCCGCCGCGCGCCGGGCTCCTCGATGGGCTCGTAGGCGGCGTACATCGTCTCGGGAACCCCCCGGCGCCGCGCCGCTCGAGGTCCGCGCGCCGCGCCCCGGCTCCGCGACCCGCGAAAAGAGTCACGCGCGTCCCAGGGCCGCCGCCCGCCTTCGCTCGCCGACGAGGGGCTGCCCAACACCGCACCAGCAGCGTCGGCGCGTCTGCGTCCTTAAAATCACACGGAGGCCAATTGCGAGGATTAGTGCCGATATCCGATCCTGCAGGTGCCGTGCTGCCCCGACTGACACAGAGCATGGGCTTCCTCCGACCATAGTAGGTGCGCCGTGCTGCCCCGACTGACACAGAGCATGGGCGTCCTCCGACCATAGTGCTGCCCTAGAGCATGGACCGCGCGTACGTCGTCGCCGGCAAGCGCGGCGCCATCGTCCGCGCGACGGCGTCGCTCCACGGCAAGGTCGTCGGCAAGCTCAAGTCGGGCGAGGCCGTCGGCGTGCGCAGATGGGACGCGGCGCCCTGCGGCACGTCGCGCTGCCTCCTGTCGCGGCCTGTCGAGGGCTGGGTGTCGGCCAAGGTCCTGCGCGTCGCGTCGATCCTCGAGCGCCACGGCGCCGACGTCGCGCTCCAGCGCGCCGCGCGCTTCTACCTCGACGTCCGCTCGCTGCTCCGCGCGTGCGGCGCGTCGCGCGCGCTCGCGCGGCGGCGCGACGCGCTCTGCGCCGCGCTCGGCGGCGGCGCGCGCGGCGCCGCGTGCCCGGAAAACTGGCCCGGGCCGCGGCACGCCTGGGTCGCGGCGCGCGAGCGGCGGCGAAAGCCCATGAGCGTCGCGGCGTCGTGCGCGCACTCCTGCTCCGTCGAGGACGGGCGACTCTTCGTCTTCGGCGACCTCGGCTTCGTGACGACGGCCGTGCCCAAACACGTCCCGCTCGCGGTCTACGTCTACTCCGTCGCCTGCGGCGGCTTCGTCGACGACGGCGCGTCGACGATTTCGTTCTCCCGCGTGCACACGCTCCTGGGCGCGGCGCGGCGTCCCGCGGCCGGGGTTCGAGGGCTTTGGACCGGGAAACCGATGAACCATGGTAGGCACGGCGGCGGGCGTCTTCGGCTTCGGCGACAACGCGCACGCGCAGCTGGGCTTGGGCGACACGGCCTCCCGGAGCGAGCCCGCGCGCCTCGCGACCTTCGCGGGGCCGCCGCGCGCGATGGCGTGCTCGTCCGACTTCTCCCTCGTCGTCGATCAAACGGGCGGCCTCTACACCTTCGGGCGGGGGCGGCGCGCGCTCGGCCGCGGGGACACGGCGAAGGACCCCGGGAACCGGTCCGCGGGCGACCAGCTCTCGCCGTTCCGCGTGGCGCTGCCGTCGCCGTGCGTCGCCGCGGACCTCGGCGGCCGCCACGCCGTCGCCGCGCTCGCCGACGGCACGGTCTGGTCCTGGGGCGTCTGGCGCCTCGGCGGCCTCGGGCGCGGCGCCGAGCCGATCCTGGCGGAGGACGTGCCGGGGCGCGTCGACGGCGCGTGGGCGGCCCCGACGCGCGTCGCGTGCGGCGAGGAGCACGCGCTGCTCGTCGACGGCGAGGGCGCCGCGTGGGCCTGGGGCGGCAACCACTTCGGCCAGCTCGGCGTCGGCGACGAGGCGAACCGCCACGCGCCGGCGCGCGCCGCCCCAGGCCGGTGGGCGGACTGCCGCGCGTCCGGCAACTGCTCCGCGCTGTTGGACGAATCGGGCCGCGTGTCGACCTTCGGCCACGACGACGACACGGGCCGCCTCGGCCGCGCCGCGGGCGACGCGGCGGCCGTCGGGCCCGTGCCGCTCCTCGACGGCGTCGTCGACTTCGCCTTCGGCTACACGTGGGCGCTCGCGCGGACGAAGACGGGCCTCGCGGTCTTCGGCGCGGGCGAGCACGGCGTCTTAGGCGACGGCGACGCGACGCCCCACATGCTCGTCGGCGCCCACCCCGTCTCGTGCTAACGGGGTTTTATTGGGAGCGGCGACGCGTCGCCCCACGTGCCCTTCGCCCCCCACCCCGCCGCATGCTCACGGGGTTATTGGTAGCGCACGGTCAGCCCCTTGGACGTGTGCTGCGCGGACGTGACGACGAACGCCGCGGCGATCTCGTCGCTGTCGTCGTCGGGCTCGTTGTGCTGGAAGCGCACGCGCCGGTCGAGCATGCGGTCGTCCAGACTCAAATTGCGCAGGTAGGCGCGCACGGCGTTGTGGGCCGATTGCGGCACGGACGCCTTGGCGACGGCGACGCGGACGCGGTCGCCGCGGAAGTTCGGCCCCGCGCGCGGGTCCATGCGGACGGCCGCGTCGGGCCAGGCCGCGGCGATCTTCGCGCCGAGCTTGCGCAGCACGCTCCTCAGCAGGGGCCGCACGCGGTGCCGGCTCTTGCCGCAGGGGATGAAGGCCTCGGGCGAGATGGGCGTCGCGCGCCAGCTCGGCGAGCACCACTCGGGCCGCACGTTGGGGTAGACGAGGTGCTTCGGGTGGGGCTCCGACATCCAGGGGTGGGGCAGCTCGTGGGGCCGGAACGTGCACACGAAGGGCGGCGGGTCCATGTTCGCCTCGAAGGACGCGGCCAACGACGTGCGCTCCGGGGCCTCCGCCGTCCGCGCCTGTTGCGCGGCGTCCGCCGGCGGCTCCGCCGGCGCCGGCGCCGTCTTCGGCTTCTTCAGCTTCAGCTCCGGGCAGCTCTTCGCGTTCTTCGTCGGCCAGGGCACGGGCATGAAGCACGGCGCGTCGTCGCCGACGCCCGCGGGCGACCAGACGGCGCGCGTTCCGTGGAACTCGCCGTGCGACTTCTGGAGCGTCTGCGCGTGGCGCAGGATGTTGCCCGCGTGGAGCGTCTTCGGCAGCGACCGCATGGTCATGAAGTTGTTCGACGCGAAGGACGCCTGGATGCGCTCCATCTCCTCGTTGAGGTAGAAGAGGCTCTCCGTCATGGGCACCGGCGCGTTGTTCGTGCCCCGGCGGCTCATGATGATGATGGACTTCTCCCGCGCCTCGCGGCTCATGGGCCGCGCCGTCATGGCGGTAGAGAGCAGAACGGCGCGGCGGCGCGACGAGGCCCGCTCTCACGCAGGAACGCCAACGCGGGAGAGGCTGCCCGTATCATGTCAACCTAGAGACAACATCAACCAGGAACGCGAGGTTGCACCTCGTGCGGAGCTATGATGGCGGCACGCCTCGCTATGACGCACGCGCGCCGCGTCCTCGCCGTCGCCACCGTCGCCACCGTCGCGCTGCAGCCCCTGCGCCGCCGGTCGACGGCGCGCAGCTTCGCCGGCGGCTTCCACGCCGAGGGCGCCGAGGGCGGCAACTTTGAGGGCACGCGCTTCTACCCGCAGCCGGACCTGATCGACTCCGGCGTCATCGAGGCGGGAACCATCCACCGGGTCGCCTACAGCGTCTACGGCAACCCCGACGGCAAGGCCGTGCTCTTCGTCCACGGCGGCCCCGGCGGCGGCACCGCGCCCGAGAACGCGCGGTTCTTCGACCCCGCGGTCTACCGCGTCGTGCTGGTGGACCAGCGCGGCTGCGGCAAGTCGACGCCCTTCGCCGAGCTCGAGGAGAACACGACCTGGGACCTCGTCGAGGACTTCGAGAAGGTGCGCGAGACGCTGGGCATCGACGAGTGGCTCGTCTTCGGCGGGTCCTGGGGGAGCACGCTCGCGTTGACGTACGCGGTCTGCCACCCTAAACGTACAACGGAGCTCGTGCTCCGCGGCATCTTCCTCGTGCGGAAGAAGGAGCTCGACTTCTTCTACGAGGGCAAGGGCACGAACTTCCTCTTCCCCGAGCCGTGGGAGGTCTACGAGGCGCAGATCCCCCCGGAGGAGGCGGAGAAGGACGGCTACGTCGCCGCCTACGGCCGGCGCCTCCGCGGCGAGCTCGGCGACGAGGCCATGCGGAGCGCCGCCAAGGCCTGGAGCGTCTGGGAGGGCTCCGTGAGCCGGCTCCGGCCGCCGTCGCGGGAGCAGATCATGGGCAAGTGGGCCGACGACGACTTCTCGCTCGCGTTCGCGCGCATCGAGAACCACTACTTCACGTCCGGCGGCCGGGTCGGCGAGCCCGCGGGCTTCTTCGAGCGCGACGGCTGGTTGCTGGAGCCGGCTCAGACCGACCGGATCAAGCACATCCCGACGGTCATCGTCCAGGGCCGCTACGACGTCGTCTGCCCGGCGACGTCCGCCTACGAGCTCCACAAGGCGCTCCCGGACTCGACGCTCCACCTCACGACGACGGGCCACTCGAGCCTCGAGCCCGACATCATCGAGCGCCTCGTCGCGGCGACGGACAAGTTCCGCCCGTAGTAAGACGAGGTTTTTCGAGAGCGAGCGCGGCGTTTAGGCGGTCTCGGGCCGCGGCGCGTTCTTCAAAACGCCGCGGCCGTCATGGGCGCCGCGCCCGCGCTCTAGCCTAGGGCGCGAAGTGGAGCGTCTCCTCCATCACGGCGTCGGAGATGCCCAGCGTCTCCGCGAAGAAGCTGCCGGTCGCGCCGCCGCGCTCCTCGACCATCCGGAGCGCGGGGACGATGTCGTCGGCGTGCAGCGCGCCGCTCGGCAGCTGCCACTCGCCGCCCAGGAGGAGCGTGGGGATGCCCGACACGCCCAGCTCCCGGAGCTTCGCCTGGGCCGCGGTGATCTCCTCCCGGCCCGCGTCCGGGTCGTCGAGGAAGTCCATCGCTTTCGAGAGCTCCGCGCCCGCCGCGACGGCGACCTCGAGCAGCATGGCGCGGTCGTTGAGCTTCTTGCCGAGCTCGAAGTGGCGGTGGTTCAGGTCCGCGTACATCTTCTCCGCCGCGTTGACGCCGTAGTGCTTCGTGACCCACTGCACGAGGCGGTGCGACGTCAGCGTGTTCGACGCGACGCGGTCCAGGTTGAACTTCTCGATGCCCACGGCCCGCCCCCGGCCCTTGAGGTCGTGGCGCTTCTTCTGGGCGTCCCAGCCCGCCTGGCCGCCCCACTTTCTCACCAAACGGACCCGGTTCGTCTCCTCGAACGCCTCGCCCTCCGGGTAGTCCGGCTCGAGGAAGAACGGCACGCGCAGCACGGTGAAGCCCAGCGGCTCGGCGCCGAGCGGGTTCGCGTGGACCTCGGCCATGGCGTTCTGGAGGTGCCGCTTGCCGATGAAGCCGTTGGGTCACATCGTGTCGCTGATGAGCTCGATCGTCACGCGCGGCGCGGTCGACGCGCGTCGCCGCGCGGCCTAGAGAGACGTCGCGTTGTGCCACGGTTGATTTCCGCGATGGGTGGCGCGTGCGAGAGCGTTTCGCACGATCGGATCGCCCACCGAAACGCTGGCTTGTTAATAGCGCCGGGGGCTCGGTCTATTCACCGTCGGTCATTTGGGGAAAGAAGAAACTTCTTGAGTTCGTCATCTCGTGCGCGCGAGCGAAGACACCGCGAGAAGGACGCGGGGACGCGCGCGCGCTGCGGCGGTGCGGAGCGCGGCCATGGACGCGAGCATCTCGTCAGTCGTCAAGGCCGTTGGGGTCGGTGATGCCGTCCGCCGGTCCTCACTGGCAGGCTCTGAGATGCTCTGATGTCCTCTCGCGCCGAGCGTGCGCCGACGCGTGTCCGACGACGGCGGCGGCGACGCCGCGCGCCCGCCACCCAAAAACACAGAACGCAAACTCCGGTCGAAAGCGATTTACCCTGGGGGGCGAAACGAAGCGGCGGAGCGAGATCGCGGCGTCACCATCGCGTCGGCTTGAAGCGGAAGTCCGTGTCGTCGCAGTGGGACCAGGCGAAGCCGTCGTAGATGTAGTGGAGCTTGTAGTTCGAGGGCGAGGAGATGTTGAAGATCTCCGCGTTGGTGAGGTAGGACGACGCGAAGTTGCCGTCGTCGTCCATGGAGTTTGTGAGGAAGGGCGTGACGTCCTCCGCGTGGTGGCCCATGCACTGGGACGTCATCGGGTTCGTGCAGTACATGGTGCCCATGGGCCCCGTCGTGCCGTCGGACCCCCAGCTCGGGTCCGCGAAGGGCATGACGATGCGCTTGTACTGGAGGAGCCGGTCGAGCGTCGGGTGGATGGGCCAGAAGGACACGTCCGCGGGCGACGCGGCCTCGATCTGCTCCCCCGGCGTCCAGGGCGTCGAGCAGAGCACGCCCATGAAGGCGTCGTAGTGGTCGTCGGGCAACTCCAAAATCCAGTCGCCGAACCAGGACGAGAGCAGCTCCTGCTCGTAGTTCGGGTTGTCGAGCTCGACGGACGAGCCCGCGCAGATCATGTGGCAGTCCTCCTGGGGCGTGTCGTCGGAGCAGTAGGCCGGAAACTCCGTCATGAACTCGCGCCACATGTTCTTCGGCACGTCGAGCATGTCCAGCGCGAGCTTCTTGTGCGCGGCCTCGGGGATCACGCCCGCCAGGCGCTCCGTCAGGTTGCCGCAGTTCGTGTAGCCGCCGATCATGAAGTGGACGGGCCCGTGGGGGTCGTAGGGCGCGGCCCAGACGTAGTCGTACCAGGAGTCGTAGGTGAAGGTCAGGTTCCAGTGCGTCTCGCAGGACGGCCAGAAGTCGACGTCGAACGTCGCGTCGCAAAATTTGTGCACCCGCGTGAGGTACGGCGACCGGTTCACGTTCCAGGGCGCGCGCATGTAGCCGTAGGCGTTGTGCGTGATCTGGGACGTCGGGTCGACCTTGGTGATGCGCTGGTAGGCGAAGCGGCCGCCCGTGACCGTGTGGCGCGGCGACCGCGTCGCGTTGCCGAAGACGTCGTCCTTCCACAAATCTAAATCCCAGAGCGCGGGCAGCCCCAGGTCGCGGTCGCGGATGAGCTGGGCGTCGTAGGTGTAGTCCCAGTAGGGCACGCTCAGCTTCGGGGAGATGGTCTGGAGCGACGTCTCGAACTCGTTCGTCAAAGCGACGTGCTGCGTGAGGAAGCCCATGCCGTCGTGCATCTTGTCGACCTCGCGCGCGCCCGCCCGTTCCAGGTGGACGCCCACGAAGTAGTCGACGCTCCGGTAGGCGGAGCCGTAGCGGTGCATGCCCTCGTCCTTGCGCATGGTGAGCATGAGCTTGAAGGCGTCGAGGTACGTGTCGCGGTCCACCGTCGTCAGCGACCGGATCGACCGGCGCACGTAGCGGCTGTAGAAGCTCTTCTCCAAAATCTCCGTCGGCTTCAGGTCGTCGACGACTAACACCCGCACGCGGTACGTGCCCACGTTCTTGAAGACCATCATGAGCTCGCCGCCGACGCTGTCGCCGTCCGCGCCGCCGAGGAGCGCCGACGCGTCGACGGCCGCGACGTGGCTCTCGACCTGCTTCCCGAAGGCCAGCGTGTTCGTGTCCTGCTCCACCTCCCAGCGCAGCTCGGACACGGATGTCTGGCCCTTGGACCCGCCGGTCCAGAGCACGCGCAGCAGCGTCTCCGCGTGCGGCTCGACGACGGAGCCCTCGGTGAGGAACGGGTAGCCCCGGCCGGGCTGCCCGTAGAGCCGCGAGTACTCGTTGGACACGACGATGGTGTAGTTGCTGTGCCAGCCGTGGGGGTGGCTCGGCGAACTCCGCAGGAACGTCGGCGCCGCGACGTGCGCCCGCCGCAGGCCCGCGACGGCGGCCGTGAGCGCGAGGGCGCCGCCGAGCAGGGCCCGCCGCGGCCGCCGCTCCCGCGTCGTCGCGCGCGGCTCCTCGGGCTCGTCGCGCGTCGACGTCCGCTGCGTCTCCGCGCCGCCGGACCCGTACGACCGCGGGGTGGCCGGCTGCTCAGATCCCACCATCGCGGCGGTCGTCCGCGAAATCCTCGGGCTGCCTCGTGCTTGATGTTTTGCAAATCTTGCTCATCTTGAGCTCGCGTTGAACCTGTCTCGGCGCGGCCGGTGCGGTTGCAAGCGGCCGTGCGCTGCGATCGCTGCCGCCTCGACCGCCGCCGTCGATGCGCGCAGTTTTGCCACTGCCGCGATGTACGCAATTCGCCGACGCGCGCGGCATCCCACCCGGCGAGGGGTGCGGTTCGCCAATACCGCGTGTACGGCCACGTCTGGAGCACCACCCGGCGCGGCGAGGGGTCGCGGCGGACAGCTGAATTTCGGGGCGAGACGCGCGGTTGTCGTTCGGCCTCGCGAGGCCTCGGCGTCGTGGCCAGAGAAAGGTCTTGCAAGGCGCTGAAGTCCTGCCCCGGGGTACCACCACGCGTAAGACGCCACACCCGTCGGCGATTCTGGGGCCTCGCGAAATATTCGAACTTTTGTCTCGGAGCGCGGGCCCCGCGGTCCCCGGAGACTCCTGCCGACGGCCCCGCCCCCGCCCGGGAGGACCGCCGCGCGCTTCGCCGGCCCCGGACCTCCGGCCGCGCGCGCGCGCGCGCTCGGGCCGCGCGACCCGCCCCTCCGCGCTCCGCCGCTTCGCCGGACCCGCCCCGCCGCCGCAGGATGGGCGACGACTCCAAGGATTTGACGACGGCGATCATGAACAAGAAGCGGTCCCCGAACCGCCTGCTCGTCGACGAGGCGACGAACGACGACAACAGCGTCATCGCGCTGTCGACGGCCAAGATGGAGGAGCTCCAGCTCTTCCGGGGCGACACGGTGCTCATCAAGGGCAAGAAGGGCCACGAGACGGTGTGCATCGTGCTCACGGACGAGACCTGCGACGACGCGAACGTGCGCATGAACAAGGTCGTGCGGAAGAACCTCCGCGTGCGCCTCGGCGACCTCGTGACCGTGAACGCGTGCGGCGACGTGCCCTACGGCAAGCGCGTCCACGTGCTGCCCCTCGACGACACCATCGAGGGCGTCACGGGCAACCTCTTCGACGTCTACCTCAAGCCCTACTTCCTCGAGGCGTACCGGCCCGTGCGCAAGGGCGACCTCTTCCTCGTGCGCCAGGCGATGCACCCCGTGGAGTTCAAGGTCGTCGAGACGGACCCGGCGCCCCAGTGCATCGTCGCGCCGGACACGGTCATCCACTGCGAGGGCGAGCCCATCAAGCGCGAGGACGAGGAGCGGCTCGACGACGTCGGCTACGACGACATCGGCGGCTGCCGGAAGCAGATGGCCCAGATCCGCGAGATGATCGAGCTGCCCCTGCGCCACCCGACGCTCTTCAAGACCTTGGGCGTGAAGCCGCCGCGGGGCGTGCTCCTCTACGGCCCGCCGGGCAGCGGCAAGACGCTCATCGCGCGCGCCGTCGCGAACGAGACGGGCGCGTTCTTCTTCCTCATCAACGGGCCCGAGATCATGTCGAAGATGGCCGGCGAGTCGGAGTCGAATCTCCGGAAGGCCTTCGAGGAGGCGGAGAAGAACTCGCCGGCGATCATCTTCATCGACGAGATCGACTCCATCGCGCCGAAGCGCGACAAGACGAACGGCGAGGTCGAGCGCCGCATCGTCTCCCAGCTCCTCACGCTCATGGACGGCCTCAAGCAGCGCGCCCACGTCGTCGTCATCGGCGCGACGAACCGCCCCAACTCCATGGACCCGGCGCTCCGCCGCTTCGGCCGCTTCGACCGCGAGATCGACATCGGCGTGCCCGACGAGAACGGCCGCCTCGAGATCTTCCGCATCCACACGCGCAACATGAAGCTCGACGACGACGTCGACCCGGAGTCCATCGCGCGCGACACGCACGGCTTCGTCGGCGCGGACATGGCCGCGCTCTGCACCGAGGCGGCGATGCAGTGCATCCGCGAGAAGATGGACCTCATCGACATCGACGAGGAGACCATCGACGCCGAGGTGTTGGATTCCATGGCCGTGACCCAGGACCACTTCAAGTACGCGCTCGGCGTGTCCAATCCTTCTTCCCTCCGCGAGACCGTCGTCGAGGTGCCCAACGTGACCTGGGACGACATCGGCGGGCTCCAGGACGTGAAGCGCGAGCTCAAGGAGCTCGTCCAGTACCCCGTGGAGCACCCGGAGAAGTTCGAGGTCCGTCGCGCGGCGTCCTTTTTTCGGAGTACTTCGAAGAGAGCGTCGTATAGTAAAACCGTTCTGTCGCCGGCATCCCCGCGGCGCGCTCGGACATAGTCGGCCGCGAGAGCGAAGCACGCCGGCGCCGGGTAGCTCCCGGGCGAGCCGCCGGACGCGTTCCGGCCGCCGCGACGACGGCGCGCGACACCTTCCCCCCCCGCGCAGAAATTCGGCATGAACCCGTCGCGCGGCGTGCTCTTCTACGGCCCGCCGGGCTGCGGCAAGACGCTCATGGCCAAGGCCGTCGCCAACGAGTGCCAGGCGAACTTCATCTCCGTCAAGGGCCCCGAGCTCCTGACCATGTGGTTCGGCGAGTCGGAGGCGAACGTGCGCGACCTCTTCGAGAAGGCGCGCGCGGCGGCGCCGTGCGTGCTCTTCTTCGACGAGCTCGACTCCATCGCGGGCCAGCGCGGCGGGTCCTCCGGCGACGGCGGCGGCGCGGCGGACCGCGTCATCAACCAGCTCCTCACGGAGATCGACGGCGTCGGGTCGAAGAAGAACGTCTTCGTCATCGGCGCGACGAACCGCCCCGACATCATCGACGCGGCGCTCATGCGCCCGGGCCGCCTCGACCAGCTCATCTACATCCCCATGCCCGACCTCGAGTCGCGCCTGTCCATCCTCAAGGCGACGCTCCGCAAGTCGCCCATCTCGACGGACGTCGATCTGGATTTCCTCGCCGCGAACACGGAGAAGTACACGGGCGCGGATTTGACGGAGATCTGCCAGCGCGCGGCCAAGCTCGCGATCCGCGAGAACATCGAGCGCGACATCGAGCGCGAGAAGCTCCGCGAGGAGAACGAGGACGCCATGGACGACGTCGACGAGCCCGACCCCGTGCCGGAGATCACGCCGAGCCACTTTGAGGAGGCCGTCCGCTGCTCGCGCCGCTCCGTGAGCGACCGCGACCTCGCCCAGTACTCGTCCTTCGCCACGACGCTCCACCAGCAGCGCTCCCAGATCGGCAACACGTCCTTCGCCTTCCCCAACGCCGCGCCGGGCGCCGCGCCCGCCGCGGCCGGCGGCGGCTTCGCGGCCGCGGCCGACGACGACGAGGAGGACCTCTACTCCTAGGCGCCCCCGCGCGCGCGCCGCTCCCCCGAACGCGCGATCCCGACTAATGTAGCGCGACAAGCAGCACCATCGAACCGTGACCGCCGGGCTAGGGGGACAGCGGCGCGCCTAGGAGTCGAGGGCGTCATGATCGGCGGGCGGCGGTTCGCGCCTTCGGCGTCGCCGGGGCTCCGGGTCCGCGGGCCAGCCGCGCGCCGCGCCGCGCTTGCGCGCCGCGCGCGTCCGCCCGGCGACGCGGCCGGGTTTGCACGACGCGACGACCATGATGTCGGCGTCGACGTCCGGTGGCAGGTCCGCGACGGCCGCGACGCGCGCCGCCAACTCCGCGTAGTCCGCCGGGACGTCCGGCTCGAGGCGGCCGCGCGCGCCGTGGCGCCAGTCGCGGTCGGCGGGTAGTGTCCTTCGACGTCGAGCCCGACGCGCGCGAGCCCGGGTCCGCAGAGCGCCAGGATATGGCGGACGTCGGAGAAGGTCGTGTTCGGTTCGTAGATGTAGAGGCTGCGGAGCGTGCGGCTCGTGTGCCAGCAGAGCCATCGGATGCAGTCGCGTTGGAAGGGCGCGTTCTTCGGATTGGCGTCGTACTCGGGCCCCAGGAGGCTGCGATCCCTGCACTCGAATATGAGCTCCTCGAGCGCGGTGAGCTGCTCGCCCAGGCGCATGCACGCGATGTTGGGCCGCTCGTGGAAGGCGAACCTCTCGCCCCACCAATCGTCGTCCGGTTCGACGTCGAGCCAGAGCCGCCGGAGCTCCGACCCGTGGCGCGCCGACATCCGCGCCACGACGTCGAACGCGGAGCAGGCGCCGGCCGCCGCCCACTCCAGCGGTTCCGTCCGGTCCAACTTGAATTTGTGTTCGTCCTCGAGCCAACATCGTCGCAGCTCGGCGGCGTGTCGCGCCGAGACCGGCGTCAAGTGATCGAAGGCTAATTTCTCGCCGGGATAACCGCCGAGACACCGCTCAATTTCGATGCCGCGCAAATCCGCGCCCGGCGGGAATAGCCCCTTCTCTTTCGTGAATTCGATGTCCATGGGATTGACCCAGAGCGAGGCGTCGATCTGTACTACCAAGCCCGGGTTCGCGCGCAGCTGGTCTGCGATGTCTGAGAGCGGGAATACATCTCTTCCGATGCTCAGCATCCGCAGCGGCGGCTGCACCAAACGGAGCGCCTTACAAGTCGACGTGAGTCGGAAGCACCTGCCGTCACCGATGAACGAGGCGATCGTGAGCGTGATGCGCTGATCCGCGAATCCCACGAGGCCGCAGCGGCGCGGCATCGTCGAGACGGAGCAGCCCCGCCCGCGGGTAAACATAGCCCGCAATTACCCTTCAACCAATGGGCAATGGGCGCAGATTAGGCCGCTCGACCCGTACGAGCTGCGAGCTGTCACCGCGAGTCCAAAGCACCGCCGATCCATGAGCGCTGCCGCACCGACTCCCTCGCTCGATCCATCATGAGCGCGGCGTTGCGCTGCGAGTGCGTCGTCGTCGGCGCCGGCGCCGTGGGCCTCGCCGTGACGCGCGCGCTGGCCCTGCGCGGCGTCGAGGTCGTGTGCCTCGAGGCCGGCCCGCGCGCCGGCGAGGGCGTGAGCTCGCGGAGCTCGGAGGTCGTCCACGCCGGGCTCTACTACGGCGACGATTTGCCGATCAAGCGGCGGTGCTGCGTCGAGGGCCGCGAACGGCTTTACGCGTACTGCGAAGCGAAGCGCGTTCCCTACGACGTCAAGGGCAAGCTCGTCGTCGCGCAGGACGGCCAGGCCGCGGGCCTCGACCGGCTCGAGGCGCTCGCGGCGGCCGCTGGCGTCGGCGGCCTCGCGCGCCTCGGACCGGGCGACGTCGCGGCGCTCGAGCCGAGCGTGCGCTGCGCCGAGGCGCTGCTGTCGCCGCGGACGGGCGTCTTCGACAGCGCGGCCTACGTCCACGCGCTCTTGGACGACTGCGAGGCGCTGGGCGCCGTCGTGGCCACGAACCACGAGGTGCTGGGGGTCGACGGCAGCGGCGCGCTCGCCGTCGACGCCGGCGGCGCGACGACCTCAGTCCTCGCGGACCGCGTCGTCAACGCCGCGGGCCTCTCCGCGGCGGCGCTCTGCGCGACCTTCGGCGCGGCGGCGGCGCCGGCGACGCTCCTCGCGCGGGGCACCTACTTTGCGCTCCGGGGCCCGTCGCCGTTCGCGCGTTTGGTTTATCCGCTGCCGGACCCGCGCGGCGGCCTCGGCGTCCACGCGACCGTGGGCCTCGACGGTCGCGCGCGCTTCGGGCCCGACGTCGAGTGGCTCCCGCCGGGCACGCAGCCCGACGCCCCGGACCTCTTCGCCGTCGACGAAGGGAGGGCAGCGGCGTTCTACGGCGCGGTCCGGTCCTACTACCCGTCCCTCGAGGACGGCGCGCTGGCCGCGGACTACGCGGGCGTGCGCCCGAAGCTCCGCCCCCCATCCGACGGCGCGGCCGACTTTTTACTCCTCGCGGACGGCGCCACGCTCCACGTCCTCGGCGTCGAGTCCCCGGGGCTGACCGCGTCCCTCGCGCTCGCGGACGAGGCCGCGGACGCCGCGCTGGGGCTCCCGCGCCGTTAGTAGGGGAGCGGGGTCGCGCCGTCGGAGCCGGAAGCGTCGGACTCGTCGCCGTAGCCCGGCGGCGGCGGCTCGAGGCGGACGCAGTGGACGGCCTTGCAGCGCCGCGCCGCGGACCGGACGACGGCGAACTCGACGGCCTGGCCCGCGACCACGGGCCCGCCGCCGTCGAGGACGTCGAGGCCGTGGAGGAAGAAGTTCTCGCCGCCGGCCTCGGGCTGGCACGCCGGGTCGTCGGGCCGGATGAAGCCCCAGCGGTGCTGCGCGTCGAAGCGGACGACGACGCCGGCCAACCGCCGCCCGTCGAAGAGGGGCTCGTCGCCCGCCGCGAAGGCGCCGAGGGCGCCTCGGCCGTCGCCGTCCTCCGGCCCGTCCGCCGCGGGCACGAGGCGCACGACGTCGAGCGCCTTGGGCCGCCCGCTCTGCGCCTGGATGCCGTAGGCGAACTCGACGGCGTCGCCCGGCGCGAGGCGCCGCGCGCAGCCGACGACGTCGCCCGCGTGGACGAAGAGGTCCGGGCCGTGGTCCGCCGGCGCCAGGAAGCCGTACTGCTTCCGCTCGACGTCGAACCACTTGACGCGGCCCAGCAGCCGCGCCGGCGGCGCCGCGGCGCCCGGCGGCCGCGGCGACCCGTAGCGGCCGTAGGCCGGCGGCGCGTAGGGCGACCCGTAGTAGGGCTGGGGCCACCGCGGCGGCGGCGACCTAGGCGTCCGACGGTGCGCGCGCGCGCGCGCGTCTCCGGGCGCCGGCGGTGCTCGCGGCGGGCCGTAGTAGGGCGGCGCGGTCGCGACGACGGTCACGTGCGCGGCCTTGGCGCGGCCGCGCGGGCACGTGCCGCGGCAGAACTCGACGGCGTCGTTCGTCCGCAGCGCGGCGCCGGGCCCGCCGCCGGCCTCGACGTCGTTGCCTGTGAAAACAGCCTCAGCGACGACATCGCGGCACAGTAATCATACCGTGGACGAAGACGTACGGCGCGCCGCCGTCGCCGCCGTCGCAGCCCGGCAGCGGCCGGTCCGGCTGGATGGCGCCGTAGTTCTTGCGCGCGTCGAACCAGAGCACGCGGCCCGAGATGCGCGCCGCGTCGACGACGAGCGCCTGCGGTGCGCCGCGGGGGTGGGCAGCCCATTTGTGGGACGCGAGCGGCGCACCTTGGAATTCCGGGGCAGCGGGCCGCCGCCGTCGAGGATGACGCCGCCCTGCGTCGCGCTGTCGAAGCTCCCGTAGGCGCTCGGCTCCGCCTGGATCATGGGCCGCGATCGTCGGAAGTACGAGCAGCCATGTGTGGAAGACAGCCAGTGACGGCGGCGAAGTGGCCTTCAACTTCATGAGTGGTAGGGGCCACCGATTCCGGAGCTTCGGATTGCGAACTTCAAGATGTTGGGGCGAAATAGGCGCTTCGCGCCGCGCGGGGGGCGCGCCTCCATCTGTCCCGGCCGCCTCAGGCCCGCGGGAGGAACTTGGGCGCGTAGGCGTCGGCCCACTCCGCGACGCAGGCGTCGTCGTAGTCGCACCGCGGCGGCTTCGGCGGCGAGGGCTGGTCGACGTCGTTGGCCTCGTGGGGGCACCAGACGGCGGCCTCCGGCGCGGACGAGTCGGCGTCGACGGCGGAGCCGTAGACGTCGCCGCGGGGCGGCGCCCGCGCCGCGCGGCCCGCGGCGCCGGCCGCGCGCGAGAAGAGGTACGGCGCGAAGCGCTCGAGGCCGCGGCGCACCGCGCCGACCGCGTCGCCGTCCGCGAGGTCCCGCCCCGCGCGGCCGCGCCGGCCCGGCGACGGCCGCGGGTCCTCGACGTCGCCCCCCGCGCAGAGGTCCGGCCGCGCGGCGCGCTTCGCGAAGAGGTCGGACTGGAGCCGCAGGAACTTGTCCATGATCTCCGGCCGCGCGAGCGTCGCCTCGTAGGCGCTGAGGCGCACGGCCGTCTGCACGGGCCGGGCCACGGGCGCCGCGCCGCCGAACGCGCGCGCGGGCTGCCGCCTCGGCGACTGCTCGAGCTCGAGGTCCGACATGTCGAGGTCGTCGCGGCTCGCCGCCTCGGGGCTGAAGGGCGGCGACGCCGGCTCCGGCGCCTCGACGACGTCGTCGTCGTCGTCGTCGTCGGCCTCGGCCTCGGCCTCTTCATCGTCCTCGGCCTCGGCCTCTTCATCGTCCTCGGCCTCGGCCTCCGGCGTCGCCGGGCTCCGCGGCGGCCGCGGCGCCTCGGGCGACGCGGGCGCCTCGGGCGCCGCGGGCGCGCGGTCGACCTCGGGCAGCTCGACGTCCTCGGCGGCGCTCATGTGCCGCAGGAGCTGCTCCATGGCCTCCTCGTTGCGCATCTTGTTCTTGAGCATGTGCATGCGCGTGTACGCCGCGTACGCCGTGAGCTTGCGCACCTCGACGTTCGGCGCGGCCCGCGGCGGCATGCTCGGCGCCCGCCGCCGCGCGGGGCTGGGTTCCTGCGCCGCCCGCTCCGCCGGCGACGGCGGCAGGCGCGACACGATGGGGTGCGTCGACTGGGCGCGCGGCGCCTTCTTCTTCGCCGCCGCCGCGCCCCAGTCCCGCAGCCCGCCGGCGCCGCGGTTCGACGCGTCGCCGAGCGGCGTGCGCGCGCGCGGGGGGCGCGGCGCGTCCGCCATGGCGCCGCGCGGCGTCGCGAGCCGAGCGTCCGGCGTCCGGCCCGCGCTGCCAGCGCCCGAGTGGACGTCCGCGCTCTTCGGGGACAGAAGGTAACGGCGCCGAGCTCGGGCTGCCCACACGGCAAGGTTTGTGATGCCAGTGGGTTGCAGCAAGCGATCGCGATTTAGTGGCAAATCGGTGTGAGACGGCGAGGGCGCGTTTGAACCCATGTGGCCACTGATCGCGCTCGCTACCGTGGCGGCGACGAGTGGCACGATCGTGCCCTGCGTCGCGCCCATCGATTGCGCCGCCGAAGTCAACTATACGGTGTGTGACGAGAATGAGCGCTTCTGTCGCGACGACTCGTCGACCTGGAGCGCCGACGACGGCTCGGGGAACTGCGCCTGGGTCGCGGAGGACCCGGAGGCCCGTTGCCCCCTCCCGGGGAGCGAGGCCGTCCTCGGCTGCGCGGGGGGCGAGGAAGCGGGCGACGCGGGCTGCGACTACGAACTCGTCTTCGAAGCCGCGCGAGCGTTCGAGACGGTGTCGGCGCATGGGTGCCCACGCGCCTACGCAGCCTCGTCCGGAGCCTACGGACCTAACGCGCCCACGCAGGTTCGAGAAGTGCTGCGACGCGTGCCGCTACGGCGTGTGCCGCGCGCCGAGATCGAAATCCGAGAGGAAACACTGGTCCCTCCGCGGCCTCTTTAAAGCCGTCGCGCTCATGTACGCCGCGGGCCTCGGGATCCTCGCGTGCGTCGTCTGCTGCACCTTCGCGTGCCTGCGCTGGTGCGACCGGCTCACGGCGCGGTGCGAGCGCGAGCGCCAGCGCGAGAAGCGGCGCCAGCGCCGCGAGGACCGGCGGGCGAAGCGGCGGGCGAAGGAGATCGAGGAGGACCTCGAGCGGCGCGCGTTCTCGTTCTCGCTGGACAGCGAGGGCGTCGAGACCGAGCCGCCGCCGCTGTCGCGGATCGCGGAGGAGGACCTGAGCCTCGACGAGGATTCCGACGAGGAGGTCGCGCGGAGAAAGCGGTCGCCGCTGTCTCTATCGCCGCCGTCGCCGAGCTCGCGGAAGCGATCGTCGCCGAAGAAGCAGACGCCGCCGCGCGCCGCGCGGTCCCCCTTGCGTGCGCTCTCGGCCTACTTCGGCAACAAAAGAAAAACGCGCGGCTAGCTCACGTTAAGACTCCCGCCGTCCGAGGGCGGTGGTCGTCGTACGACGCCCGAGGTCCAGTACTGGCGCAGCAGCGACCCTGCGGCGATGGGGTCGAGCACGAGGCCGCGGACGCAGTTCGCGGCGATCTCGAGGTCCTCGCGCTCGTAGGCCGTCCCGTCGAGGAGCGACATCTTGAGCACGGCCCGCGCGAGGTGGATGGGCACGCCGCAGAGGCGGATCTTCGCGCGGATCCGCAGCTGCCGGTGGCCGTGGGCCTCCGTCGCGCCGCCCGCCTCCGCGTACTGCGCCAGCAGCGAGTAGCCGTTCGCCACCATGCGGATCGCCGCCAGCACGTGGACGGCGCGCAGCGGCAGCCGCACGTCGTCGCCGGACCAGGGCCGCGGGTCGCAGGCCCGGATCCGGCCGCAGGACGCCGCGCGGACGAGGACGACGGCGCGCACGGCGGAGACGACGGCGCGGACGACGAACATCGCGTCCCAGCTCCAGTAGAACTGCGCGGCGAGCGCGACGGCGTTCGCGTACTGGCACGCGGCGACGGCGGGCGTCAGGCTCAGCGCGATGCCGTTGGCGACCAAGGCGCACGTTAGAGCGCAGTGCGCGGACGCGACGATCGCGCGCACCGCGAGCTGCGGGTGGCCCCCGCCGCGGACCTGCGCGTCCGTTGTTTAACCCGGGCACGCGGAGGGGCGCCGCCGGCCGGGCTGATAGCGGACGATCGATCTCCGCGCGGAGCAATGAATGCTGGCTCCGGGCCGGCTCGAGGCTTGAAAAGCCGGCTCGGAGCGTTCGCGCGTGTAGGTTGGAAGTTTCACGGGACGCTGTCGAACGCGCCGCCGCGCGCGCACACACTGGCTGCTCGCGCAGCGCCGACTTTTCCGTGGCATCGTTTCCAGCCCCGCTCGCGAGCTCGACATCGGCTGGCCGCATCGCATGGAAGCGAGGCCATTCGCTGTGCGGCACCATCGGCTTCGTGCACAAGGCTTGCACAGCAACGATCGTAGGATGGAGTCAAAACTGCTTAACACCCCCACTGCTGCTGCTGGACGGCGTGGGTCTGGAGGAAGGCGGAGAGCTTCGTCCGCGGCGTCGCGTCGACGTCCGCCGGCGGCGGCGGCGGCGCGCCGTCGCGGACGGGCGTCGGCGGCGCGGTCTGGAGGTCGCCCTGGAACGGCGGCTCGCTGAGCGAGCGGCGGGGCGCGGGGATCGCCGCCGCGGCCGTCTTCGGCGTACGGTCGTCCGTCGCCGGGTCCGCCGCGTAGGGGATGTAGGGCGCGTCCGGCGGCTTCCACTTGGACTCGCCCGTGGCGACGTTGAAGAAGTAGCACCGCTCGTAGTTGTCGTCGTAGCACTCGCGCCAGGGGATGGCGCCCAGATCGTCGTCGTCGAGGGACGCGTCGCTCAGCAGGCTCCGGTTGGAGAAGGTCCGCGCGCGCGACGGCGCGGCCGCGGCGCCGGCGGCCGGCCGCCTCGAGGGCGACGCCGGCGCGGGCGCGGGCGCGGGCGCGGGCGCCGGGGCCCGCGGCGGCGGGCGCCGCTTCTCCGAGAGGACGTCGTAGGCCGCGTGGCCGATGGGCCCGCCGTCGGAGTTCGCGCGGTCGATCGCGTCCGCGAGCTTCCGGCGGATCTCAGTGCGCCAGATGCGCTTCGCGCCGTCGTGGTCGTTCTCGAACTCCGTGGGCAGGGACGCGTAGACGGCGCGGAGCTCGACGGCGTCGAGGTTGTGGTACGCGTAGCGGCTCCGCAGGTCCGCGACGTGCGTCTTCGCCGTCGCGCGCGGATCCGCGTGCACGAGCCAGAGGATCTTCTCCGAGAGCACGCGCGTCGCCAGGGGCACGAGCCTTTCGTCGTCGGGCTGGAGGCCCACGGACTTGGCCAGGAATTCGGCCACGGCGCGGTGGTCCATGGTCTTGACCGTCCGCGGGATCAGCTTGCGCATCGCGGCGAGCGCGTCCAGGTTCGGCCGCCGCTCGCGCTGCTCCCACATGGCGTCCGCGGCCGCGCGCCGCGCCCAGAAGCCCGGGTGCTTGCGCACGGCGGCGCCGAGGCGCTCCGCCGTGAGCCGCGCGTCGCGCGCCGTGCCCGGGTTCCACTTCTCCTCGACGGCGACGCGCGCGAGCGCGTCGCGGAGCGCCTGCGCGGGGAAACTATGTAATACTTCAAACTTGCATGTCTTCTTCACGGTTTCGACATCTTCCGTCGCGAAGTCGCCGAGAAAAAACGATGCGTCCGAACATCGGCCGAAACGACGTCGACGCGACCGGGAGGTTCGAAGTTTCGCCGGACCGGTCGGTTCCCGCGCGGCGGCGCGCGTGCTCGAGGGACTCGAGCGTCGGCGGGCCCGCGGCGGCGACGACGCCCTGGAGCGACCCCTCGTCCTCGAGCTCGGGCAGCTTCTTGAGCGTCTCCACGAGCACGCGCGCGCGCGCGATGCGCCGCGGCGACCCGTCGCCGAGCAAAGCGGCGAGCGCGAACGCGTGGATGACCGCGCGCTCGTCGCCGCCGCTCGCGTGCTTCGCCTCGCCCTCGCTCGGGGTCTCGTCGGGGGGCGACGCCCGCGCGGTCTCGTCCCGCGGCGGCGTCGCCGCGGGCGCGGGCGCCGCGGCGGCGTCGCAGGCCGGCGGCGGCGACGCCGCGCGCGGCGGCGGCGGCGGCGGCGGCGACGCGGGCGGCGGCGGCGGCGTTTCGGCGGCCGGGGCGCCGCGCTCGAGGACGCGCTCGTAGAGCAGCGCGAGGCGCCGCCGCAGGAGGAAGCCGCGCGCGGCGCGCTGCGCCTGCGCCGAAATCAAACAGCGAGCTGGGTTTCAAACTTCAGAACTCTCCATCTCGGTCAATTCGAAGTCGATTCGGCTGATCTTTGGACGAATCGATTGCTCTCGTCGAGGTCTCGAAGCACAGCCAAAAAGCTTGCGTCGAAACGGTCTCATATGCTCACATTGAAGTCGGGTTGAAGATTTGATTTCGGCACGGCGCCGCGCGGCGGCGGCCGCGACGTGGCGCCGCGCGCGGCCCGCGTCGCCGACGCGCGCGACCCACCACCAGGGGTCGACGCTGCCCGCCGCCGACGCGGCGTCGCTCGCCTCGTCGGCGACGTCGGCCGCGGGCTCCCGCGGCGCCGGCGCGGGCGACGGCGGCGGCGGCGCGACGACGGCGGCGACGACGGCGGGCCCCGCGTCCGCCGCGAAGAGCGGCGGCGGCGGCGGCGGCGCGGCCTCCGCGTCCTCCTCCTCCTCCTCCTCCTCGAAGAGGGGGTCGTCGAAGAGGGGCGACCGCCGGGCCGCGCCCTCGGCCGCGGCGGGCGCGCCGCGCGCCCAGAGCTCGTCCGGCGACGACCGCGGCGGCGGCGGCCACTCGCCGTCCGCGGCGGCGGGCGTCGCCGGCGCCGCGGGCGCGGCCGCGGCGGGCGCGTCCGCGGCGGGCGCGTCCGCGGCGGGCGCGGCCTCGAGGGCGCGGTGCGGCGGCGGCGCCTTGAGCTTGGCGAAGAGCTCGGGCTCGCCCGGGTGGAGCGGCGGGAGCGTCGCGCCGTCGCCGCCGTCGCGCTTCGCGGCCGCGCGCGCGGCGACGGCCATGCCGTCGGCGATGGCGCGCAGGTCCTCCTCGTCGGCTTTCGTGGTGGCCGCGAGCTGGAGCGTCGCGTCGGCCGCGGCCGCGAGGCACTGCGCCGTCGCCGCGCGCCTGGGCGGGAAAAGCGTGCGAACTTCCCGACTTTGGAGGCCGGTCGTCTTCCACTCGTTTCGGCTCATGTTTGGACGGGCGATGATCTCTCGGAGCGCTCTCGAATCCTTTCTCCGGAACGATCGCGCGCGGCACACGCGTGTTGCGGCGACCTCGAATCGCCCCTTTCCCCGCCCCGCGGCGCGCGTCGCGAGCGACCGCCGCGTCAACGCGTCGACCGCGGACTCGATCGTGCGGTCGGCCTTGGACTTGGGCGAGTCCGGCGGCGACGGGTCGCCCCCGCGGGGCAGGCGCGGCGGCGACGGCGGCGCGTCCGGCGGCTGGAAGTCCGAGTCGTCGGACGCGGCGTCGTCGGAGCCGCGCGCGCGCTCGTCGTCGCTGATCGTCTCCGCGCGGCGCCGCAGCTGCCGCGGCGACGGGTGCGCGGCCTCGTCGTCGTCCGCGTCGGGCTCGTCGTCGCCGGGCCCCTGCGCGCGGCGCACGAAGACGCGGCCCGTCGGGTCCATGAGCGCCAGCAGCCGCTTCGTCGCCGGCGCGAGCGCCTCGTCGTCGCCGTGCTCGGAGGACCCCGCGAGCCGCAACAGCGCCTCGACGAACTCGGGCCAGCGCAGCGCCGACGGCGTCGCGTCGGCGTGGTTCCGGTGCCGCGCCGCGCGCGCGCAGTCGACGACGGCCGCGGGCGGGAACCGCGCGGCCGTCAGCAGCCGGAAGTCGCGCGCGAAGTGGAGCACGCCGAGCAGCGGCACGGCGTCGGGCGCGCCCTGGGGCTTCTTCGCGCAGTAGGCCACGAACAGGCACCGCAGCGCCATGTCGTGCTCCCGCGCGACGCGCAGCGTCGCCGCGTCGACGGCGACGTCGCACGCCGCGCACCGCGGCCGTCGCTCGCCTGTGCCGAAACCAAATCTTCAACCCGACTTCAATGTGAGCGTATTCGAATGTTTTGACACAAGCCCTTCAGCTGGGCTTCGAAAACTCGACCAGGGCGATCGATTCGTCCAAAAATCAGCCGAATCGACTTCGATTTGACCGAGCTAGAGAATACTCAAGTTTGGTCAGGACCACCCAAACCAGTGGTTGGTTTCGGCACAGCCGCTCGCCGCGCGGCGTCGCGGCCAGCACGGGCAGGACGCGCTCCGCGAGGAAGCAGCGCAGCACCAAATCGCCCGGCGGCGCCGCGGGCGACGCCGCCAATCCGCCGCGCGCGGCGCCGCCGCCCTCGCCGCGCCACCACGCGGCCGCGAGCTTCGACAGAAAGGCCTCGAACTGCTTCTCCGTGCGCAGCGCGGGCTCCGCGGGCCGGTGGTAGCCCCGGATGGCCTTGGAGTGGGCGACGTCGCGCGGCGACCCCTGCCCCGCGGACCGCTCGAGCGCGCTGAGCACGAAGGACGGCGACAGCGCGTCGCCTAAAAGCCCCGCGAAGCGGCAGAACGCGTAGCAGTCGCCCGCGCGCCACTCGGACTTGCCCAGGCACCGGAAGGCCGCCTTGGGCACGTCGTCGAGGTGCGGCGGCGCCCGCCCCGGCCGCTCGCCCCGGTCCAACAACCACCAGGGCGCGCTTAGCGCGAGCGAGCCCGCCAAACTCTTCTCGACGACGCGGCAGCAGTCCTCCGCGAGGCGCCGCAGGCTGCCCTCGAGGCCCTCGGGCGTGCGCCGCGCCCAGCCGGCGAAGAAGGTCTCGAAGGCGTCGAAGGCCACGCGCTCGCTCCGGAAGCGGCCGCGGAGCGCCTTGGCGACGGACGGGCCGCCGCGCGCGCGCGCGGCGGCGAAGTCCGCGACGACCTCGCTCCGCGGCGCCAGACCGCTCCGCGAGAGCACCTCCCAGCCCAGGGGCGCGGGGCCGCACCCGTCGAAGTAGCCCCGGAAGTAGTCGCCGGCCTCGAAGGCCGCCGGCGCGTCCTCGGGCGCGCGCCGGCTCCGCGCCTCGAGGAAGCAGAAGAGGCACCGGAGCGGCGCGCGGTGCGCCCGCAGCAGCACGTCGACGCGCGCCGTGTCCTCGCTCCGCACGCTCGAGGCCTCGCCGGTTTCGCGCGGCCGCGGCCGCTGCGGACCGCGCCGCTCGTCCCGCAGGCCGCCGGGCGACGGCCGCGCCACGCGCCGCAGCGGCGTCTTCTTCACGTTCACCGCGAGGCTGCTCGACGACAGCGACGACGGCGACGACGCCACGCGCGGCGCCGGCCGCGCGCGCGGCGCCATGCGCCTGCGGTCGGCACCGCGCCGCGACGACGTCGAAGGCAATCAAACTTGGCTCGTCGATGGGCAGCCCTGTTGAATGCATCAAACTTCACCTTAGAGCTGATCGAGCTGCACCTTTACCATCTTTACCCCGAAGTGGGAGGTGTGGAAACGATTTCCTAGCCCCAACTACGCTTCGTCGTCGCGCGTCGCGGACGCTCTGCACGATTTCCATCTCGTCCGCGACGTTCGTGCGATGGGTAAGCGCGGCCAAGCAACTCTCGAAGTGCAGCCGCAGTTCCGGCCCGACGCCGCGCCGCCGCCGCCCCCGCTGAAACCCGCACCGCCGCCGCCGGAACACGCCGCCGCGCCGGCGACGCGGCCGCCGGAGCAGGCGCCGGAGGAGCATGTGCCCTCCGGCGAGCCCGCGGCGGCGCTCCCGGCGCCCTCCGGCGAGCCCGCGGCGGCGCTCCCGGCGCCCTCAGGCGGCGAGGCCGCGCCCGCGCTCCCGGCGCCCTCCGGCGGCGGGCCCACGGTGACGCTCCAGGCGTCGGCGTCGGGCCTGACATCGCTGTCGCTGGAGCACAAGCTCCACTTCGACGGCGTCGCGCGCTGCTCCGTGCACTCCATGGTCACGAAGCGGTGGCGGCCGGCGTTCGTCGTGCTCGACCGGCCGGAGCTGCTGCTCGTCTTCCGGTCCCGCGAGGACTACACGGACTACCTCTTCAACTCGCAGATCCGCGACGGCGACCGCAAGTGGCTCGTCAAGAAGGCCGTGCCCGTGTCCTTCCGCACGAAGACGAGCCCCGTGGTCACGAAGCGCTACCCATCCTCCGGCTTCGTGTGCTACTTCACCGTCTCCGAGATCCGCGACATCGGCACCGTGACCGTCTGCAAGATCGGGGGCCAGGCGGCCGAGCTCGCGAAGATGCGCCACGCGATCAACGTCCGCGTCCGCGACGCGCGCGAGGCGCGCGAGCGGCGCGTCGCGGGCGCGACCGAGGTCGCCCGCCCGCCGCCGCCGCCGGCCTAACTCTTGTTGAGTACGCGCCGAGCCAGCGGGGAGGTTCGTGGAGCGGGCCGGCGTTCCTTTGGAAGCGGCTCCTAGCCCGGGGGTCGCCGCGACCCCGCCACTTCCCCCTTGCCCGCGACCCCACGCCGACGTGCCTTTTAAAACGGCCTACTCGCCCTCCATGGTGCTCTTCACGGCGGACTCGCAGTAGTCGAGGCTCCGCTCGAGCTTGGAGAGCTTCTCGTTGATGCGCGCGAGCTTGTAGCGCGCGGACGTGTCGAAGCGGTTGAGGAAGTTGGTGATGGTGAGGAGGTTCATCTGGACGATCTCGACGAGCTCGCGGTTCTCCCAGTCCTCCTGGATCGTCTGCACGACGTGCCGCGTCGCGGGGTCGATCGCGGACCCCGGCGCGGCCGCGGGCGCCTTGGGCATGGCGCGCGCCTGCGGGGGGGGTCGCCGTCAAGGCCGGCGCGCCGTCGGGGGGGGTGCTGTTGACGACCGGCGCGCGCGCGGCGGCGCGGCGGCACCGGCGCGCGCCGCCCCCGGGAACAGCTCGTGTGCGCCGACGCCGGAGACGCACGGCGGGGTGCGCGGCTCGAAGCGCGCGCTCCGGCAGCCGGTCACAAGGGGCGCTCCGGCGGGTCCGACGGACGGCGCGCGCAGAGGTGAGGCAGGGCCGAAGTCGCGGCCGCGGGCAAGGAGCGCAGCACAGATGCGAGCACTAGGCCGGTGGTGAAGCCTACTTGCCTGCAAGTGCAGGCGTGTATAAATATCTTGTATAAATGCAGCCCACGATGGACGCGCCCACCAAAACGCACGAGCCGTGACGCGATGCTTCGCCTGCTCGCGCTCCTGGGCGCCGCCGCGGCATCCGCGACGCGCGCGGAGCGCATCGCGGCCGTCGCCGCGAACCTGAGGCGCTCCGAGTTCGGCGCGCGCTTCGCCGCCGAGGCGCCGCGGCGCGCGCGCGCCACGGAGGCCTACGCGCGGACGCTGGCCGGCTGCGGGCGGCTCCGGGGCAACGTGTCGCTCTGGGTCGTCTACCACGCGACGGCGCGGCTGCGGGAGGGCGCGCTCGGCGACCCGCGCGCGACGCACGCGGTCGGGGTGCGCGCCGCGGGCCCCGCCGTCGCGTCGCCCTGCGACTTCGACGCCGGCGCCTTCAGCGAGCTGTTGGCCCCGGACTCGTTCCACCAGACGCTCATGTCCGAGCACTCGGCGCTCATCCTCCTGGGCCTCGCCGCGCCCGCGCTCGCCGGCGCGGGCCACCGCCTCGGCACGTGCTCGTGGAAGGCCGCGCTCAAGGGCCGGCCGCCGCCCTGCGAGCTGCTCCGGGGTTTGGCCGGCGCCGGCCCGCGGACGGTCACGTACTGGGGCCCCGACGCCGGCCCCGCGGGCACGGGCCTCGCGCGGCACCAGGCCTTCGTCGCGCGGAAGCAGCCCGGCGGCGAGAACCTGATGGGCGCGACGATCGGAAGCTTCTTTGTCCGCGTGGCTCGACGGCGCGCGGCCGCGGACCACGGCGTCCAACGCCTCGGCCGCGGCCTGCCCGGGCGACCTACGGCGACCTCCACGGCCAGGGCGTTCTAGCGAAGGTCGACGTCGATGCCAACTGCCGCTACTGCCGCGCGGGCTACTGGACGAACTGGCACCGGTGCCGCGTCGGCTGCCACCGGTGCTGGTCCTACGTCCTCGAGCAGCTGAACGTCATCTTCTTCCGCGCGTTGTCGGACCTGCGCTACGTCCACGACGACGCGCGCTGCGGCGCGCCCGCGGCGCTCGCGCCGCCGCGCGTCGCCGGCCGCGGCGACTTCGACGTCGCCTTCCTGCGGGACGTGTACGCCGCGGCCTTTGGCTAACACCAGGATATATACACGGACCCGCGACGCCCTAGAAGAGCCCGAAGAACTTCTTCTCGGGCGCGTTGATGTTCGCCTGGCTGCCGCGCTTCTGCAGCCGCTCGATCTCCTTCTTGCCGAGGGCGCCGGAGTCCCGCCACATCTGCTGGTCCGCGGAGATGCCGTTCTTCCGCGCGCGGCCCGCGACGCCGTCGCTGCCGGCCTCCTTGCCGCCGCCCGACCGCGCGCCGCGGCCCGTCCAGTCGACGGCGCCCGCGTCGCCGAAGATGCCCACGTTCGGCTTCGCGTTGTTGTACTTGACGTCGAACCTGTTCGCCTTGAACTTCTGCGCCTTGCCGTCGTTGTAGGCCTTCATGCCGCCGAAGCCCGTCGTCTCCCAGCCCTTCTTCTTGCCGATGCCGAAGAAGGAGAACTTGTTCGTGATGTCCGAGTTGTCCCAGGAGCCGCCGCGCTGCATGTAGGGCACGTCCTTGAGCGCGATCTCGCCCCGGCGGACCTTCTCGGGGTCCACGGGGAAGAGGTGCTGCGCCTCGCCCTTCTCCTTGGCGACGATGAACGACGCCATGGACCGCGACTGGAAGCCGCGCGCGCCGCCCGCGCCGAAGTTCTTCTTCTTCTTCTCGTCCGCCTCCTGCTTCTTGAGCTTCGCGTAGGCCTCCTTGCTCATGCCGCTCGGCACGTAGGCGGACAGCGCCGTCGTCGACGCGACGGCGCGGGGCGCGGGCGGCGCGGCCAAAAAGGCCGACGCCGTGGAGAGCGCGAGAGCGATGATGATTGCGCGCATGGCTCGCTGCAATGGATCGAATAGCGTGCACAGCTTGCGAGGTCGAGGCCGATGGAGGCAGCGGATCGTCGACCACGTGAGGTGGATGGCTTCGCTGAATGTGATGGTGAATCGATGTTGCCGCAGCCACGCCCGAGATATATCGGTTCTCGACGTTCGTGCACGTGGCCAACGTCCACACACACACGAAACAGCACAAAAGGCAGCGACCAGACGACAGACCCACGAAATTCCCCCCCCCCGCGTTACTACGGCGAATAGAAGCCCGGCGCGATCCGGGGGCTCGGCACCGTCGGGCTGCCCGCGAGGACCGGGTCCCGGGGCCCGCCGGCGTAGAGCGTCGAGCGGGGCGACGCCACGGGCGACAGGGAGCTGTCCCGGTCCTTGGCGCCGTCGACGTGGCGCCGCGCGTGCGACGGCGAGTCCGCGCCGCCTTCCACCAGAGCGCGCTCGCCGTGCTCGATGAAGTTGAGGTGGCGGACGACGGCGAAGGCGTCGTGGGCGTCGACGACCTCGACGCGCACGGCGGCGGACTCGACGCGCGCGACGCCCGACGCGCCTCTGACGTCGAAGACGAACTCCGTCGTCGTCCGCGTGGGCGCGTCGCGCGACATGGCCTGCGTGAGGTGCCGCCAGCCGTCGCCGCCCGTCGCCGGGAGCCAGTGGAGCCGCAGCTCCCGCGCGCCCGCGCAGTAGACGACGACCTTGCGGAGCGCGATGCTCCGCCGGAACTGGAGCGAGATGAGCTGCGGGAAGAGGCCCGCGGACATCCAGAACGTGGACATGTTGCGGTCGACGACGTGGCGCACGGGGTGGCGCGCGTCGTGGGACGACGCCCAGAGCTGCTTGATCTCGTGGCCGCTGACCTCGTCGTTCGCGGCCTCGCCGTAGTACGTGTCCACGGAGTCGTTGCTCCCGATGGACGTGTCGCTCGACACGTCGCTGTGCTTCCGCCGGCCGTGGACCTTGAGGTCGTGCTCGCCGCCGAAGATGACGGACGTGGACACGCCGCGCATCTTCGAGGACAGCGGCCGGACGTGCTGCTTGCTCTCGGGGATCGTCTTCATGATCTGGACGGACGGCTTCCGCGCGGACATGGGCCGCGCGGACCAGGGCCGCGCGCCCGGGCCCTTGCCCCGCTGGTGGCGGCTCGTGCCCTCGCCCGGCGCGCACCCGAGGCCGCCGGGGTCCTCGCCGCTCTCGCCCGTGAGCAGGTCGATCTCCGCCTCCAGCGGCTTCTTCAGAGCGTCGCTGTGCGCCGACGCGCAGAGGCGCTTCAGCTCCATGATCTCCAGGTCCTGGCGCTTCAGGTTCATCTCGTGCTTCATCGGCGGCAGGCTGTGGCCGCTGTCGAGCGTCAGCTCCACGCGCGAGAACGCCATCGCCGGCGTCTTCTCGCGCGTCGGGCTCCGCGGCTCCGACATGCGTTGACCGCCGGGCGCCGCGGCGGCGGCGGCGCGCGCTAACGGTGGATGGGGTGCTGGAGGCCGCGCATGGGCGCGCGCATCGGGGGTAATGGCGGCATTACGAGCGGGCTGCCAAGTACCCGCCGCTTTAGAGCTTTCAACATTGGCCTGCGAGGCTGAAGAAGACGATGGAGCCCCGAACATCGACGGAAGCACCAAGGGCAGTCCACGATAACAATCCTCGACCCAGGGCCGGTTTGGCAGACCGCAAGGTAAATGTTGGCTGGCTGGCTGGCTCGGTCGCTGGCAGCCACCCATTTCTTCAATGTAGACGTTGCATGTGCAAATCTTGCGATTTTCGCGCGGGAATCATGTCAAAATCTAATTAGGCGCCCGGAGTGGCCCGCCGGGGGTGACGGAAGCGCGAGCGCCGACGCGCGTGGCCGGCGGCCAGCCGGTCGCCGCAGCCGCCCCAGGACGGCGCGGCGCGCCGTAGGCGCGCGTTGTAGAGGTTGTAGCGAGGGGTCGTTTCGTGGACTGGACGTCCCTGGCTGGCTGGCTGGGTCGGCCCTGGGCGGCTGGCTGCGGTCTTGGCCTGCCCTTGGAAGCACGCACATGAATGGAGCCGCCGGCCGCTGGAGCGCGACCGTCGATGGACGACCTGCCGGCGGTCGTCCTTGCGACCACGCTGGCCTTCATCGACGGGCGCGGCCGCTCGCGGGCGGCCATCGTCGGCAAAGACTTCCTGCAGGCGGCCGTCGCCGGCAGCCCGGCGAAGACGTGGCGCGGCGCGCTGCGCCGCGCGGCGGCCCTGGACCGCGCGTATCGCTGGGACCAATTCGGCGCGGGCATGGAGCTCGCGGCCGGCGGCGGCTGGCTGCGCGTGTGGTCCGGAACGCTAAGGTTCGACGAACCGGAATACCATGGGTTGCTCGCTTCTTTCCGAGTGCCGACAAACCCCTGGGGTGAGCGCTCCCCGCGCTTCGCGCTTTATCGCGAGGTCTCGACGTGGGACGCCGACGAGGAATTCTCGACGCGTTTTCCAGAGGAACTCCTTTTCGGCTCGAGCCAATATACCTATCTACGGAAGGAACATCGGCACGTCAAGATGGAGCCTTGCCTCCTGCTCAACGAGCCCACGGAAGATCAAATCGCGGTCGCCGGCCACGCGAACTTCTTCGGCCCGGCCCAGCGCTGGTGCGACCTCGCGAAGCTCCTCGATAAACTGGAGGAGCGCAGAGACGTCATGCCCTTCTCCAGAGAGTTCGGCTCTGGCACATCAAACACGGCCGTGGCCATCATGCCCTACAGCCGCCTCGATTCGATGTCTCGGGCTGGACTGGTCTCTGGACTGAGCCTCCCGGAGGACGCGCGGTCTGTCTACATGGGCGGCCACGGGACGACGCAGACCGTCGCCGCGGTCATCGTCCGCCTCCGCCCCTTTGAAGAACGGCGCTTAGCATCGTCTCAGCGCCGTCATCGTCCGCCCGCGGTGAGGTTCGCGACGGCCCGCGTCACGCCGGCCTTGAAGGGCGGGAACGCGTCGACGTCGCCTCCGCCTCCGTCCGCCCTTTGAAGAACGTACGGGCGTACTACGTTGCCAGAACTGAACAAGAAGCAAGGTCATTACGTCTTCTTCTTCTTCGGCACGGGCGCCGCCTGTTTTCCCGCGCACGCGTGGAGGTTGAAGCCCTTGTGCTTCGCGTAGCCCTCGACGACGGCGACGCCGCAGAGGGACTTGTAGACCTCGACGAGGATCGTCACGTCGGGGGTTTTCAGGTCCACGGGGTGGTGGGGCGGGACGAGCTTCGCCAGCGCGCGGATCGCGATGTCCTTGGGGAAGCTGTCCGCGTTGCGCCGCTTGAGCTGGATCGCGTAGGACCGCGGCGGCGCCGTCCCCGGGTCCGCCGGCGCCTCGTCGGCGGCCTTCTTCGCCGCCTTGGCGACGGGGTCGTCGTCGTCGTCCGCGTCGCCGGCGGGCGCCGCGCCGCCGGCCGCGCGCCGCGCCTCCTCCGCCTCCAGGAGCGTCGCGCCCGCCGGAGCGCCGAGGCCCCCGAACGCCTCCGAGATCAGCGGCGCGGCGCCCTCGACGCAGGCCGCGAGGTCCGCGAAGCCCACGGTCTGCAGCGGCATGACGCGCACCATGAATTTCGACCCCGCGGCGGCGGACGTCGGCGCGCCGGCGGCGTCCTCGGCTAGAAGCGTGGCGAGGCGAACGACGTCGACGCGCTTGTCGACCGTCGCGTAGAGCAGGCCCTGGGACCCGAGATCGTGCAGGACGATCTTCGCGCCCTTCCTGCTCGACGCCGCCTCGGCCGCGAGCGCGTCGGCCAGCGAGCCGCCGGGCGCCGCCGCCGCGGCCGCGGCGAACGCCTCGGGCGCGACGCGCTCCGCGTACTCCTGCAGCAGCTCAAAGGCCTCGGACGCCGCCTTGCGCTCCTGGCGCGTCGGGCACGTGAACAGCAGCGCCTGGCGGCCGCGCAGGTCCCGCAGCTGGTTCACGCGCCGCAGGACGTTGGTGTTGTCCTTCTTGGGCTTCTTCGGCGCCGGCGCCGGCGCGGCCTCGGCGGCGGCGCGCTTCTTCTCGGGCGCCGGCGCCGGCGCCGCCGTCGTCGCCGTCTTTTTCCTCCCGAAAATCTTGCGGAAGAGGTCCATGATATCGGCTGCGGATGCTACGAGTGCTTTACAGAGAGCCCATGCTATAATCGCTGCTTCAGCGTTGGCTGCAATGACGTTCAAGGAGAGCGCACGATGGTGATTCGGAGGTGAACGACATGGTGCTAGTGTGACGAAGTAAGAGCACGCCAGGCTGCCCCGAAACCGCGACGGCAATGGTCCTGCCCGCGCTCGTCGACGAGGACGCGACGCGCGTCGTCTTGGCGTTCCTGGACCGCGCGGCGCTGGGCCGCTTCGCCGCGACGTCCGAGGCCGCCGACGCGCTCGTCGACGACGCCCCCTGGGAGGCGCTCTACCTCGACGACGTCGGGCGCCCGCGCGCGGCGGCGACGCGCGCGCGGCCGCCGGCGTGGTGGCGGCGCAAGACCCGCGTGTGGCGCGCGCTGTCGCGCGGGCTCGCGCTGCGGCGCGTCCGGCCCGGCGCGTACCTGCCCCTGGGCCTCGGCGGCCTCGCGGCCGCGCCGCTCGGCGACGGCGTCGTCCTCCAGGGCGGCGCCGCGCGCGGCTTCCTCTTCTCGGACCGGTGCTGGTTCTGGGCCGGCGGCAAAATCCGGGAGCAGGCCGGCTACTGCCCGCGCGGCGCCGCGACGGACGGCGCGGGCCGGTCCGCGCCCAGGGCAGCAAAAGAGAGCGAAATTCCCAACTTCAAAGGCTCCTATCTCGGCCGTTTTCCACTCGGTTTGGCTGACTTTTGGACGAGCGATCATCTCTTGGAACGGTCTCGAAGCGTGGATGCTTTTTCAGGAACGCTCGCGCGCGGAACACTCAAGTTGAAGCGAACTTGAATATCTCTTTTCCTGCCCAGGTCCGCGCGCGCGCCGCGGTGGCAGCACACGGCCGTCAACGCCGGCGGCGCGGCCTGGTTCTTCGGCGGCGAGGTCGACGACGCGCGCGAGCCCTTCCCGCGCTGGGACTGCGACGCGTCCCTGTTCCGCGTGACGCTCGAGCGCGGCGCGACGGTGTGCGCGCGCGTCGTCGCGTCGGGCGACGCCGTCGCCGGGTCGAGCGGCCACTCCTGCGTCGCCGACGAGGCGCGAAAACGCCTCGTCTTCTTCGGCGGCCGCGTCGGCCCCGGCGGCGCGTGCACGGCGGACGTGCGCCACTTCGACTACGAGCGCCTCGCGTGGCGCGGCGCCGTGCCCGTCGACGGGCGGCCGCCGGCGCCGCGGTGGTGCCACGCCTGCGCGGCGCTCGGGTCCGGCGGGTCCTTCGTCGTCGCCGGCGGCTGGAGCAACCCCACCGCCGCGCGCTTCTACTTCGACGACTGCCACGTCCTCGAGGGCGGCGCCTGGAGCGAACTGGGCGCGGACGTCGTGCGGCCCCCGAAGCGCACGCAGGCCTGCTGCTGGCACATCCCCGCGGCGGCCTCGCGCGGCTACGTCCTGCTCTTCGGCGGCGCCGCCGCCGAGCCGGGGTGGGAGGTCGACCCGCGCCCCGACCCGTCCGGCCGGCGGCGGCGCCCGAGGCCCGTCGAGGACCGCGACGACGCCTGGGTCCTCGACGTCGACACGGGCTGCTGGCGCCGCGCGGTCCTCGGCGGCGCCGCGCGCGGCGGCGGCGGCTGCGGCGCGACGGTCACGACCGCCGGAGGATCCAGGCTCCTCTTCGGCGGGAAGCGCGAGGTGCCCGACGCCTGCCCCGAGTTCCTCGACCAGATCTCCGAGCTCCGCGTCACCGGCCGCGAGCTCCACGCGTGCCTGCCGTCGCTCGGCGACCTCGACGAGGCGCCCGTCGACGACGACCCCGACGGGTTCGACTCCGACGACTCGGCGACCTGGGGCGGGCTCCCGGGCGGCTACGGGCGCGAGGTCTTTTTGTAAAAAAACGCGGCATCTTGAAGTTCGCAATCCGAACTTCTGAGTCCCGTCAAAGTTGCACGGCTCGGTCGCCGCAGCGCGATGATGGCTTCCATGATCCGCTGGGCTGCCGCCTGCGCGCTGCTCGCGGCGACTAGTGCGCTTGGGTTTATTCATCACATCTCACGCCCACTCGCTCCCCGGCATGGCGACCGGCGGCTGCGCGTCGGGCTCGCGAAACTCGCAGGGCACGACGTACGCGTCGAAGGGGAACTCGAGGGTGTTCTTGTTGATGATCCGGAGCGAGTGCGGCGGTCCCGGCGTCTTCATGATGGTGTAGAAGGGGTGCTTGTACCCGTCCGACGCGTAGAGGTTGATCTCCTGGTTGTCGTCGTTCGGCCCGGAGGTGATTTCGATCATCGCCTTCATGTTGCGCTTGCCCATGTCCTCCGTCTTGAGCAGGATCGCGATGGCTTCCACCTCCGGCCCGAACGTCCAATCCGCGATCTTGCCGCCCTGGATGAGCTTGGGTTCCGCGCCGGCGACGCCGGCCTGCTCGGACGCGCGGCCGACGCCGGCGTTGACGACGCTGGCCTCGAGCGGGAAGTTGTGCGTGCGGTCGTTGTGTACGGAGAGCGTCTTCGGGTGCTTCGGCGTCTCGATGATGGTCTGGAAGGGCGTGCCGACGCCGTCCTCGCAGTAGACCGTGAATTTCGTCGGCACGTACGCCGGCGTGTGCCACAGCTCGACGCTGGCTTCGAGCGGGCGGCCGTTCGTGCTGCAGAGCGACAGCTGCACGCGCTCGGTGCTCGTCTCCGCGAGGTCCCAAGTCTTGAGCGTGTCGCCCTCGATTCTCACGGTGTCGCCAGCGACGAGCGACGAGATGCCGTAGCGCGGGATGCGACCGCGGAATGCATCGGCGGAGCGGCCGCTGATGGAGAATGCGCTGGCGGTGCCGATGAGGATGGCGGCGAGCTTCATGGCGGAGGAGATTGTCGGCTGAGCGGTACGAAGCGGTGAGTGCGTGCAGGTACGAAGCGGTGAGTGTGCAGGCCGGTCTCAGATCATGCGCTCTGCAGCCGAGGTCTGTAGCTGTCTGTGAAACTTCAATCAGGCCTTCAAGCAAACGCGTGCGCGCGTCACTGTCGGCCTACGCGCCAGCGCCGCGCTGAGGCAGCCCGATGCGCACGGCGCGCAGCAGCTATGAGGGCACTCCGAAGCCCCTACGCGCTGAGCGCAGCGCCAGCGCGACAGAGGAGCCGGCGTCGCCATACGTGCGGGCAGTCGAGAGCCTGGAGGCGGTGGCAGACGTGGTCGCGCAGCAGTGGCGCTGGTGCACCCGCCAGCGGGTCGAGCGGCGCGCGGCGGCAGCTGCGATGCTCGCCGCGGCTGCGCATCTCCATCCTCGAGGTCCTACCCCCGGCGGCTCGACTCAGCCTCGGGACGAAGATCGAGTCCTAGCCCAGCTTTCAAGCTATGCGCAGCGTCTTTTTCGCTCCCGGGGAGAGAGTAAACGGGGTCGATTACGAGTCATCGGTCGTCGCAGTGACTCGCCGCGGGCGTGGCACGTTGCGCGGGCGAAAACGCGGTCCCGGGAGCCGCTCCGGCGCTCCGGCGGCCTCGTTTTCGCCGCAGCATCTGCGCGCCCCGCCGCGGCGGTCGCGCTCCCCGCGATGGTCCTCGGACCCGCGGCGGACGGCGACCGATGAGATGACGAGGGCGCGCGCGCCCGCCGCTCGCGACGGCGCCGCCCGAGCCGCGCCGCGCCGCAGGTCTCCGCCATGTACAAGCTCCTCGCCCTCGCCGCGTCGGCGTCCGCGCTCATCGCGCCCGCGCCGAAGACCGCGCCGGCGGCCCTGCGGGCCGCGGAGCTCCCCGAGGGCGCGAGCCGCCCCTTCGGGTTCTGGGACCCCTTCGGGTTCAGCACCTACGGCTCCGAGAGGACGCAGGCCTGGTTCAAGGCCGCGGAGCTCAAGCACAGCCGCGTGGCCATGGCGGCGTGCACGGGCTGGATCACGACGGAGCTCGGCTTCCGCTGGCCCGGCGCCTACGACCTCGCGGGCCACAAGTTCGCGGACGTGCCCGGCGGCCTCGCGGCCGAGGCCGTCTTCCGCGACAACAGCGGCATGGTGCAGATCCTCTTCACGGCGGGCCTCCTCGAGTTCTGGGGCGAGCTCCAGAAGCCCCACTACATGAGCGGCGGCAAGCCCGGCAACTTCAAGCTCCTCTGGGACCCCGTCGGCTTCACGGCCGCGATGCCCGAGGCCGAACTCAAGGTCCGGCGCCAGCGCGAGCTCAACAACGGCCGCCTCGCCATGATCGGCGCCGCGTCCTTCTGGTCCGCCACCTACCTCGACGGCTCCGTGCCCGCCCTCACGGGCACGGGCTTCTGAGCGGCGCCGCCGACCGAAGGCCGCGCGGCGCGCGCGGCCTAACCCGCGAGCGACGTCCCGCGCGAGCGTCGCGCGACGCTCCACGAGAGACACGAGAGAGACACACGATGCGGGGGCGGAGGCCTAGAGAGCGGGGAGCTTGTCCGCGGGCTTGGGCTCCGTCTCGGCGATCCAGTGGTTCTTGACGACGTCGATGTTCTTGAGGGGCGCGTCGAAGTCGACGCTCGGGATGGCGGCGATCTTGGCGAAGAGGGGGCGGATGAAGCCGATGAAGCCGAGCTGGAACTTGCCGAGGACCACGGAGCCGCGCGGCGGCACGGACGGCTTCGCCTTGCCGTTCGCGAGCTCCTTCTCCGCCTGGGCAGCACAAGAGTGATTCAACGTCGCTTCAACGTGAGTGTTCCGCGCGCGCGCGTTACGGAAACAACATCCACGCTTCGAGACCGTTCCGAGAGATGATCGCTCGTCCAAAAATCAGCCGAAACGAGTGGAACATGGCCGAGATCGGAGCCTTTGAAGTTGGGAATTTCGCACTCTTTTCCTGCCCCGTTCTCCGCCTGCGCGTAGAACTCCTCCATGACGAGGTCCGTCCATCGGAGGTGGGTCTTGACGGGCTTCGTCGGCGCCGAGATGTCGCAGGCGTGGACGATGGCCTTGACGACCGCGAGGTGGTTCGCGGGCGTCGCCGCGTCGCCGGCCGCGCCCTCCTTGCGTAATAACCCGTCGAGCTGGGCCATGGCCGCCATGTGGTGGGCCATGTCCGTCGCCAGGACGCACTCGATCCAGTAGAGCCGGCCCATGCGCTTGCCCGGCGCGTCGAAGGAGTCCCAGAACCCCTTGGCCTCGACGATGGACAGCGCCGTCGCGACGTGGTAGTTCTCGAGCGGCGACTGGTCGTTGTAGCGGACCGCGAAGTCGTGGCCCGTCTCCACGAGGTAGGCGTTCGTCAGGCCCACGTGGCCGACGTCGTGGGCGAGCGCGGCCAACAGGACGACGAGGAGCGTGTGGTCGTTGTCGTCGTCGACGGCCTGCGCGGACATCAACCGGTGATCCCCGCCGAACTTCGGAACTCTCTCGCTCGGCCGCGTCGACGTCGATTCGGCTGATTTTGGGACGAATCGAGCCCTCTCGTCGCGTTCTCGAAGCACATCTGGTCCACACCGTTCGAATACATGGAAGTCGGGTCGAAGATTCGAGGTCCGCGCGGTCGAGTGCGAGCGCGGCCTCGTATTTCGGGCTCTTCGCGAGCGTCGCGTGGAGCGACTGCATGCAGTCGGCGCCGTGGAGGCAGTTGTGGTAGGCGACGTCCTCGTAGCCCGCGACGATCGCGTCGACGCAGGTCCGCACGACGGCCCCGTAGGGGCCCGGCGCGAGGTCCCGCGCCTTCACTAAAACCTCGTCCGCGAGGACCTTCGCCGCTAACCGTTGGTCCCCGACGGCGTCGACGACGGCCCACATGTCGAAGTCCCAGCTGTGGATGTTCGCCAGCAGCGGGCCGACCCGCGCTACGACTGCGTCGGCGAGGTACGCCGCGGGCGCCTTGAAGGACGACGACGCGCCGAACGCCTCGACGGCCCGGTTCTTCGCGATGAGGTTCTTGACGGCGCGCACGCCGGCGCCCTTGCTCTCGCCCAGGACCCGGGAGACCTCGGCCTTGTGCGGCGTCGCGCCGTACGCCGAGATCATCACTGCGCGGCGCGCGCGCGTCGCGGCGCGCGCGGGCGCGAAGGGACGCGGACGTCGCGCTGTCGACGTCGGACTCGTCGTAGGCGCGCTGCGCCTCGCTGCCCTTGCACAGCTGCTTCAGGCTCTCGAGCATGTCGCCGAAGAGGTGCACCGTGTCGCGCCGGTCGCGGCGCCGGTTCGCCGGCGCGTGCTCCTCGAGGAGCTTGCGCAGCAGGCCTACGTATGTGTGGGAGTGCTCGGGCTGCCCATGGAAACGCGACGCACCGAGCTCCTCCCCATCGAACTCCAGGGGCGTCTTCGACTTCTCGTAGGCATCCAACTTGCCGAGCATGACAGAGGATGGCGCTGCTCTCTCCGGCCAATCCGTCTTCCGTCGGTTGTTGACGATCGAGCACGAATGCATGAAGGGCAACTGCATGATGCAGTCGAGTATCTAGTCGCTGAAGAGGTGTTGCCCCTCTCTGGCTGAGCCTCGGAGGCGAGGTGCGCGGCACTCGGCGTCCGCTCTGGCTGAGCTCTGAGGCGAGGTGCTCGCATCTCGGCGTCGACCGCCGCGCCGCTGCTCTCACTGATGCGGCGCCACAAGAGCCACGCGGCCGGCGGCCTCTGCAAGCGCGGCCACGACATGACCTGGGCCAAGGTCGAGGCGCTCGTGGCGCCCGTCGCCGCGGCGAAAGCGCCGAGACCCGGCGACGTGCGCATCGTCTTCTACCGCGACGCCAACGCCTGGTGCCCGCACTGCCACAAGGTCTGGTTCGCGCTCGAGCAGAAGGGCCTGCGCTACGAGACCGTGCGCGTGCACCTCCGGGGCGACCCGCGCGAGCCGCCGAAGCCCGCGGCGTACGTCGACCTCGTGCCGTCGGGCGCCGTCCCCGCGGTCGCGCTCGACGGCGAGGTCGTCACGGAGTCGCTCGTCATCCTCGAGCGGCTCGAGGCCATCGGCGCGCCCCTCGGGCCCGGGTCCCTGTTCCGCGCGCAGAAGGACGCGCTGCTCCGCGCGTCCGACGATTACGACTGCGACGGCGACCGCTGGCTGCGCAACGGGGACCCCGCGAAGGAGGCGGCGCTCAAGGCCGACGCCGTCGCGAAGCTCGAAACGCTCGACGCCTGGCTCGCGGGCGGCCCCTTCTTCCTGAAGCTGCGGCGACCGTCCCTGGTCGACGCGGCGTACGTCGGCTTTTTAACGCGGTTGGCGCACAACTACGCGTACTTCAAGGGCTACGACGTCAAAGAGGCGCACGCGAACGTCGGCGCCTGGTTCGCGGCCATGGAGGGCGAGCGCGGCTACCGCGCGACGCGCCAGGAGGCCTGCTTCGAGCAGCGCGTCTACCAGTTCCACCCGTCGCGGCGGAGGCACGCGGAGGCGTGCATGGGCCTGCGCCGGCGGCTCGTCGGCGAGCCCGACGGCGCCGTCCAGCCCGCGCCGGAGGTCGCGGCCTGGGGCGCCGCGGCGCCGGCGGACGCGCTCGCGGCGGCGGCCGCGCTCTGCGCGCGGCGCGAGGCCGTGCTGCCGTTCCTCGCGCGCAAGGCCGCCGAGGGGCCGCCGCCGCCGGCGACCGTGGACGCGCGCGGCAAGGTCGCCTACGCGGCCGCGCCGCCCGCGCCGCCGGCCCCGGGCGCCGACGACGCGCTCCTCGCGCTCTGCGCGCTCCTCGGCGGCGCGTGGCCCGACGACCGCGGCGACCGCGGCGCGGCCGCGGCCGCGGCGGCCGCGGGCGGCGCCGCGGCGCTCGGCGACGGCTCGCCGCTGGCGACGCTCGCGGCGACGATCGGCACGCCGCGCGACATGCCCGCGGCGGCGGCGGCCGCCGCGCGCGGCGCGATCCGGGCCATGCGCGTCGCGTCCGGCGTCGCGGGACCGACGTGCTGCGCGTGCGGCGAGCCGCGCGCGGGCGAGCCGCCGGCCTGCGAGTGGGCGGACCCGTGCGCGTCGTGCGTCGACGACATCGCGCGGGCGACGGACGCGACCATCGAGCTGTAGTCTTGTTTTACACGTTGTAGGTCGTCTGGCCCGCGGCGCCCGCGTCGCCGAGCCTCGGGAAGAGGCCGCCGGTGCGCGCGACCCACGCGTCGAACGTGGGCTGGCCGCCGTAGGCCTCCCGCTGCTTGCCGTCGAGGCGCTTCGTCGCGCCCGCCATGATGCCGTAGATCGCGTAGAACCCGACGCCGCCCATGATCGCGGGGCCCAGCGCCGCGGCGCCGGACCCGAAGGACGGCGCGCCGCCGACGAGCAGGCCGAACCAGAAGAGGACCTCACCGAAATAATTCGGCTGCGCGGGGACGGATGGGTGAGTGGGTGTGTGTTTCGCGGGGCGCCGGGAACGCGCGTGCCGGCAGCTCGCGTAGAGCCCGCCCATGGGGCCCTCGAAGGTGCCCGGCGCGACGGCCGCGTAGGCCTCGCGCTTCTTGACGAACTTGTGCGCGTCGGCCCAGGCCTCGACGAGCGCGCCGGCCCAGGCCATGGAGGCCCCGGCCCAGGCGACCGCCGGCGCGGCGGGCGCGGACCGCAGCGCAAAGAGGAGCGGCGACGCCATGAGCGCGTAGAGCGCCGCGACGCCGGCGACGAGCGGCAGCCGCTGCAGCCGCGGCGTCTTGTCGAAGGCCTTGATGCGCTCCGCGATGTCGGGCACGGTGACCTGGCGCGCGAGGAGGTGCGCCGCCAGGCGCGCGCCGTAGAAGACCGTCGCGCCGGCGAGGGCTTTGGCGACGGGCGTCGCCGGCGGCACGGCCGCGTAGAGCGCGGCGCCCATGGCGGCGACGGCCGCGCCGTAGCCGACGCTGAACGAGTAGCCCTGGCGGTACATGGTCAGCGGCGTGAGCACGGCGGCGCCGACGGCGGCCATGGCCGGCACGCCGAGCGGGCCCGCCGCGAGGGCCTCGGCGACGGGGAGCGGGACCAGGGCCGCGTCCAGCGCGACGGCGCCGCGCCGCGGCGGCTGGGACGCGCGGGACCGCGGCGCCTGGAGCGCGCCGGCGGCGGCGAGGAGCGCGACGAGCGTCGTCTTCATGCTGTTTGTAATCGGAACGGCGCGCCAAGAACGACCTCAATCACCTTCAAGCAACCAGTTGAACGTCCGACGAGGAGGATGGCAGCATCCAGATAGAACACCGCGCGATGGCCTCCTACGCGCAGAAGGGCGACGCCGCGGCCTACTCGCGGGACGCGATCATCTCGAACATGCTCAGCGAGGTCGGCGACGCCCTCGAGGGCAGCCTCGAGTGCTGCCCCGCGCTGCCCACGGTCCTAAAGCTCGCCCACCGCGACTTCGCGGCGCAGCCCGGCGGGCCGGCCACGGGCGGCGAGCGCGTCGCCGTGCGCGAGACGGCGGCCCACGGCCTCGAGACCGTCGCCGCCGTGTCGCTGCGCGCGGGCGTCGCCGCGTTCGTCGAACGCGCGACGATCGACTGGTCCGACGCCGACGCCGCCGCGACGAGGGAGGCAGAGGCCGCCGTCGTCGCGTCGGGCTGGACCCTGGGCGGCGAGGAGCGCGTCGCGCGGCAGATCGTCGCCTTCTGCGGCGCGTCGGCGGAGGCGCGAACCGAGGCGAACGCGCTCCACGCGCCCGACGACGTGCCGCGGGCCGCGCGGGCCGCCGTCGACCGCGCGGCCGCGGCGGCCGTGGCCAAACTGTACCCGCAAACCGACGCGGCGGCCCTCGCGCGGTTCCTGCGGGTCTGCGACGTCAACGCGACGGGCGAGGCCGTCTACGCGCGCGTGTCGCGGTGCCAGCACAGCTGCGCGCCGAACTGCTGGGTCGCGCACCACGCCGACGGCGCCCTCGGGTTGTACGCCATCCGCGACGTCCGCAAGGGCGAGCCGCTGACCTTCGCCTACGCGGGCGCGAACGCGCTCCTCCTCCTGCCGACGCGGCTCCGGCGGCGGTCGCTCGCGAAGCTCGGCTTCGAGTGCGCGTGCGCGCGGTGCCGCGGCGAGGTCGAGGACGGCTTCCCGAGCCGGGAGGCGCTGGACCTCGCGCTCGACGCCGCGCGGCTCGCCGTGGCCGACGACGGCGGCCTGCCGCGCGACCTCGACGCGCCGCGCGCGTTCGAGCTCTTCAAGCGCTGCTACCGCGCGCTGGGGCCCGAGCACTGGGCCGTGGCGCTGCTGGGCCTCGCCCTCCTCGACTCGGCGGCGGCGCAGCTCGAGCGCACGTCCGCGCTCCGCTTCGACCTCTTCGCCGCGCTCGCGTGCGACGCGCTCACGTGGTTCGCGAACCACGCCTACCTCCGCGGCTCCGTGCCCCACGCGCGCGCCGTGTCCGCGGCGAACTTCGTCTGGACGCGCACGACGGCCTTACAAAACGGGTCCTAGGCCTCGTGGGCCTCCTTGTCGCGTTTTTGCCGCTTCTGCTCCTCGCGGATCGCGTACCACGTGACGGCCTGCGACGGGCGGGGTGCTAACGTTCGGGAGGGCGGGCACGGGCGGACGCACCACGAGGAAGAGGAGGAAGCCGATGACGAACCAGATGAGGCCGCGCTCGTGCCACTTGGGCGGGTGGTCGCCCATCTTGTGCCACTTCTTGTGCCGGTGCCATTTCTTGGTGCGCACGCGCGTGCCCGGGCCCTTGCCCGCGTCGGCGAGGGCGACGAGCAGGAACGTCTGTACGGTCGCGAGTGCGACGGTGGAAACCGTGCGGGTCCGGCAGGGTGTATGGGCAGCCTCCATCACGCGCTGAAACCGGCGCTTGCAAACTTCAGCACGAGGGAGTTTCCTTGGTGATTGGCAGACGCCTCGGGATTTCGACCTTGGTCCACGTATTTCGACAGCCGAGCGAGACGCCGAGAGCATAGCTCGATCTCGGTCCGTCGAAACCATGTTCGGGACGCCGACGCAGGTGAAGGATGAGCCCCCGAAGACGGAGCACGTCGTCGCGCCGCAGGGGAAGAAGAGCTGCTGCGTCATCGGCAGCGGCGCGTCGGGCCTGACGGTCATGAAGGAGCTCACGTCCCTGGGCCACAGCGTCAAGTGCTTCGACGAGAACCTGCGCATCGGCGGCGTCTACACCAAGTCCTACGACCGGACCATGCTCACGACGTCGTCCCTGCTCACGGCCTACAGCGACTACAGCGACGGCCGCGAGGACCGGCCCAAGTTCTGGTCCGACGAGGAGTACCTCGCGTACCTCGACGGCTTCGCCAACGAGTACGAGCTCTACCAGCACGTCAACTTCCGGTCCACGGTGAAGAAGATCACCAAGTGCGCCAAGAGCGGCAAGTGGATCGTCACGGTGGCCGTCGGCGGCTGCCACGTCTGGCCGCACCGGTCGACGTTCCTGTTGGGCAAGCACGTCGCCCCGGAGGTCGTCGCCGAGGCGCGCACCGAGGGCGCCAAGACCCTCAAGGCCTTCTACGACAAGGCCGAGGCCGAGGGCTTCGACAAGGTCAAGTCCGGCCACGTCTACGACTACTACGACCACGTCACGGGCGAGAAGCGGACGATGGACCCCGCGGACGCCCGCGCCGCGGTGACCAAGATCTACGCCTTCGACCACGTCGCCGTCTGCACGGGCACGAACACCTGGGCGTCCCTGCCGCGCTTCGAGGGCCAGGACGACTTCCTCAACGCGGGCGGCACGCTCGTCCACTCCGAGAACTACAAAAAGCCCGAGGTGTTCAAGGGCCAGCGCGTGCTCATCGTGGGCGCGGGCGAGTCCGGGTCCGACATCTGCAACGAGATCGCCGACGAGGCCGCCAAGGTCGCCATCGTCGTCCGCGGCAAGCACGGCCACCTCATCCCCCGGAAGCAGGCCGACGGCCGCGTCACGGACCTCAACACGAACCGGTGCCGCTACAGTAACCCCTACGTGCTGGGCGACTGGGTGGGCTACGCGAACCAGCTCGCGAAGAAGTTCGTCGCCAAGTACGGATCCGACCCGTCCAAGGAGGCCGACGAGCGCCGGGTCTTGCAGAAGATCGGCGAGCTCAACATCGAGCAGGGCACGTCCGCGTTCTCCAAGTTCGGGTGCAAGAACGAGGGCTTCGTCACGGCCATGGTCACGAAGTCGGCGGAGCTCCACCGCGACGGCTTCAAGCTCGCCGCGGGCAAGGCCGTCTTCAAGGACGGCTCCGAGTTCGCGTGCGACGCGATCGTCGCGTGCACGGGCTACCGCAACAGCTTCCCCATGTTCGAGCACCCGGACGTCTGCGACGACGTCGTCTGCGCCGGCTGCGGCTGCAAGACCAAGGACCTCAACGCCTTCGGCCAGAACCCGCGGCGCCTCTACAAGCAGATCTTCTGCCCCGTCTTCCCCGACGGGCAATTGGCGTTCTTCGGCTTCGCGCGACCCGCGTTCGGCGCGATCCCCCCCACGGCGGAGATGCAATCCCGCTTCTTCGCGTTGGTCGTCGACGGCAAGGTCAAGCTGCCGGACATGGCGGGCATGGAGGCCATCGCCAAGGAGGACCAGGCGAACTGGGAGTGGCGCTTTGGCTACGACGCGAAGCGCGTCAAGGGCCTCGTCGACTTCCAGCTCTACTGCGACGACCTCGCGGCCCAGACGGGGTCCCTGCCGCCCCTCATGAAGCTCTTCCTCACGAAGCCCAAGATCTGGTGGAAGATCATGTTCGGGCCCTTCACGATGCACCAGTACCGCCTCGTCGGCCCCTACGCGAACCCGAAGCTCGCCGCGCGCGTCTACGAGAAGCAGCCCGTCGGCGACTTCCTCGAGTGCTCCATCACGGCGGCCTTCCTCCTCACGGCCAAGGTCCTGAGCCTCTGCGGCTTCAAGGACTTCACGCCCAACAACTTCTAGGCGCGCGAGGGCCGCGCGCCGCCCGTCGCGCGCGCGCCCCCTTCCCCCCCGTTTTCTTTGCTCCCTAAAGACGAGTCCCCGCGGCGTATCTCAATTTACATACTGGAGGAAACGACGTCAAGTGATCATCTCCTCGGCTTCATGCACAAACGACGGCAAGTGCTGCCCGCGAGGGCAGGTCGACCTTCGGCGCGTCGCAGCAGAGGAGCATGCTCGGCGTCGCCGCCGGGGGCTCGGGCGGCGCGGCCTCGACGACGGACGCCTCGGCCTCGGGGATGTCGGGCTCCTTGTCGCGCGCGACGACCTCGGCGACGGGCGCGACGAGCGGCGCGCCGGGCTCGTCGGTGACGTACTTGCCCGTCTTCAGGTCCAGCCGCTCCTCGTGGCAGCGGCCGCAGAGGCAGGGCGTGCAGCAGACGGGCACGTTGAAGCACGTGCAGTGGCAGCAGCAGCACTGGCAGCCGTAGTTCGCGCAGCACTTGGGGCCCTGGCACTTGGGCGCGCACTGGCACTTGGGGACGAGCGACGGCGAGTGGGGGAGCTCGCAGCAGTGCTTCGGGCAGCAGGACACGGCGCACTTGCAGTCCTTGTACTCCGGCCCGCAGCAGAGCCCGACGTAGCAGCGCGCGCAGTAGCAGCGGCAGAAGATGTCGTAGAGGCGCTCGCAGGGGCAGTCGAAGCGCAGGAGGCACGTCGTCGGCCCGACGCAGCAGCAGGCGCCGAGCGGGTAGCCCCGCAGCTCCACGGCGTCGCCGGGGTGCAGGTGGTGCGGGTTGTCCGGGGGGGGCACCATCCCCGGAAGGATGTGGCCAGACGCTGCCCAAAAATCTTCAGCGTTGAAGTCAACCTACGGCGGGGCTGCCGTGAAAAGCTGCCCTTGGTGCTCATCGATCGACGATGGCCGCGCTCGAAGACCTGCGCGCGGCGAACGCGGAGCTCGCGGCCCGGGTCGCCGCGTACGAGGCGTCGGAGAAGGAGGAGAAGCGGCGGATCGAGAAAGCCATGGACCGCGCGGAGCAGAAGATCCGCGCCGCCGCCAGCAAGGTCGAGCGCATGGCGAAGAAGCACGAGGACGAGGGCCGGGAGCTCGAGGAGAAGCGCGCCGAGGTCGCGCGGCTCTACAAGGACTGCCGCGAGTCGCGCGAGTCGAGCGACAAGTACAAGTTCGAGTGGGACCGGTCCACCCCAGGGCAGGAAAAGAGTGCGAAATTCCCAACTTCAAAGGCTCCTCTCTCGGCCGTTTTCCACTCGTTTCGGCTGATTTTTGGACGAGCGATCATCTCTCGGAACGGACTCGAAGCGTGGATGCTTTTTCCGGAACGCGCGCGCGCGGAACACTCACGTTGAAGCGACGTTGAATCTCTCTTGTCCTGCCCAGGTCCAAGGAGGAGGTCGCGGAGCTCAACGACCGCATCATGCGGCAGCACACGGAGCACCGCATCACGCAGATGACGTCCGAGGACGCGCAGGAGAAGCAGGCCAAGGCCGAGGCCGAGGTCAAGCGGCTGGCGACGGAGAACGCGGCGCTGAGCGGCGCGGGCGACGAGGTCGTCGTGCACCTCGCGGAGATCCGCAAGCTGAAGGCCGAGCTCGCGCGCGTCAGGGCGGACCACGCGAGCGACCTCGAGACGGCGCGGGCCGCCCTGCGCGCCGAGGCCGCGAAGCCGGCCTTCGGCGTCTGCCCGAGCTGCGGCTACGAGCCCGCGAAGCCCGCGAGCCGCTACGACCCGAATTTCTAAAAAGGAAAGAAAAAAGGGCTCTAGACGTCCTCGGCGTCGCTGTCGCTCGTGTCCGACGCGGCGTCGCCGGGCTCCGGCTCCGGCTCCGTCTCCGCGTCCGTCTCGACGGCGTCCGCCTCCGCCTCGTCGGCCTCGGGCGCCGCGGCCGCGGCCGCGGGCGCGGGCGACGGCGCGGCGGGCGTCGCCGCCGCGCCGGGGCTCGCCGCGGCCTTCTTCGGCCGGTGCCGCCGCCGCGTCGTCCGAGGCGCCGACGCCGCCGCCGGGAGCGACGCCTTGCGCGCGACGCGGCTCGGCGACAGGTACGAGCCCGGCGCGGCCGCGGCCGCGGCGCCGGGCTCGGGCGCCGCGTCCGGCGCGCCCCTGCCGAAGGGGTCCGGGAGCTTGCCCGTGCGCGCGTGGTAGTCCTTGATCCAGCCGCTGTCCTTGACGTAGCGGTCCAGCGCGCCGGCCGCGTCGGCCCAGGGCTTGCCCTCGTCGAGCCGCAGCTTCAGGACGCGCCACTTCACGGGCTCCATGGAGTGGACGGAGCAGGGCAGGGGCAGGCCCACGTAGACCTTGACGAGCTCGTGGCCGCACGACTCGTAGCTCCGCCGGTAGTCGTCGACGAGCGCCGCGAGCGACTCGTGCCGCACCTCCTTGCCCTGGAGCGTCTTCCGCCGCGAGATGCCCAGCGCGCCCCACCTGTCGTCCTTGGCCTCGCGGATCGCCAGCACGATGTGGCGGTACGCGTTGCCGTCGCACTTCGACTTGAACGACAGCGGGAAGCGGCAGAGGTCCGGCGCCTCGGACGTGAGCAGGATCGCCAGGAACACGGCCTCCACGCACTGGATCGGGAGCGCCTCGCGCATGATCTCCTTGGCCGTCGTCGTGACGTGCTTCAGGCCCCGGTCGCGCTTCATGACGTAGTAGCCTGGGCGGCGAAAGGATGAGCGACGCCCGACTTCGCGGGCTTTTTCGCGATCTCGGTCATGTTCCGCGCGTTTCGGCCGATGAGTGGACGAGCGATCATCTCTCGAAGCGCCCTCGAAGCGTCCATTCTTTCTCTGGGGAGCGCGCGCGCGGAACGGTCCCGTCGAAGCTCCGTCGAATCGCCCGTTCGCGGCCCCGGGAGTCGCCCACGCCCGTGTGGTTGTACTCGAAGGCCGCGATGTAGCGCGTGATGGCGTGCAGCTTCTGCTTCGCGCTCATCTGGCTCGACAGGGCCGGCCGCCGCGGGACGGGCGGCGCGTGGAGCGTCGGCGTCGTCTTGATGGCGTCGATGCGCGCCTGCGTCGCGTCGTCGACGTCGCGGTGCGTGCGGTGCGTCTTGACCATGGTCGACGCGTCGAGCCGAGCGGCGAGCGGAGCCGAGCGCGGGCTGCGGACGGCGCTGTTTCGTGCCGCTGCGCTCCGGGCAGCACGTCGGGGCAGCCTAGCTAGCGCACATCGATCGTGCCGCGACAACGACTCCCGTGACCGGGTTGTTGCCCTGCAACGTGAAGCCTATGAAACCCGATGATTGAACACGGCTTCCTCGCTCCGCCGTAGCCGCCTCTTGCCGTCGCGCCTTCGCGATGCGCCGCGCCGCCCGCGCCGCCGTGGGCCTGCTCGCCCTGCCTCGGCTGGCCGCCTTCGGCGTCGCGCGGCGCGGGGCGGCGCGGCGCGTGGCGACGGCGTCGACGCCGGGCGACGTGGGCACCTTCATCCCCGCCGCGCGCGAGAACTTCTCGCCGCCGACGCCCGAGGAGCTGACGCCGCGGAGCGAGGCCATGCTCGCGCGCGCGGCGAGGTGCCGCGACGCCTTCCCGCACCGCTTCGTGGCGCCCGCGGAGGCCGCGGAGATGATGCGCGTCGGCGCGACTCTGTGCGACGTCCGCACGGAGCAGCAGGTCCTCGACCACGAGGTCGGCGGCGCGCCGGGCCGCGTCGCCGTCGACTCGCGGCGCCTCGCCCTCGACAACATGGTCATCGCCGGCGGCCCGCCGCCCATGCTCGGCGGCGGCGGCCGCAAGGTCGTCGCCGTCTGCACGGCCGGCCCGAAGTCGGCGATCGCCGTCGAGTTCCTGCTCGAGTTCGGCATCGACGCCTACGCCGTCGACGGCGGCCTCGCCGGCTGGCACGCCGCGGGCCTGCCCGTCGCCGGCCTGCTCGACGACGACGACGACGACGACGACGACTTCGAGTGGGGCTTCGGCGACGACGAGGACCCGTCGGAGACCGTCGAGCTCACCGTGCGGAAGTCCGAGGTCCCCCGCTAGAACGCCTCCTTCCACCCGTTCTTCTTGGCGATGGCGTACCGGTAGGCCCAGTTCTTGCAGCCGTACTCGTCGACGCACGGGTTCCCGTAGACGCAGGAGCACGTCTCCGGGATGCCCGCCTCGGCGTACTCGGACCGCTGCCGCTCCTCCTTGACCTCCGCGCAGAAGACGCGCCGCGTCTTCTGCTGGTATTTCTTGAACTCGTCGTCGTTCTCCTGGATGTAGGCGTAGTACGCCGTCGTCGTCTCGAGGCCCCGGTACGTCTGCTTCGGGTCCTCCTCGACGTAGTAGAACGCGTCGATGCCCTCGTCGAGGAATGTCATCTTCTCCTGGGGCGAGATGGGGCTGAGGAAGATCTGGCATTTCGGCATCACGTCGCTCAGGCAATACAAGTCGTCGACGGCCGCCGCGGTCGTGCTGCCGTCCACGATGTCGAACTCCTCCGCGTACATCTCGTAGCGGATCACGACTTTGCCGTTGCCCAGCTCCTTGCGTCGCCGCGCCTCCTCTTCCTCCGCGGCTTTCCGCGCGGCCTCCTCCTCGGCGGCTTTTCGCGCGGCCGCTTCCTCGGCGGCGGCCTCCTCCTCGGCCTTCTTCGCGGCCGCGAGCTCCGCCTCGCTCGGGCCCTTGGGCACCGCCTTGCCGCCGGCCGCCTTGCCGCCGGCCGCCTTCGCCGCTTTGCCCTTGGCGGCGGCGGCGGTCAGGAACGTGACCTTGAAGGGCTTGCCGCTCTTGCGCGCCGCGGCCAGCGCGTCGTTGATCTCCGCGGACGTGTTCACCGCCGCGCCGTCGACGTCGTAGCAGCGCCAGCCCACGGCGACCTTGCTCTTCTCCGCGAGGCCGCCGGCGTTGACCTTGGACACGCAGCCCGCCTTGCTGAAGGACAGGCCGGCCTTGCTGCCCTTGGGCACCGAGAGCACGACGACGCGCAGCGCGCCGCCCTGCGCGATGGAGTCGTAGAGCGCCGCGTCGAAGCGGCCCTTCGCCAGCTTCTCGGCCTGCGCCTGGTCGATGGAGGCCGAGGCGCCCATGCTTGCTCGCAATACATGTCGATAGTGAAGCCGTGTCGAAACCGCATTGCCATTGCATTTTGCGATAGGTCGCACGGCCTCCGCCGGATCGCGTCGAGGGGATCGCACGCCGCCGGCCGCGGCGCGCGCCCGAGCATGAGCGACGCGAAGCCCGGCGTCATCTACCTCGCGCGGCTGCCGCCGCACGTGCGGCCGGGCAAGGTGCGGCGCCTCCTCGAGCAGCACGGCGAGATCACGAAGCTCTTCCTCGAGGCCGAGGAGCAGAGCGCGGCGTCGAAGCGGAAGAAGCGCGGCAAGCGCTTCGTCGAGGGCTGGGTCGAGTACGCCGACAAGAAGGTCGCGAAGCGCGTCGCCGCGTCGCTGAACACGACGCCGATGGGCGACGGCCGCCACGCCGAGGACCTGTGGGCGATCAAGTACCTCCGGGGCTTCGAGTGGAAGCACCTCACGGAGAAGAAGGCCTACGACGCGCGCGTCCGCGACGAGAAGCTCCGCGTCGAGTTCTCCGCCTCCCAAAAAGCGAACGCGGAGTTCGCCGCGCTCGTCGACCGGCGCGACGCCGCCGCCGCCATCAAGAAGCGCAAGCGCGCACGGGACGACGCTAACGGCTAAGCCGCGCCAGCGCCCAGTCGATCTGGGCCGGGAGCGCGTCCGCGCAGTACTCGTGGAACGCCCAGGCGACGTGGAGCGCCTTCGCGAGCGAGCTGCGGCCCGCCCTCAGGGGCAGGCATTTCGCGGCGACGCAGTACCGACCCTCGTCGCTCCGGCCCGTCGCGTCCGCGGCCGCGAGGACTTTTCGCCAGTCGCTCCGCGTCGGGTCCTTCGCGAGGAAGCCGCGTTCGTCGAGGTGGCCCGCGGCGCCGAGGGCCGCGACGGCGCCCTCGAGGGCCGCGGGCGCGACGCCGAGTCGGTCGCCGAGGTACGCCGCGTCGACGGCCCGCGGCGCGCACTCGGCGAAGGGCGCGCGGCGGTCCGGAGGGAACGCGTCGAAGAACGCGCGCGCGCGCTCGTGGCCGCGCGCGTCGCGGGGCATGCTCGTCAGGGCCAGCAGGTGGTGTCCCCCGGCCTTGTGCCCCGGCGCGACCTGGCTGAAGGCCGCGGCCGCGACGCCCGCGGCGCCCAGGACCTCCGCGAACCAGCCGCCCGACGACGCGCCGAAGGCGACGACGGCCGCGCCGTCGGGCGCGCCCGCGCGGCCGCGCCACGCGGCGACGACCGCGCGCGCGGCCGCGGCGTCGCCGTCGGCCCAGCACCCGGACCGCCGGTCCCGCGACGACAGCGCCGCGACGTCGAAGCCGGCGTCGGAGAAGGCGTCCGCGACGCGCGCCTCCTCGCAGAGCCCGACGCACGCCGGGCAGGCCGGTCCCGGCGCGAAGAAGTCGTAGGCGCTGTGCGTGCAGGCGTGGAGCAGCAGCGCGAGCCGCGTCGCGCCGCCGGCCGCGGAGCGCCAGACGACGTCGACGTCGACGTCGCCGGCGCGCAGCTTTTCCGCGACGGGCCCGGGGAGGCGCGGCGCGGGCGCCGGCGGCGCGGGTACGGGCGTCGCGGCTGCCACGCGCGGCGCGGTGGCTGCTACGTGCGGCGTCGCGGCTGCCACGTGCGGCGCGGTGGCTGCCACTCGCGGCGCCGTGGCTGCCACGTGCAGCGCGGTGGCTGCTACGTGCGGCGTGGTGGGCTTCGGCTGCGAGGCGACCAGCGCCAACGCCGTGAGAACGACGACCGCCGCCGCCCAGGCGCGCCGCCGCCGCCGCCGGAGCGCGGCCTCGGCGCCCATCGTTACAATCGGCTAAATGCCGTGTGGCATCATCATCACGGCTCCACGCCCTCTATCGGCTCACCATTGAATCTGAAGCGCAGAGCCCATTGCCACAAGCGTTTTGGTTGTTGAAGGCTTAATTGAATTTCAAGCGTTTCATGTTGGCTTCTCTCGACGGCCGCTCGAAGCGCTGCCAGCGCTCGTCGAGGTCGGCGGCCCGCCTGGGCGTCGCGCTCGACGCCGAGGCCGCGGTCGAGCCGGTCGGCGTCGAAGCGCGAGCCGCCGTCAGCCGTCGAGAGGCGCCGCTTCGGCGAAGGAGCCCGCTGCGGGCAGCCCAGGTCGAGGGCTGCCCCGACCCGAGCTGCTGCACGTACTTGCGCACAGTCCCGCGAGCGTGAGGTTCAGCGCCGACCATGCCCAAGCTCGTCGTCAAGGTCGACCACACGAAGACGAAAAAGAAGATCCAGAAGGAGAACAAGATCCTCGTCAAGGAGAAGAACGAGGACCGGCACGTCGGCTTCAAAGCCTACGGCGACGACGGCGAGACCGGCGGCACGAAGCTCGGCAAGAACGGCATCGTCGAGTGGAGGGCGGACACGAAGCAGGAGGCCGCTAAGAAGCAGCAGGCGAAGGAGAAGAAGATCTACGACGCGGACCACAAGGGCAAGGAGCACGCCGGCGACAACAAGTTCATCCAGAACTTCGACAAGAACGCGTCCAAGGGCCTGCGGACGATCCAGGTCGGCGCGAAGAGCCCGAACGAGGCGCCGGACCACGACGCCGAGGGCGCCGCGCTCGCGGCCAAGGCCGACGCCATCGCCGACCGCCACCACGCGGAGGACGCGCGCATGAAGGCGGAACGCGAGGCCGCCAAGGCGCAGCGGGAGGCCGACGCGCTGGCGGACAAGAAGCGCATCACGTTCCGGCGGTCCATGAACATGCGCCACGGGTCCGTGCGCTGGAAGCGCATGACGGCCGTCGTCGGCCACAAGGGGAGCACGGACGTCAAGACGCGGGACACGCTGCTCCTCCACTTCCAGAAGATCGGCAAGGGCAAGACGAAGCTCACGCGCAAGGACATCGGCAAGTTCTTCCACGCGCTCAACGGCGTCCAGCCGCCCTTCGACGCGCTGGAATACCTGCGCGCGGACACGGAGGGCGTCACGCGCGAGAACATGCGCGAGAAGGTCGACGACTACAACACGTACATGAAGTCGCGCCGGGACGTCCGCGCGCGCCAGAAGCAGTTCATCGCCCAGTTCGAGCGCTACTACAAGGGCACGGACGCGGGCGACGCGCGGCGCTACCACGAGCGCGACGTCTACAAGATGGTCGCCGAGCTCTGCGGCGAGGAGCACCCGGACGAGTGGGCCATGATCTACGCGTTCCGCGACGTCGGCGGCTACGAGCTGGACTGCGTCAAGCACCGCCACCTCCGCGTCAACGACGCGGCCCAGTTCCTCGAGGCCTACACGGAGCGGCGCAAGTTCCAGGAGCGGGAGAAGGCGAAGCGGCGGGGGCCCATCGGCCACACCTACGCCTGCATCATGGGCCTCTTTGGGCCCAAGGACAAGGCTAAGTATCTCCTGTAGGTCGACGGGCGCCGCGCCGCGGCCCGCGCGAGGCGACGGCCGGCTCGGCCTCGGCGCCCGCCCTCGCCCCCTCGAGCGCGGCCTCGCGGCGCGGGGACGCGTGGTCGTCCCTCCGGCCGACGGCGAGCGCGCCGAGGAGCGCGGCGTACTTGCGCGCGATCGCGGCCGGGGAAAAGCGCGCCTCGACGAGCGCGAGCCCGCGGTCGCGGCACTCCGCGAGGAGCCGGGGCCGCGCGGCGAGCCGCGCCAGGAGCGCGCGGAGCTCGGCGGCGTCGCGGAACTGGCACGGGTAGCTCTCGTCGACGTAGAGCGCGTGCGCGCCCGTGCGCTCGACGACGGCGGCGACGCCCGCGCGCATCGCGTTGGCCATGCGCTGCACGCAGTTGAAGAGCTTCTTCGGCCCCGTCTTCGAGTAGACGAGCACGGCGTCGTAGTTCCGGAAGAGCCGCGAGTACCAGTAGGCCTCGCCCCAGACCGTCCCCGCGAGGTCGCGCGCGACACTGGCCGCGTCGACGCCGAGCTTGCGCGCGAAGAAGGCCGCGTCCCCCGCCCGCGAGCCGTTGACCCGCTCGTGGACGCGCTCCTCGCAGTCGTAGGCCACGCCCGGCACGTCGCCGGCCATGGCGCACAGGTCCTTGGAGAAGCGCGACTTCTCGTGGATCGTCAACACCCGGAGGTCGCCGGCGGGCTCCGCCGCCGCGGGCAAACTCGTCGCGTTCATCAGGGGCGCGAGGTGCTCGACGACGAAGGCCCGCCCCCCGGAGCGCCCCAGGGCCCGGGCGCCGCACCAGGCTTTGGCGTGCGCCGGGTTCTGGACGACGACGGACGCGCCGCGCGGGAAGTCGCGGACGTCGTGGCGGTCGACGCCGCCGCCGGCGAACGCGTCCGCGTCGACGACGTCGACGAGCACGTGGTCGAAGAGCGCGGCAACGGCGGGCGGCGGCGCGGCCTTGACGGCGATGCCCACGTCGTAGCGCGCGCCGGCCGCGCGGACGTCGTCGAACGACGCGAGCGTCACGTCGAACGCCGACGAGTGCCTGGGCAGGAAAAGAGTGATTCAAGTTCGCTTCAACATGAGTGTTCCGCGCGCGCGCGTTCCGGAAAAAGCATTCACGCTTCGAGACCGTTCCAAGAGATGATCGCTCGTCCAAAAATCAGCCGAAACGAGTGGAAAACGGCCGAGAGAGGAGCCTTTGAAGTTGGGAATTTCGCTCTCTTTTCCTGCCCTGACGAGTGCGCCTCGAGGTAGTGCTTGAGCAGGACGCACCGCGACGCCCAGACGCCGCCGGCGCCGATGAGCCGCGGGCGCGCCGTGCAGGCGACGGCGATGCGGCGGCCCGCGGCCTTCCAGGACCGCGGCCGCGGCGGCGCCGCGAGGAGCTCGGCCGCGCGGAGGTCGCCGAGCGTCGCGTTCGCGGGCCGGAGGCCGTCGCCGCCGACGACGGCGACGCCGCCGCAGCGCAGCGCCGCCGCCGGGGCGCCGCATTTCAGCGCGTCCGCCGCTTTGACGCCGCCGCCGCCGCAGCGCTTCCGCCCCTGTTTCGCCGCGGCGCGGCCGACCGCGCCCGGCGCCGCGACGACGGCGCCGTCGAACGCGCAGCCCGCGGCCGCCGGAAGGCCCGGCGGCCCGGCGGCGCCGCGGAGCGCGGCCTCGGCCGTGGCGTTGGCGAGGCCCGCGGCCCAGCGGCCGAGAAACGCGTCCGCGGCCGCGGACCGGCGGAGCGCGACGACGCCGGACCACCGCGCCGTCGCGGCGCCGCGCGCCTTCCCGCCCCGCGTCGCCGCCGCGCCCGTCGCCGCCGCTTGCTTCGTCGCGGCCGTCGCGCCGCAGGCGAGGAACGGCGCCGGGTCGCGCAGCCAGAAGGCGTCCGGCGCGCTGTAGAAGGCGCCCGCCGCGGCCGGATCCGCGAGCGCCCAGCGGAGCAGGCCGACGGCCGCGCGCGGGGGCGCGAGCCGCGCGCGCTCGCGGCGCCGCTCGTCGACGGCGCCGCGCGCCGCCGCGAGCGTCGGCGCGTCGGCGGCCAGGACCTCGAGGCGCCAGCACCAGGGCGACGAGCCCGTCGCGCGCCGGAAGCTCGCCACCCAGGCGCCCAGGAGCGGCGCCGACGCGCGCGACGCGGGCACGACGGCGGTCCAGGACTCGGCGCAGGTCCACCCGTCGGCGACGCGAGCGGCGCAGGCGAGGACCACCAGCGTTCTTGCGGGGCTGCGCATCCTAGCAGGCGGTGCGCATCATCGCCTTTTATGCGTAGCTGCCCATCGATCCCATCGTCATTTTTGGTGCTTGCCGTGACGTCCTTGTTCAAGAAAACGTGTTGCAGCGGATCAAACCAAGTTGAATGTTTGGGTTGCAGCGGATCAAAACAAGTTGCAGCGGATCAAAACATGTTGCAGCGGATCAAAACAAGGCGAGTTTTATAAAAACCCCTAGGATTTACATTATACGGTATACAATGTCATACTATTCCACTACATTATACCGTACCACTTGCTCGGTTCAAGTTGGTGGCCCTACCGAGCCCACGGCCGACACCCCCCCCGCGGTTTCGGCTCGACGGCCCGCGGCCCCGGCGCCCTTGACGTCCACGCGTCCCCGGGGCGCACGGGTGCGTAGACGCGACATGATTTCGATGGTGTTGCGACTCTAGCGAGTCGAGTTTAGGCCTACGCGCGGTGGTGCACCAGCATGATCTCGGCCCAAAACGCAAAGGTTTGACCACGCGCAGCCTCGGGGATCGTTTGTCGACGTCCCAGCACCATACAGATGCAAGGGCTGAGCCGCGGGGCTTTAAATCGCCGTGCTCCCCCCATCCGATGTCCGCGCCCGAACGTCGCGCATACGCTCGGCGAGCGTCAATTTCGGCCATGGGCACCGCGGAACCGCTGCCAGTCGTTCTGAAGCACCCCGGACTCCCCTATCGATGCCACAAGGAATCGCAGCCCACCAGGGCTGGGAAAAAGTGGGGGGCGCGCCCCGCCTCTGCCGCCAAGGCCGCCGTCGTGCCAACGCCGAGGCTGCCCGAAAATTTCGCTCGGACGTCACGGGAAGACTAAAAGCGCCGTTTGATCCTCGAGAGACGG